TTGTTAACTCAAACCTTTGAACAATGAAAATTAAAATTTTTAAGATTTAAGTTACAGAAAAATATTTAGTATTGTTAATATATTAAATTTTTTTACTATGTTTTGTTTTTATTCAAGAAGCAATTAAAAACCACTACTATTTTAGTACTTTAAACTAAGCAATTTCAATGAAAAGCACTGGGTAATTTGAGCATGCTCATATTACACAAAAATAGTATCTTTAAATAAAGTCAAAAATAAATGTTTCTATGCATTATTTTTCAAACAAAAATGAATTGGATTTTTAGCTAATTTATTTTTCTTTATGAAAAAATTAATTTCATTATTTTAGCACCAAAATATCGCGCCACAGAATTATTCACGCGTGATGATTTTTTTTAACAAAGCAAAAAATTTAAAAGCGTTTTAATTAGATGATATCCGCTAATTACTGCGTATAAATTTACGCTAATTGTACTGATTCCTGTTATCACCACATAAAGTCGATTCGAAAAACATAAAGCAACTTTAACTTCACTGCTTACATCTAATAAATCTTTAAGTATGCTCATATTACCAAGGTGCTCATATTACCCTAATCTACCCTATAAACGATGTTTACCAATAATTTTTAAAATACCTAATTATAATTATGTATTTTAAAAATTATTGGTAAACAACGTTTATATATACACATTTTTAAGATGTAATTGAGAATACGAAAGCTATTATTAAAAATGGATGTAAACAAATTTTGTGAAATAAATCTTGTGACGGATTTAACTTAATAACAGACTTTCGGGTCATAGTCAAAGGCATATAACACAACAAACATTAAATTCCATTATTATTACTGGTGCATACAAATGCTAAATATTAACTTAGATAATGTTAAAAGTTAAACTCATGATCAAGAAGACCATTTATATCAATCTATAAGCTTACTTTGTGCACTCGCAACTACAACTTAGTATTTAAAAAAGTATTCAAAAAAAGGAAAATCATTAACATTAGATTTTCTTAACTTTTTCACATTTTTCAAGCTTAAATTGAATAGAAATATTATTACTGATCACACTGTCATATCCAATACATTTAGTAACTTTTTTAAAACAATCCAAAGCAAATTAAAAAGCAAAACCTCCAAAACGCGTATTACCCAGTGGACACGGACGTAAAAAAGACGTCTTTTGAACGTTTTGGACATTTTTTGAACGTTCAAAAGACTTTTTTTTTTTGGTCCGGTCCCCACTGGGTATTCGACTTTCCTAACATTTCTAATGATAAATCCATCTTTATTAATCCTACGACTATAGATGAAAAAAGCGTCTATAACTAAGAAAAGTTGTGTTTCAAACAGCCTACTTACATTTCAACTTATCAAACACATTGTTTTTTAGCCTCTTTGAACTATTATAAAAAACTCATTTAAAAATGGCATTTTGAAAATAAAAAAGTTTTTATTGTTTTTCTTATAAAATTCTTCTCACCCTTTGTTAATAGTTATCTTCAGGTTTATTTTCTCTTTTAAAAAATATACACGTCAACAAACTTAGTATGCATTGTTAAATTTTAGTTGAACATATGCTTTTTTTTTCTTTAGAAATCTTGCCCAGGGCAATGTTGCCAAACAAAGTAGTTCAATTCCATACCAAAAAAAGGCAAATGATATAATGAAATAACAAATTAATAAAATAAATGGCCAATATTAACAAAAAAACTAATAAAATTTTACTTTTCTTGCCCTTTCAACGAATTATTTTAATAGGTTATCAAATTCGATTTTTTTAGCAACTTTATTTTCGATTGACAATTAAAATACCTTTGCGTCAAATATAATTTAACAAACTAAGCATTTTCACATATCTTTGATAAAATTTTCCTATTATTACAATACATTTTTAAAACAATTTTTAAATTAATATTATTGAAATATATATTTTTTTAATTTTAAAACCAGTAAAAATTTTTCAAAACCAGTAACCAAAAATCAAAGCCATCAGTAACCAAATGAAAACCAGTTGTTCATAACATTTTGATTTCTAAATTAGAACACTATGGTATTCGTGGTGTTGTAAGTGACTGGTTTCGATCTCATCTTACAGATCGGAAACTATCTAACAATTTGTAAGTATTAATGCTTATAATTCTACTAATAAATCTGTTGTGTGCGGTGTTCCTCAAGGTTCTGTTCTTGGTCCTCTTTTGTTCTTAATTTATGTTAACAACATAAACAACTTTATTTGCTTTTCGTCAATTCATTTATTTCCTGATGACACAAACCTATTGCTATCAACAAATCGTATAACTCTATGTAAAAACATAAATTCTTATCTGAAAGGTATTGTTCACTGGTTAAATGCACCTAATATGTCTTAACGATAAAAAAACTGGACTAATCTTTTTTTCATTTTCTAGAAAAAAACACAATCTAAACAACAATTCTTGAAATTAATAATAAACGGTTATATCCTACAAAAGTTATCAAATATCTCGGTGTTTTGATTGGCTGCAAACTTTCGTGAAACTTTCATATTGATGAAAACAAATTTCATATTGACGATGCAAGAAACTAACTCGAGCTAACGGCGTACACGCTAGCGGAGTGTGGATCTTTCTTTTATACCGGTGTGTAGCTGTAACTCCTAGACACAAGTGTGAAATTATTTTTCACACTTTTGTGGAAATTAATTTTTTCTAACTTAACTTTTGCAAAAAAGTGTGTAGTTATTTCCGCAAAAATGTGCAAAATAACTCCACACTTGTGTCTAGGAGTTACAGCTACAGACCGATGTGGAAGAAAACTCCACCCTTTCTGCGAGTGTGTACTTACAATAATTCGTCAATATGTCGATAAATTCACACTAAAGAATATTTATTATTCGATGTAGTTAAGGCACTTTTAAAGTATTATAGCGTCTGTATGATATTTTGTTGACTACGACACATTTCCGTTAAATGGTCAGGTCTGTGAATTATGAAAAGACGAAAAATATTAAAATGATAAATTTAGCGGTATCATAAAATATAAATGTTAGTAACGAAAAAACCCAGACCGAAGATTCTTTTTTTTTTAAAAAAAATCATCTTAAAATTACAATCGCTCGTCCGAATTTGAATAAGGTTTTAAATTAAATCGTTTTTTAGGTGAAATAAATATTATAGTTTAACAATATGATCTGTTTTGATTGCTTATTGGCAATTATCCATAATTATAAACTCTTTCTTGGTCGGAATTCTAGTATTTTTTGTGAAAATTGATAGAAATATTGTGCTTTGACAACTATTTGAAGTTAATATACGTCAGAATCGATTAGAACTAGGATCAGTAGTAAATTAAGTAACTTTTTCAAAAGATTTTAATTAAATTCATGTTAACCGATCTTTAGATCAATTCCGCCGATGAGCGGAATTGATCTAAAGACTCCAAAATAGTGTTTTTTAGCTTCACTATTACGGGTAGTAAATAGGTTTTGAAAAATATATATAAAAAAGAAAAGATTCTTTAAATATTAAAAAAACCTGAAGCAAACAAAATTATAGCATCTAAAGCTTTTGTTTGGACATAATACGCTGATAAAATCATACTAGTTCCGAATAAAATTATTCGAATAATTTGTAAATCGCCTTAACTGCATTATTTTTATCGCATCTTAGTTACTGTTGTCAAATATAGGGTCAAAATGGCAACAATCATAACAAAAATTGAGGTCCTCTCAACGTCAATCTATAAGAATCATAAACTTCCATCCATTTAAAAAAACACCAGAAACATCAGAATATTTCAAAAAACTAAAAACTCCAACCTTTCCGGCGCTTGTAAAATTTGCTAATCTTATTGTTTTTGACTCTCTTAATAAAATATACCCTCTTCTATAACAGACTTTTCTACAGAAAGTAGAATAATACATACATACTCTACTAGAAACATATATAATGGAAAACTTAGTGTACCATCTTTTAAAACTCAGAAGTATGGTAAACATTCTGTTATCTATTAGTACATTTGTAAATGGAACAAGAGCCTTGTATGCATAGTGAATGAGTTAAAAAAACTACAACTTCAAACACTTTTATCGTCTTTTCTTAATCTTAAACAAAATCAATTAAAAAAAATTCTGAGAACAATTTTGTTCTAACTTATTAACATGATTTTCATTAAATATTTAAAATATACTCTTATTTTTTTAAATATAATTTCTACAACTATTATCATTAACTTCTTATCTGTTTATTTTTTTATTATTATCATCAAAGTATGATTTTTAAATGTTCTACGTCTGTATGCTTATTATTATTCATATGTTTAGAAACTGTTGTCATTGCTTTGATCAGTATTCTGTTGAGTGACACCATTCTTATCAATTGTTTAGTTATTATTATTAAATTCTTATAATTAATTTACTCATTTTTATATTATTTTATATTATTATTATTATATGCATATATATATATATATATATATATATATATATATATATATATATATATATATATATATATATATATATATATATATATATATATATATATATATATATATATATATATATATATTAATCAATTATTTTTACTTATTGCAATCAATAGAATAATGATTTTTATTATTATTATTATTATTATTATTACTATTATTGTTAATATTACTATTATTGTTATTGTTGCTATTGTTATTATTATTATTATTATTATTATTATTATTATTGCTATTATTATTATTATTATTATTATTATTATTATTATTATTATTATTATATTTATTATTAGTGTAATGTTATGTATGATTTAAAAAAGAAGAATAAATATTTTCTTGTTGTTGTTGTTTTATTTACAGTAACCAAATCAAAACCAGTAATCAAAACTGAGTTTTGATTACTGGTAATGGTAGTATGTGGCACATACTACCATTACCAGTAATCAACACTCAGTTTTGATCACTGGTAATAATAGTATGCAATTTTTCTAAATTTTATTTTTATCTTTTCCCATTTTGTTTATTATAACATTGATTTTGTTTTTAGTTTTAGAAGAACAATATCTGACTCATTCATCAGCGCAAAAAGTTTTTCCCAGTGAAATATCCTGTAAATCTCTAGAAAACAAACTTAAATCATCATTCAGTTGTTTGTTAAGTTTTAAAACTAAAAAGTACATATTTTATGAAATAGAAACAAAAACCTATGGTAATTTATATATTGCTTTAACAAGGAGCAAATCATTTTATACTAATAAATTTCATGAGTTTTATGATTTATATAATGGGTTTCACCGAATTAATGAGAAAGAAAACCAAAGTTGCATTTTGGAAGGATATATTTTAGATGAAAATTCTAAAGTTATACTAAATATATGTGGAGGATTGGTAAGTTAAATATTATCTTAATACATTGAATATGCAAATTTACTTTATTATGTAAATAGTATAATAAACACACAAGTTGAAAGTTTGTTTTCTTAATGCCTTTCAATCTTTTCTACCATTACTAATATGCATAGGTGGTTGAACATTTGCTTAATAATGGAAGAACATTTGCTTTGTGTTTGGGAGGTACAGGGTTCAAGAACACCATACCCCAGGAAGTAGAAAGCTCTTTATTTGTATTAAATTTTGTTTATTTAGCAAGGCTTGATTTCAAAATCAGATGTAGATTTATTTATCTCCCCTTCAAAAAACGGTGCTGAAGGAGAACATATTTTATATTTATCTGAAGACTCTTTAAGAAATAATGATCAGCAATTAAAGGAAAATAGTAGAAAAGAAGATAACATAAATAAAACATTCAAATGTGGTTTTTCTGGTAATTTATTTTTAAAAGCTAATTTGCAATCAAAATCTTTTTTGTTTACTATGATGTATAACAATTTTACAATTGAAAAATGCTTTTTTTAGAAAGATTGCAGCATCGAAAGGTTTTTCATAGATATAAACTTTATTCAAATGAAGTATTAGGAGCTCTGGCAATCCCAAATAGACGAGTAAGACGTGCATTTTCTCAAAAGCATTATATAGAGACCATGATTGTAGCTGATCAAACAATGTTTGAGTTTTATGGTGAAAATGAAAAAGAACTTCGTAACTATCTTCTTTCTGTTATGGCCATAGTGAGTTAATTTTTTTTGTTGTAATCAAAGGAAATTTTAGTATATCTTTTATTATATAATAAGAAAATAGTATTTTGCAATTTGGTAATTTGTTTAAACCAAACAAGAATGGGACTGCTGATATTAAACTAACAAAATACTTGCATACTGCTATAATATAGTATTAGGTGTTATAAGTATGAAGTTGTATTAACTGTATTAGGCCACTGTAAAGTAATAGGACACTGTAAAGGATCTGGTAAATGGTAACTGTAAATGCTAACTGATCACTTTAAAGGAACTGTATTAGGTCCATCTAAAGAGATATTATTGCAGCATTGTAGCAAATTTCTGATTGTATTAGGTTGAATTCTGTTGTATAATTGCTTCAGGATGAATAAGTTTTTAAAATTACAGTAGCTTGAATTGTGCTGCATAATTGTAGAATTAATGACGAATTAAAGTAGGTTGTAATAAATTTTGCTATTATTTACTCAAATATATGTTTTTCTTTTCTCTTCAGGTTTCAAGTATATTAAAAGATAGCTCTATTGGGAATTTTATACATGTATCACTTGTGCGCCTGGTTATTTTAACTAAAAATCCTGTACGATTAACAGCTATACCTATATTGATTTTTTATTGAATAAAAATTTCATTAAATGAAAAATTTATTTTTATTTAATTCTTTTTTTAGCCTGAATTAGATATAACTAGTGAAGCTCAAGAGTCTTTAAGAAAATTTTGTAAATGGCAAAAACGCTTAAACAAATGGAGTGACAATGATCCTGAATACTTTGATACAGCTATTTTGATTACTCGAACTAATCTTTGTACAAACACAAAATGTGATACCTTAGGTTTGGCAGAGCTAGGTAGCATGTGTGATTCATTGCGTAGTTGTTCGATTGTTGAAGATAATGGTCTGAGTGCAGCATTTACAATAGCCCATGAATTAGGCCATCTTTTAAATTCTCCACATGATGGTATAAATGATTTATGTACTGAAGAACTTGATAAAGTTCATATCATGACTCCATCTTTTAGTCTACGCTCTAAAACCTGGACATGGTCTGCATGTAGCCGTAAATACATTACCTCGTTTTTGGAATCTTCAGAATCTACTTGTTTGTTAGATAAGCCTTTTAATATTGACTATAAAGCTCTTAGTAAACTCCCTGGAGAAATATATTCTACAGCTGACCAATGTAAACTTATCTATGGGGAAAACTCAACTGTTTGTCACACAAGAGTAAAAATTGTTCAATATATTTTTTTTTTTAATGTTAGCAAACAATAAAACATAATTTTTACATTTTTAAAAGTAAGAATTACCTTTTCAAAGTATTATATTACAAGCAATAACATAAGCTATTTAGGCTTGGGTTGAAAATAATGGGTTAGTTTATAAAATTTATATTTTTATAATTCAATTAAGTTATGTATGTTTACATATATACGTATACATACACACATTCATATATATATATATATATATATATATGTATATATATATATATATATATATATATATATATATATATATATATATATATATATATATATATATATATATATATATATATATATATATATATATATATATATATATATATATATATAAGAGAAAGGAGGGTAAGTGTGGGCACCTAATGAGTTTTTATTCATAAAAAGAGTAATTAAAATGATAGACAGTTGAAATTTTTATACAATGATCTTTAATATGTAGCAAAACTTTAAACATTATACAAATAATATTGCATTGAAAGAAAACCTTGAAAATATAAATTTTACGTGCGCACTAACAATAATTGCAAATAAATGGCTGAGTTCCTACATAACTAGTGCATTCTTCATGCTACCAATTCTTGCAAAGTCCGCATTAAATCCATTCTTCATCCATTTGCCCTGCTTCTTCACAAGCTAGACGAATTGTATCTTCATTTTCATCATTTTTAATATTTTTTAAACATGTTTTTGGTTTTTTTAACATTTTTAACTTTTTTAACCTTTTTAAAACTAGATTTTTCTTTAGAAAATTCTATCCTTTTTTAGATTTGATTGATTTTAGCCTTTTTTTAATCTTGTCTTTTAGCTTCTTTTTATATGGAGACCACCTTATGACTGTTGATTGTTGAGTCTCTTCTTTTTAGTTTGCCTTTCCATTTTTTTTGGAAGAGAAATAAGTGTATCAATATGAACTTTTATGTTATTGGAACATGTAGGGAAAGATTGTCCTTGAAACATCCTTGAACAAGAATGGGGTCATCCTTTTCCTAGGAAAAATAAATGCAGGTCGCACAAAAATTCCAGTAGCGCTCTTGCAACAAAAGTAACAATTTGTCCTCTCTCTGCACTAGAAATCTTGAAGATGGTTTTTTTGCCACAGGAGCTTACAATCTTGGGCATTTTATTTGGAACATTGGAAATACCTGTTTCATCCATATTGAATTTTCTATGAATGCCTTTAGCCATTCTTTCCCTACCACCCTTTTTTCTTGATTGAATCTTTCGGAGACCCCATTCAGTTCAGCATATTCAAAAGTAATCCTCATGATATGCATTCTAGTTAGTCCATAAAACCTGTTATCAAGATCCTTACAGTGTTGAGCAAGCTTTTTTTCCAATTCATCACTGAGAGCATTTCTGAAACGTCCTAGAGTATCATACCCTGAAACAAACAAAAACAGTAAAATGTTATAAATATACTATATTATATGAATAAAGAATATTCCAATCTCCAGAAAACTTTAATTAACTTACAGTTTTAAGCCTTTTCCTCAAAGAGCTCTTGAAAACACCTAATACTTGGGCTACTTTTCTTTGACTTTCACCAGTATTCTTCCTTAGCTACTTCCAACATATCTGTCTGTGATGAGAGTTCTATCAGTCTTTCATTTGTATGGTGGTATTTCAAAACATTTGTAATTTTTAAACTGTAAATAACTGTGAAAAAATACAAATTTAATTATTAAAGAAACCATACAACATCAAATTTCAAACTACATTATTTGAAAGTGAATTTTTGTTGTATGAGAAATTTGCACATGATGCACACTCTTGGCCACTTTTGAATGTGTTTTAAAAGTTATAACCAGATCGCAACACCTTATGCAAATTAAAATTTTAACCTCACTTATTATTAGGAACTAAAATTACTACAACTTATTATAATATTTATCATATTTCATAAATTTGAATATTAACTAAACTCCTTTACGTGCTAAAGTATGGAAACCATAACTTACCTGATATTTCAAAACACTGATAGGTAAATAAATTAACCAACACGCGTTTTTGTATTATCATTCTTACCCTCTTTTCCCTTATATATATATATATATATATATATATATATATATATATATATATATATATATATATATATATATATATATAAATTTAGTATTTGTGGTAAATAAAAACCAAGCACAAAATTGAGTACCCTTTATGTAAAAACCATTAAATTTAATTAAGGAAACATTAAATTTTATTGTGTTTTAAAAAACCGCAAAAACACAACTTTAAAGACTAGAATGCTTTTGATTGAAAAAAAGACAAAACAAAAATAACATTCTGAATGTCTTAATTCTTTATTTCTTTACTGATTATTGACTGACAAATAGAACATGTGTGGAGTGCTGCTAGAAATGGGGCAATCTTTTTTTAATTATTTTTCATATTTCTAAACATATGAAAAGACAAAAAATTTGAAATATTCAATGAGTTTGAAAATCTATTTGAAAATAGATTTTAAACTCTCTCTCTGAATCTAAAACAGAATTTTCAGTTAAATTCATTAAGTAAATCATTTTTCGGGTTGTCTAGTGGAATAGAAGCAAAATAAATGAAAAATGTACTGGAAGATTTGAAATTAAAAATAATATTTTTTCTATTTCTGTTGACACAACTGCATCTAACACTGATGCACATGAGTTCAACTTATTAGTAAGTACATTGTTGGAAATCACATAATGAAGATTTTATGCTGTCAGCATATATAAAAGACGCATCTATCATTTTGTGAAAGAAACAGAAAAGACTAAGAAAAAATATCTATATAACTAGGTTATATTTTGAACCCAACTAAAATGATTTTTGGGACACACTAATGTAAAACCTACAGTTGACTATAATTCAGCAGATTTCATGTACACCTAATGTTTGAATCATTTAAAAAAATTAAATTTAATGAAAACAGAACACAAAAAAAAACACAAAGTAGGTATTATTGCATCATTTTTTTTGAAAAAGCTGTTTTTGAAAATGAAAGATTTAAAAATATCAAAATAGCAAAAGCCTGTTTTGATATTTTTCAAAATATGCAAAAGCTTATTTTGAGCTTTAAACCTGATTTTTGGTATTTTCATTTTTAAACCTTACAATGAAACTTAACAAAAATGCCTGAATTTAATTTTTATGAAGTTTGTATAAAAAACACTGCCCCGCATCTTAACCAAGTTTTAGCCAATTTAAAGTGTAAGTTATACTTTTTTTAGGGTAGACAAAGCCATATCATTTTAATTAAAGATATTCTTCTTTACCCTTAAAGTTTTTTTTTAAATGTTTATGTTTGCCCTCAAGATGCCTAAAATAAGCTGTTTTTGGTCACTTTAAGGTACTTTTTTTTCTCTATGTCCCTTGAGGGCAAGGAAAAAGTGATTCAATGGTGCTTAAATTATACAAATTTTAGTTTTATAATAATAAATAATTTATTCTAAATTATTTATACTAATATAGAAAAATTAAGGTTACATTAAACTAAGAAATCGTAGATTACTTTTGTTTTCTTTTGCGCCAACCCTGATAAATTTTTTTATAATTCTTTATATTTAGATTTTTTTAAAGTGATTATGAAAGAATATTGCAATAATTCTTTTAAAGAAAAAGTAATAATGTAAATTCTTGCTTCCATACAGTTATTTGAATTTAATATAACATGTCTTGGTCAACTAATAATAACTTCATATAAAACCTCCAATTTAATTTGGGTAAGGGTGAAAGGGGGAACGTACCAATGGCTTTAAAAAAATTGTTATTTGCTAAAAAATTGTCAGATTAAGAAAAAAAAAGGTTCTAATCAAGTGAAAATTAGCAATCAAGCAATTAATTGGTCACTACCAGCTATTTTTAAATAATTTTTTCGTTTTTGATTTTTTTAAAATAATTTTGATATAGGTAGAATGTGATCGGATATGGTGTATTGATTCAAACAACTTGAGTAAGCCATGCTATACAAACAATATGCCTTGGGCTGATGGTACAAAATGTGGATCTAAAATGGTGAGTAACAAAATGGTTAGTTTAGCTATTGTAAGATAGTATTTAAAAATTTTGTTATAATCTTTTACATTACACCTTACACCCAGTTATTAAAACATAATATTATTACCAATAACATAATACATATCATACTGCAAAACACTATTTGAAATATCATTTTCACAAATTATTTTCTGTCTCGGAATGAGTCTAAAAAAAAAATCTTATAAAAAAATCTTATAAAATAAGAATTTCTGATTGCCACATGTTTTTAGAAGAATGTTTTCTAAAAGAAAGCTTTTTTGTTTATATCCCAAGATAAAGTTAAATGTAAATATAAAATATATATTTTAAAAATTTTCTTTCATTTTTATTTTATCTATTTTATATTCACATTTGTTCTGAGTTTTTTTTTGAGGCTTAAATTATGTTACCTGTGCTTCAATTTTATTCTAACCCTTCAATGCCATGAAAATATTTTGACATTGTTTTGAAAATACCATTATGATATTACATCATTTATGAGACATTTAAAAACAATTTGTGTAACATTTTCTTTTGTTTTTTATACATTATATTTAGTTAAAATTATATTAAGTTTGAATTAAATTTATGAATTTTGAATCACATTAAAGTTTGAATTATATTAAACTTAGTTTGAAACTACATTTTGGATCTGGAAAATGTAAAGACATTTTCCAGATCCAAAATGTAAAAGTCCATCGATTTGTCCAAAAAATAATTACTATTTTGATTTTTTTTTTTTTTTTTTTTTTTATTTTTTTGTGCATAAAAATAATGAAGACTTTATCATTGACTTTTTTTTCATGCGTTACAATATTTAACTTTAACTTTTAATTTTAAATTTTATTTGAAAATTTTCGATTGTAAAATATTGAATACCTTTTAATATATTAACATTTTAAAAATTTGAAAATAGTTATACATAAGTTTAGAAGTGTATATTAAAAAGTATAGTGTTTAGAAGTGTATATGCAACTATTTGCAAGCAAAATTTTAACTGCATATTGTAGCAAACACAGTGTGCATGAAAGTAAAAGTAAAAGCTTTTTGTTCAATGTGAAAATGAAGCTTTTTGTTCAATGTGAAAATGAAGCTTTTTGTTCAATGTGAAAATGAAGCTTTTTGTTCAATGTGAAAATGAAGAATGTGAAATGAAAAATGAGTAAAAGTTTAAAATTGAATATTTCTTTTCACCAAGTTTGCAGCATTTTAATTTATGCAGTTTTAGAGTCTGTAAACAATGCAATTTCACAACACATCAGTGGTTTTCTTAAGTTAACTTAAGTAAATTTTGTCATTTTTTAAATTCTGTCTTATACATAAATTATATAATAATGCTGCATGAATTATATATAAATTATATAATAATGCTGCATGAATCTTAATTCTTGTAAGATAATTATTCTTTTTCTTTATATCACTTTTTAAGTTGTAAAAATTTTTAGATTTCATTGTCTCTGTATTGTTTTGAAAATTGAAAATAAATTTTCAATTTTCAATACTGCATTTAAAAATATACTTATTTAACTTTTGCTGACTTAGAGTCGCTTGGCTGGAAGAACCATCTGTGTTAATTATGGTCTTTATCATAGAAATTTCATGAATAATTAAAATTAAATAAAAATAATAGTTAAAGATTAAATTACATATTTGCATAATCAATTTTTGTATTTTAATTTTCTATTTTACTTTTTTTTTAATAATTTTATTTACACCTAATTTTTTTTATATTTTAGTGGTGTAGACGTGGTACTTGCCTAAAAAAAATTGAGTATGAACCTGTTCATGGTGAATGGGGAGAATGGAGTGAATATGGTGGTTGTTCTCGCACCTGTGGTGGAGGAATTAAATTTACAACTAGAGAGTGTGATAATCCCAAACCTGCATATAATGGCAATTATTGTTTCGGAATTCGGAAAAAGTATGAATCGTGCAATACAGATAGTTGTCCCTTAAATTCAAAGCCATTTAGAGCTGTTCAATGTTCAGCATTTGATGGGAAAGACCTTAATATTCCAAACATACCTAAAGATGTTCAGTGGTTTCCTAAATATGTTTTGGAAGAAGAATGTAAGCTGTACTGTGAATATAAAGGGTCTTCAAATTTTTATGAATTGGCATCAAAAGTAATAGATGGTACAAAATGTATGAATGAAACAAACAGTGTTTGCGTAGATGGCAAGTGTGAGGTATAAATGCCTTTAAATTAATATAAATATATGTTTAAAACGAGGTTTAGAAAATATATTAAATGTATTTTTTCATATATGGTAAATTGAGTAATTGTCATAGCACTTTTCATTCACATATAAACATACATACGTAATATGAAACTAAGTACAAAAACCACATCTCTGGTTGTACCACTGGCAACTTGTTTCTCCAGGCAGCGGCCTTGTTTGTCAAGGTTTGTGTTTTGGAGTCATAGAATTCTTAGAGGGTTTTAATGACAATAAAAATAAAAGAAGTCTAATGAATAAAAAAAAATTGTAATGAATAATAATATAAAATAAAAATTGTCTGTAGTCACTCCCTCAGCCTTGGGGAGATGAATATATTTTAAAAAAAGGTTATATGTACAAAAAAACAAAATAGTGAATAAAACAGGTCAACAAAAAAACTTTTTTTTCTGTCGAGCAAACAATTTGTTTTTTGTATAGCATTTCTCATTTTGATTTTAAATATGCAACTCATTTTTCACAATCAGGTCAAGTTGTAAAGATATTTGGGTTCAAATCTTTAGCATTTGTAGTAAAATCTGTCACAAAAAAAAACTTATTCAAAATTATGTCAACCTGGATCTCAAAAGAAGTGTATTTTCATAGAGATTTTAAAAATAAATGATATATTTTTGAATAATTTTTTTTTTGACAATGTTAAAAAAAAAACTTTTTTTTCTGGTGTCAAGCAAACAATTTGTTTTTTGTATAGCATTTCTCATTTTGATTTTAAATATGCAACTCATTTTTCACAATCAGCACAGTGGTCATTTTCGGGGTCAAAATCTGCAGAAAATCCCAAAAGTGTCATGAAAAGATTTTTTAAATTTATGGTATTCATCAAAAAATAGGATAGTTGTATAGCCATAATATGAGGTTTAAAAGAAATTGAAGTAAAAATAGGTTGGCTATGAGTAGAACAACAGGAGGAAAAAAGTAGTGAAAAATTTACTGAAAAATGACTATTTTTAAAGTGGGTCTTAGAAAATAATGGGTGAAAATTTTCAAATTTTTGTTTAATAATTTTAGTAATACATATAAAAAAATATTAGAAAAGTAAAAAAAAAAAATTTAAAAACTATATTGCTATGTATAGTAATGATTTTTTCAAACGTCAGAAAAAAAGTTTACTACATGTCAAAAACAGTGCTGCAACTTTTTCCCAACAAATCCCAACAAATTGGGACCAAATCAGGTGAAGAGAGGAAATAAAGACCTTTAAAATGACACATGAAATTGTTGCGGGGAGTTGCGGGAGCTTATTTTATTGACTTTTAAAGTTCGCGCAAGCATGTGTGCGCGTGCGATCGTAATTGTCGGCGAGCGTAAAAATTCGAAATAATAAGCATCTTGCACTTTGGCTTGCGGAGTTTTGATACAATTTGCAACATTGGATATCGCCAAGATGTCAAAAAGTTCCATCTTCATATGAGCCCTGATGAAAAAAGACTGGTTGCAAATTGGGAGACACGAGTCAAGCAAGAATTTCGGGAGCAGCTGGGTCTAATTGTTGACCAGAGGCGGGATGGAGGTGCTGGCACTACAACAACAGGAAATGTTGCTCGCAAAGCTTTTCAAAACCCAGGTAGCTACACTTGCAAGTTTTGGTACTTTCACCAAACTTTTTGGGAAGCATTCAGAAATAATTTAGTTTTTAGATATTATGTCTTGTCAAGTTGCATGAGCATCACATCATAGCTTTGCTGTCAATTTGGAGAAATTCAAATCTTGATATCTGTATATTCCTACATATTTTCTTTCTTTTTTAGAAATTGTTGCAAGAATCTGTGATGTCCCTGTCAAACTGGTTGAAAATCTTGGAACACTCTGGTCTGCCCTTGCATCTGGATATGCCATTGATCCAGACAAGTTTGGAGTTCTGTGTGAAGAGACTGAGAAGATTTATTTTGACCATGTAAAATGGTACTGGTTGTCCCCAACAATTCTCAAGGTTCTGAAACATGGAAAACAAATCATTGAAGCTTGTGTTCTTCCAATTGGAATGACCAAAGAGGAACCAGGAGAGGCTAACAACAAATTTCTTCGAAAAATCTGTCTTTATCATGCTCAAAAATCATCCTGGCTCAATGGCATGTCTGACCTTTTCTTGAGACTGATGGACGTCAGTGATCCAAAGATACAGGTAATTTGGAATTAAGCATATTCAAAATTTTTCCAATTTCAATAATTTTTCATGCTTATTTAATTTAAATGATTTCTGAAACAGGACCTTTTTTCATTTGAATTTCCCAATTTAGCTTTGATAGCAATATTTTCTTTCATCCATTAAATGTTATATATAATTTTTAGGCTTATGTCCACTGCAAGAAAAAGAAGCACAACTCAGAGATCTTTCCTGAACCCATCAAGAAACTCTTGAAGATGCCAGAACTTCAAATTTCTAGAGATGCCTCTGATTCAGAAGAAGAATAAAGAAGTCAAACAAAGCAACCAAAGCCTCTCATAAAAATTAAAAAAATTCTCATACATTCCCAATTTTGTTATTTATCTAATGTTATTAGTTTCAACCAGATTAAACAAAATTGATATGCTTAACTCTATGTAAAAAAATATTTTCTTTGATGTAAGCACTTATGTTGTGCCTAATATAACCAACTAGAACCTCATTTGTGTTAATTTTTTTTTAGCAATACATTTAAAAACTGTCATACATGATGGGCAGGTTGGTAATCTCCCTGTGGGTATTCCTCATGCTTAAGTAAAAATGTTTTCTGCCATTATCATGTTTGATATGATATTTGTGTGAAATTTCTTCTATTTAATAAATCCATTTTGATCTTTAAGGTAATGAGACACATAATTCATTTTTGCAACCTAGCATTAATTGCAAAGTGTCAAATCTAACTTAAAAAAGTGAATATTTTATTTTTTAAAGCAATTTTTTGGGTTATTTATAATTTTTACTTCAAATATGTTCATACCGGCTCTTTTTGAACACATAAAAAATGTTTTAGATTTTCTGCAGGTTTTGACCCCCAAAATGACCACTGTGATCAGGTCAAGTTGTAAAGATATTTGGGTTCAAATCTTTAGCATTTGGAGTAAAATCTGTCACAAAAAAAAACTTATTCAAAATTATGTCATGGATCTCAAAAGAAGTGTATTTCTGGATCTCAAAAGAAGTGTATTTTCATAGAGATTTTAAAAATAAATGATATTTTTTTGAATAATTTTTTTTTTGACAATGTTAGGAATTTTACCAATTTTTAAAATTGGCTTTTTCGACCAGCCATTTTAAAATAATAATCAATAACATGATTGGTTAATGATAATTTACAATTATATTTAAATTTTAATTTATTATAAAGTATTTTTTTAATTTATTTATACTGGTTTTATTTAACTTATCTAAATCTGTTTAAAAAACTTGTTAGTAATGTATATTTAATAGTTTTTTTAATAATTTTATTTATAAAATCCATTTTTGAACTAATAAGCAATAGTTAGCAACCAATAAGCAATAGTTAGCAACCAATAAGCAATAGTTTAATTTGATAGTTCGGTCATGAGAACAAAACCAGAAACTTTGATATCAGTAGTGTTACACTTCAGATTTAAACATACTTTACCAATAAAAAAATACTTTTTTGCAAATAATAGAATGTTAAACAAACATAAACGAACCAAATAAATTTAATCAAAAAGATTTTTCGTTAAAAAAACTGTACACAATTAAACATTATTCAAAAATTAGAAATTTTTGTTGGACAAGTATTTCTGTGTCCCTTCAACATCCAACTTTAACGCTCCTGTTGAGCGTATCTTTTGTCAGAGTGGCAGCCCTCAGATTTAGGGTTTGGCATTCGGCAATGCCGAATTATAATTCTGAAAGCCATTTCATATATATCTGTAGATATATATGAAATGGCTATCATATATATCTACAAAAATATTTTCTTATTGACTTCGTTGAATTCTGAGCGCATAACCTTGGTATAATTTCACAACATGTGGTTTTATTGTCACAGTACTTACTATCTGCAGTTTTGTTAATAATTGGCCTTAATGTAAGGCCAAAATTTAAGTCTTTGGTCTAGAAAATCTTTGCGTAGATCATGGCCTTGAAACTCTTATTCTTGGCCTTGAAACTTTTGGTCTTGGTCTTGGCCTTGTAACATGTGGCCCCGGTCTTGGCCTTGCTACTTTTGGCTTTGTTAACAACTCTTTGGTCTCTAAACTAGGTTTATTTCACCAATCAAAAGTATTTTATTAATTTTATAATTTTGTTAAATTGTTTTAGTTATTTAATACAGTTTTTTCGCATTAGTTTTAAAATTTAACTATTAAATTGTATTTATATTTATTATTTTTAATTTGCAATTTTTGTTGATCAAATGTATATTGGATCAGAAAATTATCCAGAGTTAGTTTTTAAAGAGTCTCCATTTTCTCTAAAAGTCTCCATTTTTTCTGAAAGAACTTAGAATATTCCCAAAGGATGTCTGTAATACTGCGTTAGATGTACAAAATGCAGCTATAAGCATTTTATATAAAGTTCAACTTTGGCACTTACTTCTAGAAGCTCAATATTTCAGAGATGCCTAAATTGGTTTCCAAATTATTTTTTTTTAAGTTTTGGACCAATCACAAGGATAAGTTAATGCAAGTCCAAAAAACTATTTGCTAGATTTGTGTCCTTATAAGCCCTTAAACAGGCCTATATTGCCTATTTGGTGGAGGCCAAATTGTCAAGGATGTATTAAATCAGGTTGTCATTGTAAAATATGAATTTTGCAAAAATTTATTAACTTGAAAAAGAGCATTGAGGTTATTCACTTTTGTCATCTATTCAATGTCTTGCCTTGTCTTGTTTACTTAATTTAGAATAATTAATTAGCAACTTTTCCAAGTTTTAAAAAAAGTGTCTGCTTTATGAGTTTGTTTTAAAATAACCTAAAGTTAATTTACTGATCTTGTCAGAATTGCAAGGAGTTTTTTGAAGAAGATTTGGAAAAATTGAACACTACGTGAATCATTCTTTTTTCTTTTTTTTTTTAAATCTTATAAAGAATTTATTTCCATCTTGCACAGACTTGCACAGAAATTGAGTGCTTTTTATTAGTTTATAGTTTTTAACAAAGTTTTTTTACAAGTCTTACTGTTTAACTATATTTCATATAACTGAAACCTTTAGAATGCGAAACAAACATGCATTTGCATAATTTTCTTTATGTGGTGAAGCTTTTTCAGGCGTTGTAAAAATAGCTTTTGGTCACTAAAAATTTTATTCAATCACTATCATTTATCTGCTACTATTGTTCCACATATGATTGGATTTAAATTAGGACAAAATCCAAATCCATATTTGAATCCAAGTAAACTACTTCAATGTCTTGACAATTTATTTTGTTCTAAAAACAAAAGTAAACAAATTTTTTTTTAGAATTTAGCTGTAAATACTAAAATGGTCATTTTACTTTTACTTTTGGTAGAAGTAATTTTTGTTTCAAAAACCTAAGTAAAACCATTAGTTTTTCCTATGATTTGCGAAGTTTGTAAAAATTGAAAATAATTTTAATATGATATGATAATCTTTTCAGTAAGATTATCTTTACACTTTTAATACTTTATTATGTATTTACTAAGAGAATAAACCATTCCAGTTTTTTAGATTTTAATTTTAGTCTCTAAAATGTTTTTTTTTTTTATTTATCATAAATACCAAAAAAAAAAAACATTTTTAAAGGAACATTTTTTTTTTGACTGATAAAATTTTTGATGGATAAAATTTCTAAATGTATTTCAGTAACCATATAAAGTATGATTTTTTTTTTCAAAATTAGTTTCTAAAAGTATTGTCGTTTAATTTTAACAAAATGTTTAAGCAAATTTGTAAAAAAAATTTAGGTTAGCGGATGCGATAATGTTCTTAATTCACAGGCAAAAGTTGACAAATGTGGCATATGCAATGGAGATAATAGTTTATGCAAAACATTCTATGGGTATAAAAACATCTCATCATATGGTAACTCTTTTCTTGTAAAGTTTAAATTAAGTTTATTTGAAATTGTTATTAATTTGTTAAACTATTTTTCATAGGTTATAACTTTGTTGTTCTCGTCCCAAAAGGAGCTAGCAACTTAAAAGTGGTTCAAGTTTCAGAAAAACAAAACATGTCTGATAGACATTTTCTAGGTATTCATTGTTTTTTTTTACTGTATATAATTTGCAATTATTTATCTTGAATTTAAGTTACAAAAGTTGTATTTTGAGCTATAATATTTAGTATTTTAATTTATACAATTAATTATAGTTTATATCATTAATTTTATAACTATTCTATAAAAATCATTCATTTTAAATGTTGGTTTGAAAATTGAGACATTGAGTTAGTAAAATGAACAAGTGAGTTTCAAATCAAGTCTCAATGTTGATGATAAAATTATAAAATTTCTTATAGATAAAAATGATTAATAAAATAACAATATTATATCAACTGTTACTGTTACATTAACACATTATGTTACTGTGGTAACATAATGTGGTAGTAGTGTAGTGTTAGAGTGCTTGCTTTATAAGCAAGAAGTTCTAAGTTCCCCATCGCGTCACTGGTGGTACCCCACTAATTTGTTATTTCGCATAGCATCCTTTTTTGTCAAGGTTTGTGTTTTGGAGTTTAAGAGTTGAGAGAGGATCGTAACCACAGTAAAAAAAAGTTCTTTAACTGTGATGGCCTTCTCTATATACAACAACAGTTAAATATAAATAAACAAATTCAAATATATCATAATATTTATTTTATCACAATAATTTTTTTATGTTCTTATTGTTTTTTTGGCAGGTTAAACTTCTTAAGCATTTTATAGAAATTGTTATCTAATTGAATATTTTAACATAATTTAAAAGTATTTTGTTTTCTGCACTAGTTTTCTTGTGCAAATAAAAGACTTGTTCCACAAGTCTTTTATTTGCACAAGATATTATTTTTAATTTTTTTTTTAATTTTCAGGATACATTTATTATTTTTCTGTAACATTTTCTATTACAACTTTATTAATTTCATTACATTTTATTAAATTTTTTGGTACAAATGCTTAGATGATAATCTTTCTCATAAAAACATATTTTAAAAACTAGGTATTTTTAAAGGATTAACTTTGACAGGTTCTATATTATATTTATTGTAAATAGCAAAACAGCAGTATATATTTCCAGTAACAAAGTAGGTAAAGTGACAGTGTGAAATAGCTGCATTTTAAAGTATTAAAACAAGCAAATGTTTTGATTTAAAATGAATGAAAATTTATAAATAAAAAGAAAAATAACTGAAAGAGAAGATAAAAACTCACTTGATTTTTAATTTTATTTTTTCAACTGTTTTTCAAATTAAAAAAAAAAATTAAAAAAAAATGACAACTTTATTTTGTAAGATAAGACAGATCTAGGAACAGTTCATTTTTTACACAATAACCTATGTGTAGACTTTTTTAATTTATATAAACATTACTTTATTTGATAAAAATGGCTTTTGCGTTAGGTATAACCCATATTTGCATCATGTAAATCTGTTGACATAAAATTATTATTTTTTATTTTATTTAGTACTTTTAAACCAACAAAAGTATTATATTAATGGTGATTGGAGGTTATCTTCTGGAAAAGGATGTTTTACTGTGGCAGGCAACACAGTGTGTTATTCTGGTTTTAAATCACCAAATGAAACTATTACAGTTACTGGAACATTAAAAAGTGATATGGAAATAAAGGTTAATTAATTAAATATTTTTTTTGTAATTGATTTTTCTGTAAATACTTTTACTGTATAGAACAAAATTCTATTTGTTGATAGCATATCACCTTTGAATTTTTAGGTTTTAAGCGATGATAAAAATCGAAATTGTAATATTTATTATACATATAATTATCATGATCATGAAGAAAAAAAATTTAAATGGTCACTAAAAGAATTTTGGACAGAATGTTATCCAATCTGCAAAGGTTAAAATCTTGTATTAATAATTTGGTATTTGAATTTATCATCAACATCATCATCATCATCATCATCATCATCATCATCATCATCATCATCATCATCATCATCATCATGTTAAAATTTATATTATTGTATTTCTGAAGCTAAATCTGAATACATTGAAATTTTAAATATTTGTTTGTGTTTTTTTATTTTTATTTTTGTTAAAGAAATTATGTTGTATAATGTTTTACTTTTTTTTTTATTTCAAATTTTTTTATTCCTTAGGATACCAGTCACGAGAGTATGAATGTCTACAAACTAATGATTTACAAGTAGTTGCAGATAGTAAGTGCAAAGGTGAAAGGCCACAAGGAAAAATACGCACTTGCAATGATAACTGCTACTTGCAGTAAGTAAAATTTTTTTTCCTAACAAGTTTTTTAAAAGTTAAAGGTAAGTAACAGAAAGAAAAAAAAAAGAAAACAAATAGGGTTAAGTATGTTTTTTTTTTCAAAAACTATAATTATCCAAACATAAAACATGAAGGGTGGTGTTACCACACTTGTTAGTGAAAAAGTCTATGTTTGGGCAGGCTTGGTCGGGAAGCGGGTGCGATCGCACTCGATATTTGACCACATAAATTATATTTATTTGCGAAAAGCCGGCCAGATTTTTTAGGCGTTTTGAGAACATTTCAAAAACAAGCAAAAAAGCGCAATAAGATAAACTGGACCAATGAGAGACAGTTAAAAAAAGAAAAATAGCTTTTAACGCGAAAAAACTTTAAGCAAAATAAATACGATTAGAGCAAATATTTTTGAAACGTCGCTCTTTTATAATTTTTTTTTTAAAAAAAAAGCGACATTTTTTGTATATAGTAGCAACGTACTAATAATGATTGTTTAATAAAGAAACAAATGTTCTTCAATTTATCAAAGATTATATATAATTTTTATTTATATACTTATGTCTTATTTCCAGTGCTGGAAATAAGAGGTGGGGGGGGGGTAGAAGAGCTAGTCCCGGGACACACAATGTTATGGGCCGAGAAATAGTCAAGAGGACCTATCGGTATTTTTAAGTCATTTTTACGCTGTCGCGCATAAAAAAGGCCACCAAAATAATGCAGCCCCTGGCCCTGTAAAGTCCAACAAGATTAAACCAATAAAACTAACGCTACATAATTTAATTATAAATAAAAAAAGTTTTTTCAGTACCTGTTTTATGCTTCGCGTAGTTTGAAAAGTTTAACATATTTGAAACAATTCTTCTTAGTAAGATGAACAAATGAAATAACTAAATCATTGAGTTACTGCGGAAATTTAATTAGCTAGATAGAAATTAACTAAAAACGTTAAATTACTTTGTTAGGAGGAAGCGGAACTGCATAACAATATATTAAAATTTATGTTAAAATAATAAATTTATTATTTTGCGGACAAACAAGGAAACATACATAAACTTAAATGTTCTCAAAATGCCTGAAAAATCTGGCCGGCTTTTCGCAAGTAAATATAATTTCCGTGGTCAATTATTGAGTGTGATCGCACCCGCTTCCCGACCAAGCCTGGTGTTTGGGTGGTTATTATTGTTAATATTCATCCGATGTAATGTATGATTATCAATTTATGTTTAACTTAAATATGACAGGTGGATTAACATGTTAAAATATGGTTTTAAGGATCGAGGTTTTTAGTTTTCAGAAACCACTAAACCAATTGATCAACTATGATTAAGTTTCTTTTAAAAATTATATAATTAAAATTATATAATTTTTTTGTTATTATTATTGACAGGTGGTCAGTTATACTTGGTGAATGTACTCCATTGTCAGTATGTGGGTTGGGTTATCAAGAACAAAACGTTTTTTGTGAAAAAGTTTTTTATGGCAATGAACAAAAAAAAGAAATAGTGCATCACAAAGACTGTCATAAAGCTAAAGTTAGTAACATGCCATCAAATCAAAAATCTTGCTATAAGCCTTGCACTGAAGGTTGGTTATATTCACCATGGTCAGAAGTAAGTTTTTATTTTAAACTTTCCATTTGATATTTATTGATATTTGATTTTAAGAGTGATGCATTGTTTTTAAGTACACTACGTTCAATCTTTCCCTCAAGAAAGTGGAATTTTTTTTTAATAATCCATGTTTTTATAATGAAAATTAAATTGTTTCAATTATACAATTTGTGATATAAAAAAAGATAAGTTTTAATGAGTTTCCAACTGCCCGGGAATTTCCAGGAAACTTTATTGAAATAGACTATTTCCAATTTCCGGAAAGTGGAAAGTATTTAAAAATTAATCACTTTCTTTTCCTTCTATTCCTCTATTCCTCTCCATCGTCATCTTATTATTATTGTTAATATTATTTCTATAATTATTATCAATACTATTATATTATTATTGTTATTATGATCACTTTTATTGTAATGTTGCAGGTTTTTACTTCAGATTAGTACTTGTACTATTTGTAAAAGTCCTTGAAATTTTACAACTTATTTCAGAATATATATATTAAATTGAATTGAAAAATTGAATTAAGTTTTTACACGATAATAAAATTATATTTATTAAACTTGACCTTCTTCTAGACCTACTTCTCTACACTTTCTATTTCCATTGGAAAGTCATTATAAAAATTTATTTAATTTTTATCTGTTTTATCAATTTTTGACCACCTGGAGCTTATTAAGACCTATCCCATTTATCAATTTTCAAAGGAAAAAAAAAGTTTTAATGTAAAATTAAAAACTACTGTTTGTTCAATGAGCTGTCTTGATTCTTATCACTTTCCATTGGAAATATTATGCAATACATTATATATAGATATTACACAAAGATAAATATCTATTATACTTATAAATGAACTATTTGCGTACTTAAAGCTAAAAATGGTTTATTGTTAATTTTAAAAAATTATTATTTATTATTGTTATTATTATTAACAGTAGCAGTAACAATTGTTGTTGATTTTAAAGAATAAATTTATTTATTACTGTTCATGAATTAAAAAAAAAAAAATTTATATAGTTAAATAAAATTTAATTATTTATGTAATTTTAAAGATTTATTTAATTTGTAAAGTTTATTTATTTAAAATTTTTAAAAATATTTAATTTTAAACCTTAGTTAAACCATAATCAATTGATGTTCCTGAATAACTTCTAAGGGATAACTTCTTCAATCGGAAAATTTCTTTTTTTTTTGCTTACTTGGATCAAGTGATTATGATATTTTTAAACAATAAGACCGTTTTGTCAAAATATTTTGTTTCTCGACGATGGATAACTTCTATTGTCTATGACATAATCAACTATTTGTAAAAAGGAAATCTAGTTAAAGAAAATTAAAAAAAAAAGATTACTTAAATTTTTTTTTGACTTTTTAATGGAAAGTGATTGGGAAGTGTAGGGTTGTAAGGTAAAATTTAATTAATAGTAATACTATAAATTTAATTTCATATAAAAATCTAAAGAAAGTGATTAATTTTTAAATACTTTCCACTTTCCAGAAATCGGAAATCGGAAAAGATTGAATTCAATTTATTTTCACTTTCCGGAAAGTTGAAATTTTTCATTTTTTTTTGCCTATAAACAATAAAGTATAGTTAAATAAACATTTTCCAATATAAATACATTTAATTTACGAACACTTTCCAAATCAGAGGAAACTACTTTCTTGAACTGGTTAGAAATCGAAATCGAACACCCCTATTTTTAAGAGTAATGCAATGTTTTTTAAAAGCGATGCAATATCTTTGAATGTGATGCAATGTTTTTAAAAATTTTGCAATATTAGGTAAACTAAACTTACTGTTTCACTTAATTTTTCTAATTAACTGTTTAAATAAGATTATATAATTGACTTTAGTGTAACACACCATGCGGAGGTTTGCAGTGGCGAAGTATTCAATGTGTTGAACTATCCTCAAATGTTTCTTTGCCAGCAATTAAATGTAATCATACATTAGCAGAACCTCTGATTCAACCTTGCAACTTAAAACCATGTTCTTCAGGTGTTGATGAATTAGAAAGTAAAGAAAATCAAGTTAAGTGGTATACAAGCTCGTGGAATGAAGTTAGTATTGATAAATTAATTCTGTTTTTAAAATAATAAAATCCATTTTTTAAAATGATAAGAATTTATATATATTGAAAGTTTTATAAATAAAAAATTGTTTCTATGACAATGTAGTTTCTATGACAATGTAGTTTCTATGAAAATGGTTTCAGATTGGTCTTCATAATGTTTACAGATATTTTTTCAGACATGTTTTAAAAATATTTTTGAAGTTTGCCCTAGCAAACATGTAAATGGAAACTTGAGAAAGTGTAAATAAAAAAGTGTTAATCGTTATATATATATATATATATATATATATATATATATATATATATATATATATATATATATATATATATATATATATATATATATATATATATATATATATATATATATATATATATATATATATATATATATATATATAAAGGTGGTGGCTCACTTATATTGGTGCACAATGATATTCATTCAGTCCAAATTCGTCCGGAAATTCCCGACGATCTTCAATACACTGAATTTACCTGTGTCGACGTAAGTGCTTCTTCAAACCACGTCAAGATAAGATTTTTGTGTATTTACCACCCACCTTGTGCTTCTTCTAACATTGTTAAAACCAAATCCATGTGCAAGTTGATTTCCAATTTTCTGTTAACGTGTGGTTCTGCATGTATAATAACTGGTGATTTTAATTTACCACGTATAGACTGGTCGATTCCTATCAGTTTTGGTGATGCATGCCATGATGCAGCTGCTCCATTCACCAGCACTTGCGACCATTCCACCATACTATTTAATTGTAATTTGATGAATTCCAAACGTTGTGAACTATCTAGTATTCACAATTTCTATAAAGCTGACTATATTTCGATTAATAACGACTTACTTAACGTAAATTGGTATATGTTGGCCAAACAAAACCCAGACGTTGAATCATTCTGGCAAGCTATTTGTAAAGTCCTGAGTGTATCTATTGCTTCTCAGGATCCTTCATTATGCAATAAAAAAAAGCTTGTTCAACCCCTTGCTATTTGTAAATTAGCATCCAAAAAATGTACTCTATACAGACTTTATAAAAGAACACATAACCTTTCTGTTCTTATCAACTACAAGAATTGTTCACGTTTATACGATGCTGAAATCACAAAAAACTGTATTGCTCAAAAAAAATACATAGTAGACAACCCCAATTTAACCAAATTTTATTCTTACGTCAATTCAAAATTTAATTGTTTAAATTCTTTTGCGCCACTTGTAAGACCCGACGGTTCCTTTTGTACTGATGACTGTGAAAAATCAAGCCTTCTGAACAATTTTTTTGCTTCAGTGTTTGTCTCTGACAACCGCACTAAACCTGTGCTAGACCTACCATCCCACGATAATTCTTTGAATAATGTCCTATTTTCTTATGATTCTGTTCTATCAGCCCTTCAAAAATTTCCACAAAAGTCATCAAAATCACCAGATGGGTATCCTGCCTTGTTTCTGAAATCGATTGCTAATATTATTGCCATTCCGTTCTCTCTCCTTTTCGAGTTGTCAATGTTAACCGGTGTAATTCCAAATATTTGGAAAACCGCATATGTATGTCCCATTTTCAAGAAAGGTAACCCCTCCTTATCTACGAACTACAGACCTATTTCAATGACTTGTATTAGTTGCAAAGTTATGGAGTCAATTATTGATAATAGTTTAAAAAGGTACCTTCAACGTAATAACTTTATCTCTATTCACCAATTTGGGTTTTTAAAGTGTAGATCTACATGTACACAGATGTTAGCTTCTCTTAATAAATGGACCTCAGCTGTTAACAAGAAAAAGGAAGTTGATATTATCTATATTGACTTTGAAAAGGCATTCGACTCTGTATCGCATTCTAAGTTAGTGTACAAACTGAATTGTTACAGCATTAAGTATGAACTTCTAAATTGGATTACCAACTTTTTAACTGACCAATCCCAATGTGTTTGCATTGGTAATTCTTACTCAAACTACGTACCTGTTAAGAGTGGAATACCCCAAGGAACTGTGTTGGCTCCGACTTTATTCTTATTATTTATTAATGATGTAGTTTCTTGTATAGAAGGTGATTGTCGAATAAAGCTGTTTGCTGACGATAGCAAATTGTATCAAGCGAGAGGCGAAAATAACAATGCAGACCTTAAAATATCATTAAAAAAGTTCTCTGATTGGACAGCTTACTGGCAACAAAAAATAGCATTCAAAAAATGTTTTCACTTATGTTTTGGAAGTAAGTCTTTGACTGTTCATTCGTATTCGTTTTGCCTGGACACCCCAATATTGACTGTTAACTGTATTGAAGATATTGGTATTACGGTATCTTCTGACACAAAATTTTCCACACACTGTTCTCATATTCCCAAAAAAGCTTACGCCCGTCTATATTTACTTTTTAAAACCTTTATCAGTAATGATTCAAATCTCCTCATAAAAGCCTACAAGGTCTATGTGCGTCCAATCTTAGAACCTTGCACTCCAGTGTGGAGTCCTTACCTTGTGCCATCTACAAAAATTCATTCTCGTCATTCAATCAAGTTTCATCCTTTTTCTGTTACTGTTCCTAAGTGCTCCAAAAACTCTTATTCGTCTAGTTTTTTTCCTCGAACATCAGTTCTTTGGAATTTGCTTCCTTCATCTTGCTTTCCTGATTCATATAATTTGCACTTTTAAGTCGTCTGTCAATCGTTATCTTGCTTTACAATCTTCATCTTTTCTCTTCCAGTAACTTCCAACACTAATTAGTGGTTGCTTGCAGCCTTGTTGGAAGCAAAGATGTTAAAAAAATGAAGATGAAAACAAAAAAAACACACCTTCTTAAAGATATACGTTGCATCGAAAACGTCCAAAGATACTTCAGCAGAATTACCTGTAAAAGATGCCATATTTCTTACACTGATTACGCATTGAGACTATCTGTTTTAAGACTCGATTCTCTTGAAAACCGCAGTCAAATTCGATCTTTTCATGACCTATAAAATTATAAACAATCTTGTTGACCTTCCTTTTTCCGATTTCTTTACATTTTCCAATTCTCATTACCCCATTAGAAGTCATGCGAAAAAATTAGTTTCAATGTACTAATGATACACGTAGATCTTTTTTCAGTGAAAGAATTGTAAAAATATGGAATTCATTGCCTGCTCACATTATCGATTCATCTTCATTATTCATATTCAAAAAAAACTACAAACTTACGACTTACAACAAAATTGCGTATTGTATTAAATTGCCTTTGTTCAGGTGTTATATAAACGTAATCTTGTGATTACCTGTTTCTCCCGTTTGTATTTTAATGTATTTTTTTAATGCAAATAAATATTATTATTATTATTATTATTGTATATATATATATTTTATTAATATACACACACATATATATATATATATATATATATATATATATATATATATATATATATATATATATATATATATATATATATTATTCACCTGCCCAAGGCCCGAGGGGGTCACTACAGTTGAGGAGGCTACTCATTTTTTTTTTTTTTTTTTTTTCAATTTTTATATATATATATATATATATATATTAGTATATAATTAAAATTTATATATATAAATATATTAATTTATAATTAAAATTTCTAATTTTATATTAAAATCTATAATTAGTTAATGTAGTTATATATTTATTGTTATGAAAAGTTTTTGTAATTTTAGTGTTCTAAGAGTTGTGGAGCAGGAACACAAATTCGAAGTGTTAATTGTATTACACTTAACGGTGTTGTTGATGATATTGAATGCAAATTTTTAAATAAGCCAAATGAAATGAGATCCTGTAACAATTTTGATTGCCCATTCTGGAGATTTGGTCCTTGGAGTAAGGTAAAATGTGTTTTATATTATAATAAATAAATCTAATCATTGCATTATACAAATTGTGTATTGTTGCATTTTGTGTATTCTCATTTTGTTTTTCCTCTAAAAAAAGATTTTTTGTATTTTTTATTCATAAACTACACAAAAATATTTATACAAGAAATTCACAATAAGTAAAACAATGTTATATAGACATTTATGTATATAACATTAATTTAGCTTTATGTATATCATTTTTAATTTATTATGGATTTAACTAAAAAATACTTAACTGATTCTAAACTTTTGCAAGAGATTGTAATACCGTCAGCGTAAGATATATATTTACTGTTGTGGATTTAGTCTGGATTGTACTTTCTGCTGGTTTTATTTTTAAAATAATTACCTAAATCGAGATGATTTTATTTTCAGAAAGATTACTAATAAAATCAACTAGAAATATTTTGTTGCCTCCTTCATACATAAAAACTCCCTGCCCAGATCCTCACCCTAAGTTATGTTGTTCATGTTCTGTATTGTTTGTGTTTATTCTATATATTGTTCATTTATATGTTATATGTTCATCCCTCCTAAGGTAAACATTGTTGGTTGAAACTTATCCTTTATTTACCCACCAAGTTTAGATTTTTTTTAAAAGTTATAATGTATTGAAAATACTAATGTTTACAATTTGTTCAACTCATTCAGTTTGACAAGGCGGCAGTTTAGTTATGTACTTTTGTTAATCCACTCTAGTCAATTAAATGATTTTCTGTGCTCTATGATTTTTCATTTCACCAATATATGCTTACTATTAGTTCACTACCTTAGTTCACTACCTTTATTATTAGTTCACTACCTTTCAATTTACTTTTCACTAGTTCACTATTCTTTCACTTTACCATAGCTCACCATTTAAGTTCATTAACATTTTAGTTCACTGATATTACAGAAAAGTTAGTTGACTAATTAAGTAAAGATTGTTGAAATGTTTTTTTTAAATACCATTATCTTTCTGATTCATATCCTGAAAAAAATTAACTTTTAGTGTTCAAAAACCTGTGGTGAAGGAATTCAAACACGCACGGTTTTATGTAGCTTTAATGAAACTGTTGTTAAAAATGAACTTTGTAATCAGGAGATACATGTAGAGGAATTCCAGATATGCAATATTCTGGAGTGCAGTCAGTCTGTTTTGGATATAAATATTTTAAATCAGTCTATGGAGTGGATTATATCTGAATGGAGTCAGGTAAAAAGTTTAAAATTCCTTTTTTTAAATTTATTTTGCTTTGAGGGACTGTGGATAAAGCTTTAGTATTTGTTAATTACATTTATTATTAAGAATCATTCAGCTGCTATGTTGCTGTAGTATCAGCTACTTTGTTGCTGTAGTATCAGCTACTTTGTTGCTGCAGTATCAGCTACTTTGTTGCTGTAGTATCAGCTGCTCTGCTGCTGTAGTATCAGCTACTATGTTGACATCGTATCATCTACTTTGTTGCTGTAGTATCAGATACTATGTTGACATAGTATCAGCTACTTTGTTGCTGTAGTATCAGCTACTTTGTTGCTGTAGTATCAGCTACTTTGTTGCTGTAGTATCAGCTACTTTGTTGCTGCAGTATCAGCTACTTTGTTGCTGTAGTATCAGCTGCTCTGCTGCTGTAGTATCAGCTACTATGTTGACATCGTATCAGCTACTTTGTTGCTGTAGTATCAGCTACTTTGTTGCTGTAGTATCAGCTACATTGTTGCTGTAGTATCAGCTACTTTGTTGCTGTAGTATCAGCTACTTTGTTGCTATCGTGACAATGTTATCAATCAATAAGTTTGATTTTTTTTAGAGCTTTTAACAAGTATTTTAGTTTATTTAATCTATAATTACATTATATATGTATACATTTATAATGTAATGTATAAAAAACAGTTAAAGTTTTTTTTTTAGTGTTCTGTCTCATGTGGTGAGGGTGTAACTATTCGTAACATAACCTGTTCTTCAGATTATTGCAATAAAACGGCCACACCTGCCATTACATCACCTTGTTATCTTGATCCATGTCCAGTGTGGAGTTTAAGTCAATGGATGCCAGTAATTGTTTCTTATAATTTTGTTAATTTTTTTCCTTGTTCTTTTTAATTGTTCTGTTTTTGTACAAAAATGTTCTATTTTTGTTAAAAACAAGAACAGAACTTTATCTTATTAATTATCTGGTTCTTGTTAATTATCTGGTTGTTATTATTCAGTGTTATTATCCTGAAAATTGTGGTTTGGGATATCAAGTTCGCCAAGTTCAATGTCAAAGAGAAAATGGGGAAATATTAAACATGACTGCTTGTGACCAATCAAATAAACCTGAATTTAATAGAAACTGTGAAACAATCAGATGTGAAGATTCCTTATGGGTAACAGCACCTTGGAATACAGTGAGAACATAATTAGTTTTTATGAGTCATTTTTTTAAATAAAGAGAGATAGCATTGTGTTGTTTTGGTGTTTAAACTGTTTTAATTTGATTTATGTTTTTTTGTTTTTCAATTTATATTCTAGATTGATTTCTTGATTTATAAATAAACAACTACAGTGTTTTCAACAATAGTGAAAATTAAAATTTATTGATGAATATAAGTCTAGTTGAAAATAGTACAAAAAATATTTCATCAACTTGTTGTTCTCATGTTTGGGGCAGGGGCAGCAAAAATTTTGGGGCTTTTTTGCTCCCAGGCTCTAATCATTGCAATTTTTTGCAAAGCATCCTTATTTGACATAAGTATAAACATATAAATGTTTGGTGTTTGCTCCATGTTTGGAAATTAGCAATCTCAAAGATTAAAAAATGCTGGATCTGCCCCTGATATTTATATAAATGTATTCTGTATTATTAAATATATTATTATTATTGTAACTATTATTAACAATTAATTATTAAATATACTTTACAGTGTAATGTGCTCTGTGGTAATGGTAGTCAGTATCGTGATGTTTCTTGTCAAGACTTAAATGGCAATCTATTAGATGAAAAACATTGTTTGAAATTAAGTAACAAACCAGATGATAAGCAACCTTGTACCCAATTAATTTGTCCTGTATGGTATTCATATGAGTGGGGAGCTGTAAGTCAGATTTTTGTTTGTTGTTAATGGGTTTATTACACTTTTTTACATTTTTATTTAAACATTGTGCACAAAAAATATTGTGTTTACTAAAAAGCTTTTTTCCTGTTTTCTTAATAGTTTCCTAAATTTTTTTTTCCTTGTAAAGCACAACAGGCATTTTAGTGATTAGATAATTATTAAAAAATTAAAAAAGTTTAGTTAAAATTATTATTGCTTGTTGCAAAGTTGACAATTGAGGAGCACATTTCTAATGGAAAAAGTTTAAATGCTTATCATTTCATGCTAGAATGCTTTCAAGACTTGGTCTTACTGTTTTCTCAAAACTTTTCTTTAAATTTTTGTAGTAAATCAACAAATACAAATATTAACAAACAATACAAACATTTAAAAAAAAAAATGCTGCATGGAGAAGCATGTTGAATGCATTAATACCAGAGATGCGATGGGTATCAAACTATGTACTTAATTTTGTCACTTGCCATTCTTATAACATGATGTAACTCTTAACCTTAATAAAATCTTTTTAGAATTTTTTGTAAATCTGGTGGTAAGCTAAGTTATGTACATTATAAATCCAATAATCCACTTAGCATATTAAAGTAACTTTTTTGTTTTATAGAAAAGATTCATCTATTAAAATAATTTCTTTGAGACTGACATGTGTATTAGGCATTTAAAAAAATAATTTTCATAATCCTAATTAATTTCCAAAGCTTCAATAAACATAAGCTATAAAATATTATAACAGCTATTATTTCAAATTTTTACCCATTCAGGTTAAACCAGAGTTTAAGTTGAGGATTACCAGAGTTATCCATCATACTATAAAACATTTTGTGGAGTTATTAAACAGTAAAACATAAATACAACAAGGTATTTAATAGAAATACAATGTATGCTAATTAAAATCTATCATAAATTTACATTGTTATCAATTGTTTTAAATTTTATTTTTAAAATTTTAGGTACTAATAAAAAATACAGCTGTATTTTTATTAGTAAAGTATTTCCTTTAAGTTAACAGTGTCATTTAAAAGATATACAATATTAAGTCACTCTTAATCCATGCTTATGTTAAAACAATATTTATGGTGTTTTCTAGGTGTCTTGAAAAGTACCGTATAAGACATCTCTTTTTATAGGTAGATATTATATACCCTAACCCAAACCCACAGACAATGTAATTACAGTTATTTTTGCTAATCTTCATTTCAGTATAATATTATCAGTGTCATTTTATTCACTACAGCCAGTACACCCAGTCATTTTATTCACTACACCCAGCATATATTTATAATAAGAATATTGAAAGTTATTAGTGTTTTTAAACCATTTGAAGGCTCATCTTTCTTTAAAAGTTTAACTCAAGTTGATGGCTCAGCTGCTGCTGTTCAAGCTGTCATTGATAATTATTGTTAACAATTGTGTTACTGTTTTTGTTGAAAATTTTTTTTTTTTTTAAGTGTGATTCATCATGTGTTCATCAACGAGTAGTTGAATGCAGACAAAATAACCAGGTCATTGATGCAAATTTATGCAACCTGGATGATAAGCCTACTGAAGAAATTGAATGTGACACTGAAAATTGTATCAAAGAACATCATGTTTATAAATGGATATTAGGGGATTGGACTGCATGCAGTAAATCATGTGGTTATTCATTCAAAACAAGAAAAGTGGTATGTGTAAATGAGAATTCAAATGAAGTTAATTTACTTTATTGTTCACATACTGAAAGACCAAAATCTTCAGAGCATTGTTTTGAGCGCCCTTGTCCGCCATCTTTGCAAATCGGTCCTTGGCAAGAGGTATTAATATTTTTTGTTAACTCAATAAACTTTTCAACTTGTTGATAACAAATTAATCACAAAAAAATTATATGTAAATTTGCTACGTAAAAATATTTATTTTATAGTGCTCAGTTACATGTGGTGGGGGTTTTCAGTTGCGAAATATCTATTGTCAGGGGGAAGCAGGCTCTATTCTTCCAGATTCTGAGTGTAAACTGGATCAAAATATTACTGTTAGGAGAGTATGCAATATTGCAAAGTGTAACAGTAGTTTTAGGTGGGTGGCTGGTCCATGGAGTGAGGTAAGTTTTATTTAGTATTTTATAAAAAAATCCTTGACATTATATCATGATCAAGATTTCATGGATTTCAGGATTTTTATTAACTATTTTTGAAAATATATAAAATAATAATTTAAAATATTTATATTTTATTTCCAACACTTGGACTATGTAACAATTTAAAGTAAAAACTTAAAAAAAAAAAAAAAATCCAGCAAAATTTAAATAAGTGAAGAAAAAATTTAAAATGAAAAGTGAAAAATTTAAAAATAGGAAGGGAAAAAAATGTTTTATGAAATTATTTTGTTTTACAATAAGAAAAAGAATTGTATGAATTGGTTATTACATCACAGCTTTGGATGCGATGTAACAGCTATGGTTGTGTTAAGTTATATTAATTAAAAACATGAGTAAAGTGCCTAAAAATGTAAAGAAAAAAAAAACTGTTGTTACTGCCAAAATGTTTCAACTTATTCTTTACAAATATTCTGGTCTTTGAATAAACTTTTTATCTTTTGAATGTTTTCATCAGGTCTTCCCTAATCCTTCGTGAATCTCGTCATGCATATGAATCATGAAAACTTGTAATTTTTTATTTATTTAAAGATTTAGCAAGTTTTTTTGAAATGTTGGAAATGTCCAACTAATTGAATTTATAATTTAATCTGTTTAATTGAGTCTTAGGTAAACATTCAAAATATATGTCAGGGAAGTTTATACAGTGTATACCTATATACGTATATCAATCGCCATATGTAGGGGAAAAAAATAAAAAAAAAAGGTCAATATAAAAAAAACAAATCCTAGTTTTCTATTACTAAATTGTTGGTCTCAATCATTTTTTATTTAAATATTTAAGTAAATATTTTAATAAAATTATGTATTATTTTTATATTTTTAGTGCTCATTATTGTGTGGAGTGGGTGAAACATATAGAAAAGTTCAATGTATAAATAGTGATAATATAACAGAACCAACATACAAGTGTAATGAGGATCTAATGCCTCCAAATTTTAAAGTTTGTAATATTCAAGATTGTCCGTTGCGTACATGTCGAGACATTCAAAAGAAATTTAGTGTATATAGTGATGGTGAACACACACTGTTAATAAAAAACAAAACTTTAAGTATTTATTGTGAAGGTTACAATTTAATTTTTTTTTTTAATTAATTTTTTTGCTTATATCTCACATAATTTTTCAAGGATAAAGATTTATTAGGTTATATTAATAAAGATTTTTTATATACCTTTTATTTTTAATTTAATTTTCATTCAGTTTTTTGTTTTTATAACTCATGCATTATTTATTGCTATTTGATTTTATAAAAGCAAAGTTCTTTTTTTTAGGCATGCACCGGAATAACCCTAAAGAGTACATTACCTTAATAGCAGATAAAAAGCAAAATTATGCTGAAATTTACAATAAACGCTTGCAGCCAGGATTCTTATGTCCTGAAAATGGAAGGCGTCAAATTTCGTGCCCTAACTGCTTTGATTATGCTGCATCAGGTGTAAGCTTTTTTAAAAAGTTGCGATTAGACATTCGGAATATGGTCATTATACGTAAGATATTTTTAAAAATATATTTTTATATTTGTTTATGTGTTTTAATTTTATTCCATTAAAAACTATATGTATGAGTAAACTAATTCGCAACAATTGATATTGATAACAATTGATATTGATAACAATTGATATTGATAACAATTGATATTGATAACAATTGATATTGATAACAATTGATATTGATAACAATTGATATTATGAAGATTTATTTTAATGTTTTAATACTATATGAGCGCTTTAGTACTTTAATTGTTTAATTGAGAAAATTAAACAATGAATTGAATGATAAGAAAATCAATTGATTGATGGAGTGATAAGAAAATCAATTGGTTGATGAAGTAATAAAAAAATCAATTGATTGATGGAATGATAAGAAAATCAATTGATTGATGGAGTGATAAGAAAATCAATTGGTTAATGAAGTAATAAGAAAACCAATTGATTGATGGAATGATAAGAAAATCAATTGATTGATGGAATGATAAGAAAATCAATTGATTGATGGATAAAATTAAATGATTAAGATTTTATCTTAAATCTTTTTTAACTTTTATTTATTTTGATATACAGAGCGATTAAACAAATTTGAATCTAATGTTTATTATTATTATTATTATTATTATTATTATTATTATTATTATTATTATTATTATTATTATTTATAGTACACTGGAATACCTAGAAACAACATCGCTAAAATTGTTGCTAAACAGTTTATACTTGGTTGTAACAATTTTGTTAAAGATATTTTTGTTTAATTGCTTAATAAAATATCAGTGCTTAAGTGAAAATTAGTTTAGGGTAAGATAAAGATAAATGAAAATTAGTTTAGGGTAAGTTAAAGGTTGTAAGGGTATGATAAAGTTAGTAAGGGTAAGATAAACATTAGCTTTTACCATTATGTCTGAAGTTTGTTAAAAATTGAATAAAAAACTCAATAAGTTTCTAAAAATAGAACAAATAAAATTAATTTGATTAAAACATGTTTTTAAAACTAAAACTCTGTAAAAATAGATTTTACTCTGTTACAAATACCTTTTTTTTGTAGTATTTTATTCATTTAAATATTTTATTTATAATTATTAGATTTTAAACTTATTTTCATTCTTTAATGTTCTCATTTGAAAAAAAATTAGTAAGTAGTATTTAGTAAAAACCCCAACATGTTGATTACCTCAATGATTTGCAACATGTTGATTACCTCAATGATTTGCAACATGTTGATTACCTCAATGATTTGCAACATGTTGATTACCTCAAAGATTTGCAACATGTTGATTACCTTAATGATTTGCAATATGTTGATTACCTCAATGATTTGAAACATGTTAATTACCTCAATGATTTGCATAATGTTAATTACCTCAATGATTTGCAACATGTTGATTACCTCAATGATTTGCAACATGTTGATTACCTCAATGATTTGCATAATAGTTGTCTGATATCCATGAATTAACTGTAAAAATCTAATTGTTTATAGCCGAAAGAGTGTTAATTGTTGGCTGCATTATTCAATTGTCATTACTTTCTATTTCAATATTTTTATTAGATCACTTTTTTTTTCTCTTTCTTTCTTTTTTTTTTTTTTTTATTTCCTTACTTTCATTTTTTGTTTTGTTGTTAATGGAATTCTGTAATATATAAAAGCTATCAGTGGGTAAAATTCAAACCAAAAGATTGTATAATATAATATCACCATGATCTGTTGAAAATTGGATGATTTTAAATTGAATTTTCTCAAAAATCACTTGATCAATGGTAAAAATTTTTTTATAATAATGCTTACAATAATTAGTTTTTTAGTGAGTGGGTGGTTTCTTGTGAGTGGGTTTAGTTTTGTTTACTTCTCATTAGTTTTTGCAATGTCAAGCAAAGAGTCTAAAAATTGGAAAAAAAATTTGAAATTTTACATAGAAAATCCATTGTTCACAAATATCATGATTTCAAAAGCATGTAAAGTTCCAAAATCAACTGTTGGAATTCTTATAAAACGTTATAAGGAAAATATAACTGTAAAAAAGAAATCAAGAAGTGGTGGAAAATCTTTTTTTATTTATAAATTTTTTGAAAATTTCAAAATTGCTGACCTTAAACACTTTAAGACTTTTTTTTAAATATATCAAAAATTATAACACTATATAATATTTATAATAATTGATTTAACCAACACACCTCTAAATTTTTGCATGTAGCAATTTTTTTTCATTATGTTATCTACGCAAGTGATATTATCCCTATTCATAATTCTTTTAGTTGGAGACAAAACCTTTGCAGATCAATTCGGACAAAATCCCCCTGGTTACGCAACCGCTGGCGATTGCTATAGTAAAGTAAATTGTACTCAAGGAAGTTTCATGATAAATCTTCAAAAGACTGGATTTCGAATAGCTGACGATGTTGAGTGGGTATCACAGGGTCACCATACTTCTCAACAAATTCAAAGACACAAGGTAGATTTGTTACATATTGAAAATGCGATCGAAGCGTTCCATTCGAAGGGCATAGCAAGTAAAATAATAAGAAAACAAATAAATTTTTAATAACATTATGACATCACTGAAAATATGTAAAATATATATTTAACTTTTTTTTTTTGCATATTTTATAGGACAATCAATTTGTTGTTGGTAAGTGTGGTGGTTATTGCGGATTGTGTACGCCCAACTACAAGATGGGTTTAAAAGTGGGCTTGGCCGTTTCCTAAGCTATTCAGGTATTGAATAAAATTTTAGTTAAAAAATTTATTTAACTTTTTACAAAAAAAGGTCAAACTAATTTTTTATGTTTTGTTTTGTTTATTAAATTTAACAATTTTAATTAATAGTTATATTTTTTAAGACTTTTCCGAGAACAAATTACGCGTTTCTTAAACGTAAAAAAACAAAGCGAACAAGTTTCAATTAATCGTTATTGTGCTGTCAGTAGCAACAACAGAACTTAGATCTGAGATCAAGTTTACCTTCTTATTCTGAGTACGTGATCCTTATGATATGTAAATACTTTAATGTACAGGTCGTGTATAAAGTTGACAGATCGTATATAAAAAAAGTTCAACATAGAAATATAATAAATTTAGTAATATTTTAGTAAATTTAGTAACATTTTGTAAATCTAGTGAAATTTCAGCAAATCTAGTGAAATTTTATTTTATTTATTAAAATAGTTAAAGGAAAAATTCTTTTTTTTTTTTTTTTTTTTTTTCTTATTAAAAATTTAAACATCGATATTTCATTTTTAACATTTTATATACATATATATATATATATATATATATATTTGTTTTTTTTTTGTTTTTTTTTTATGCTATTTATTGTAGGCAATTTTTTATGTTACGAATTTCGTTTAAGAAATTTTTATTTCTAGCCAGTTCGATATCTTGGTATTTTGTTGTTGATGATGATTTTTCAAATGCAAATTTATACTTTCTAAAAAAACTAGTACGATGTCAGATTTTAGCTAAAAATCTAATTAGGTTAACAAAACTGTTTAATTAGATGTCGTCTTTAAAATAAGTTCTTTAATAAATTTTGTCCTTTAATAACTTTAGTGCATCAATCTCATTACAAATAAGTTAAATAGGTGATCATTAAGTTTTTATTGCAAAAATAGTCATTTTAAAGGAAGCGGGGTTAAGTTAGGTCAGTTATTTTTTAGCCGATTTTTTTTTTTTTTTTAATTAATACGGAAAAATATGCTATTAATGCTCTACTAAAAGTATTATCGTACTCACGGTAATAGAAACATGCTAAGAACCTAATTTAAATAATATGGAAATAATTTCCCCTAAGATATCAAAAGTAATGCTAATTTAGAATTAAAGATATTATTTGTTAATTGAGTTGAAGTCATTCGGCTTGGTCATACGAAAATCAAACTTAGTCATACGACATTTAATTCAGATATATATCAAGTTTTTTGGAGAGAACGGTTTATTAGCTCTTCAAAAAGCAGTTTATTTCTTCGTCCATTAAATCTCGTTTACAGTTTTTTATTCAACAAAATATCTTAGACGTACTGACACCGCCGGCCCGAGGAATTCTAGCGCCCTGGCTACGGATTCAAATTGCGCCCTTTATGAATTATGCCTTTTTATAAATTATAACTCATTTATTTATTAAATTAAATATTAACCAATTTAAACTTTATAAAATACTAGAATATAATTTTTATTAATTTTTTGCCTTTAAATTAGAAAAGTTTTTAATTATTTCGGTTATGTCTAATTGCGTTGCTATTTCATTTTCGATGGACAATATAGTTTTTTTATAATTTTTTTTTTCCTGTCTTTTTAAATGGCGGAAACAATTAATTATAATTTTTTTAATACATTTTCTGGTGAAAACGTCACTTTTCAAAGAACATCGATCCTGACAGAAACATTCTTGACAATTATTCCTTAGAAACTAACTATTTCAAAGTTCATGAGGTTACATGTATTTTAAATAAATCACTACATTACATGTCATTACTAAATATAAATATTAGAAGCATGAGCAAAAACTTTGAAAATCTAAAATTAATGCTAAATAATATAAGTTTTAGATTCAGTATAATCTGTCTTACAGAAGGTGTCAGAGTGAAGATATGAGTAACTCTAATTTGCATTTAACAGATTACAATTCTGTTCACCAACCGAGAAAAAACGGTATTGGCGGAAGCGTATGCATATTTATTCACAACTCGTTGACGTATAAAAAAGTAGATAGTCTAAGTGTGAATAACTCGAATTGCGAATCATTAACTATAGAGATAATAAACCAAAAACAAAAAAATTCGTTTATAACAGTTTTATATCGACCACCCAATGGCAGTTACAATCAATTTGAAAATGACTTCAGGCGAATATAAATTCAAACCTCTAAAAATCATCTATATTTACTCGGAGACTTTAATTTAAACTTGATAAATTTAAACACTGATAACCACGTAAAAAGTTTTATAAATACCCTTTCTCAATTTAACGCGTGTAACTCAAAAAACATCATCTATTATTGACAATATTATAACTATTAATTATAGTAACTCGACAATCAACAGTGGTATAATAAAAACGGATATTAGTGACCATTTTCCTGTTTTTTTAACAACAAATACTAAATACTGTATAAATAAAAAACCCATAACAGTATACATAAGGCGTGTAAACAAAGACTCGATTACAATTTTTAGACAGCTTTTGCGTGAAATCAATTGGGAGCTTTTGAATGATTGCAATGACACATGTAGCGCATACGATTTCTTTATCCGCGTCTTTACAAGGCAATATGATAAAGCTTTTCCTAAAGTTCGAAAAAATATAAAATCCAAAAGTTTGCATACCCCGTGGATGACTAAAGGTCTTTTAAAATCATCAAAAAAAAAAAAAAAAAAGCTTTACGAAAAATTTTTAAAAAACAAAAACTATGAAAACGAAACTAAATATAAAAAATACAAAAACGTTTCTAATTTCGAAAAAATAGAAAAGCAATCTAAAAAAAACTTCTATTCTGGTCTACTTCAGAAATCATTTGGAAATACTAAAAAAACTTGGACTATAATAAAAGATATAACAGGGAAAACAAAAATTACATCTAGCAACCTCCCTAATCAACTGAAAACAGATAATGGAGAAATTTTTAATAAAAAAACAATTGCTGAGAGACTGAATAATTTTTTTATAAATGTTGGGAAAAATTAAGCCAAAGAAATCTCTCCAAGTAGCAAAACATTCCAGTCTTTTTTGAAAAAATCAGATTTTATTATAGACAATTCGGAACTTTCTATTGATAACTTCGTTCAGCTTTTGACATGCTTCAGACAAATAAAAGTGCAGGTCTTGATGAAATTAATGCAAATGTTTTGAAAAGTGTCTTTGACATTATCGAATTGCCTCTTTTCATTATTTTTAAACTTTCATTAAAAAACGGGGACTTTCCTGATCAATTAAAACTTGCTAAAATAATTCCAATTTATAAAAACGGGGACGATTCTTTAGAATCAAACTACAGACCCATCTCAATTCTCTTCTGTTTTTCAAAGGTTCTCGAACGTATTATGTATAATAGAATATATAACTTCATTGATAAAAACAATATTTTTAAATCCTAAACAGTATGGATTTTGGAGAAATCATTGCACTGAGCATGCTGTGATGGATTTGGCTACCAATATTTTGAAAGGATTTGATGACAATAATTATACACTTGGAGTTTTTGTTGATTTATCGAAGGCATTTGACACTGTCAACCACGAAATCCTTCTCTATAAATTAAAAAATTATGGAATTCAAAATACTAATCTAAAATGGATCGAGTCTTATCTACAAAATCGTAAACAATGTGTGACGTATGATTTAACTTGTACGCAGTTAGAAGTTATTAGTTGCGGTGTCCCTCAGGGCTCAATACTTGGTCCTTTGCTGTTTCTCTTATATATCAATGACATCCACTTATCTTCTAGATTCCTTAATTTCGTTATTTTTGCTAATGAAACTAATTTTTTTTTTTGGGGTCTAATTTAAAATTTATTTTTTCTACTGTAAACACAAAGCTAATTAATCTCAATGAATAGTTTAAAGCCAATAAACTGTCCGTAAACATTGATAAAACTAAATACATTCTGTTTACAAAACCTTCGAAAACTGATGACATACCCCTAAAACTTCCTGATTTATTTATAAACAACACCAACTAAAAAGAGTTCATTCAATGAAAATCCTAGGTATAATATTTGACGATCATTTAAACTGGAAAAATCAAATCCAATCAGTGGAAAACAGCATTTCAAAAGCTCTTGGGATCCTTTTCAAAACGAAGCACCTTTTGAATATAATGTGCTTAAAAAGCTTGTATTTTTCATTTATTCATAATCAAATTAGTTATTGCAATATAGTGTGGGCGAGTAATTATTCATTTTCTTTAAAAAAAATTAATACCAAACAAAAGCAAGCGAGCCGGTTAATTTTGAATGCAGGTAGATATGCATGTTTCCAACATATTTTCAACCTCATTTTACCTTAATTAATCATAAATACTTTACAAGACATTCCATTTGCAACTTTCTCATCCCTACAACATCCCTTAGAAAAACAGACTTCTCAATTACATGTCGAAGACCACGTTTGTGGAACTATTTCCTTAATAGAGACATGAAAAACATGATTTCAATTGAACTATTTAAAAGAGCAGTTAAACGATACTTATTAGATTTAAGTAATAAAAACATTCTTTTGTATTTTTAAAAACATTTATATACCGATTTGTTAACATGTATATATGTATCTTATAACTTATATATTTTATGAGCTGTTATATGTTATAGTATGTACAAAACTTGTAATATGTATAAAACTTATATAACGTATATTTTAGGAACTTAATACGTAAATCGTATTTGATATTTTCACGAACTTAGGAGCATGGTGATAAGACGCATTGTCTTCTACTTGCTCCTGTCAGAATATAAAGATTTAATTTTTAATTTTTACCAAAAATATTGTAAAATTATTGTTTATTGACGATATATATATATATATATATATATATATATATATATATATATATATATATATATATATATATATATATATATATATATATATATATATATATATATATATATATATAGTTAAGTTATTCAATCGTCCCTCACTCATAGTAGATTGTAAAAAGTTTTTTATTAGCTTTAATTTGCTAAAACTTCTCTCACCACTTGCAACAGTAATTGATATGTTAAGCATTATTCTTAATGAAATCCAAATATTTGGAACCACTTTTTACAATCCACTGGATTTTATAAAGTTCAAGATATTTTGAGGACGTCCAAGAATATCTTTAGGCAAAAGGGTGGATACCAATTTTAATTCATCAAATAATTCTGCGCCATTAATATCGCAATTATTTTCCATTTTTAATTTCAAATGCAGATCTTTGCAAAACTTAAGTAAGTCATCGTCCGCAGGTAATTTCTTCAGATTATATAATATTCCCTAAGTTTGGTGAAATTCATTCAGTTGTTGAAATCTTTCTTGAAGAGATGCTATGACATTATCTAAAATAACATTAAAGACGTTGTTCTTAAAATTGTTCTTAGGACTTACTAAAACTTTATTTTTACCCTCATAAGCAAACATTTGTTTTTTACGGCGTAACCTTTCTTCAATAAAAATTGATTCAACTTCCAAAGATACAGCCAGCACTTTTGGATCCAGTAGAAAACTTTCAAAATCAGTTATCCTATATTCTGTCACAAATTCTGTTTATGATTTTATAAGTGAAACTACTGAGGCTATATCCATGGCTGCAGATTGCAAAGATTTGCTAACAATATTTACACGGTATAAAATATTGTATGAGGTAACAAGCATTACCAAAAGAAAAAAAGTACTAATCTGTTCAAATAATATATAATCTTCGTGTTTAATGGAAATATCAGAAGAGTCTGTTTTATTCAAAGTTACTAAAGCATCGTAAATTTCCACTCTTTGATACCGTATTGGTTTTAAAACATTCAATTCGACTTTCCCATCGAGTTTCACAAAGAGGTTTAACTGTAAAATTGGATACATGATCTTTAAGTATGTTCTATCTCAATCCTGAAGCTAAAAACAGTGTATATATTTGTTGGACAGTTCCGAAAAATGATATAGACTCGGGACAAGATGTTGCATACTAAATTTAGAGATTAATAACTTATAACTAAATTTAGAGAGTGACATCCAGGAGGCATAAAAAAAGCTCTTGGATTTATTTCACAAACTCGAGCTTGTACGCCTTTATTTTTACCCTTCATATTTGCACCATTATCATATCCTTGTCCTCTACAATTCATTAAATTTAAATTTACATCTTCCAACAACTTTTGCAAAATTTCAAATAAAGATTGTCCAGTGGATTTTTCAACAGTTTAATAAGTTAAAAAATGTTCTTTAATCTCTATCTCATCGCTTGAAACATCAACAATTCTTAAGATAAAGGAGAGTTGTTTAGTATCAGCTGATATCAGGGGTGCAGTCTCTGATATCAGGGGTGCAGTCTAGAATTATACTAAAATATTTTGCATCTCTAGCTCGTCTTAAAACATCGTCTTTAATTCCGGATGCCAATAAAGAAATTTAATCGTTTTAAACTGTTTTTCCGCAATAAGTTACATGAGGTTCTTGAGAAGAAATGCGTCCTTAATGCTCTTTTAAAGTTGCATTGTATTTGCTCAACAGTTCCACTAAACCCAAAAAATTTCTATTTTTAGAAGTAAATAATCTGTCTGAAGAACTACGTAAAGGTAAGTTATTTTTCGATAGGTACAAAGTTATGTTGCACATGCAATCTAACACAAGGCGCCACTGATCTCTTTCTCTGATAATTAAAGAATCCAAATTTTTATAAATAGTTTTATTGGTTTTTTTTATAAATAGTTTTAAGCATATGACTAGCTTCAAACCAATCACCAAAACACTTTAAATTTCATGCGATTATACATCTTTAGTAATGTGTTTCCAGTTATTGATTCCAACAGTGGCTAATGATGATTTTGTTTTATCTGAATAATAAAGCTTAAATAGTAACCGAATTTCTCTAAATATCAATAAAACTAAATTTATTATTTTTCACCCTCTAAAAAAAAAAAAGATTGATAATGATAATGTGAAAATTAGAATTAACGGTAAAAGACTTTTCCCACCTAAATATATAAAATAACTCGGGGTATTTCTTGACAAAAACCTGATGCAATGAACTAATTCAATTAAATAAAAAACACTCACGTGCCAATATTTTGTTCTCATTAATACGACACTATGTTCTCCAACATATTCTAATATCAATTTACTATTAATTGTTCTCCTCCAATCTAAGCTTTTGTTGTACTGGTTAGGGTCAAAAAGGTAGTTTTCTATTAAATCCTACAGTTTACAACGCACTTCTATAAAATTATGACATTTTTAAACAATAAAATTTTGACATTTTTGCATTAATAAATTATGAGATATTATTTTTTCAAAATGTCTGGGGGTTTCACTTTTACAAGTATACAAATTTGAATAGAGAAAGTTTTAAATAATTAGATATAAAAACATTCTGCACGAACGCATATTATTTTGAAAGTTGTAATAACTATATTTGTTTTACAAAACTTTTAAGCATATTTATTCAACTGAAATAAAAAATTAAAGGTAATTTTACCTGAATAAAGCAGAATAAAAAAGTTGGAGGTGGGGGGGGGGGGCGCCCCTTCCAGTGTTTTATTTGTTCCTACGCCAGTGATTGTAAGGATCCATGATATAAAGAGAGGTTAAAGCGGATATTTTTTGAAATTCTATTTTTATTTATGCACCATAATTTTTTTCTTCGAAACATTACAATATATTTTCTTTTTATTTACTTTAATTAGTTTTTTTATTAATAATATACTTTATTATTAATTTGTTATTGTTCATGTCTGCTTCAAGTATATTTAAAGTAGCATACATTAACAGACCGTTAGTGATCGGCAAAACATAGAAATATCGATTAATTACGTTTTTAGTAAAACGCTGTTTACCTATTCGTAACCATTATAAATAGCGGTGTCTGGATGGTAAAACGCTGAGTTGCAACGAGAGGTTTCTAACAACCAAGCAACGAAAATTTCTAACAACTTTTAAAACTAATCATTCAAAAACATGTCAATTTTTTTAAAATATATTAAAAAAAAAAATTTCAAATATTCAAAATAAAAAACATCTACGAAGAGTTTTAAAGCGCCATTAAAAACAAAATAATAAAAAATAAATATAAGCCTAAAATATTTTATAAGAATACATTATAGATCTGCGGTTTAAGCGGAAAACCATTATGTAAAATATTTCTCGGTGAATTATTTCCAAAAACTTCTTTACTTTAGTTTTACAAATGCAAAAAAGCACGAGTCTTTATTTAAATTCTAAAATTTTTAGTAAACAACAGGATTAAAAGGTTCTGCTTTTAATTCTTTAAGGTCGAGTTCAGAATCAACTTCATCATCAATCTCTCCAATAACAGCTCTAGTAAATAAATAAGTAAATTGCACAAGTAATGTAAATAAAATAAACCAAAAAAATAATCTAGCAAATTAGCCAATAAAGAATATTAAAAATATTTTATTCATTAAAAACAAAAATTTTAAACAGTATATAGATAAAATCAATTTAATTATAACCAAATTACGATTTTCCCAGAAAGGAATATATTTTATACCTAGATAAAAATGTCTTACTCATATACTTTTTTTTTTGCGCAAGCTAAATAATTTAAGTTTCATAAGTTGAATTTTAAAATCACAACTAACAAAAGGCGTTAGTACTTGGTGTAGTTAGGGCGATTTACAAATTATTCGAATTTTATTTGAAATAAGCAACAAAATAAACTTCATCAACGTATTATATCCAAACAAGAGCTTTAGATGATGTAATTTTTTTTTGCTTCAGGTTTTTTTAATATTAAAAGAAACTTTTTTTTTTTTTTTTTCAATTAAATTTTCAAAAATTTTTTTACTACCCCTAATACTGACTCTAAAGAACACTATTTTGGAGTCTTTAGATCTATTTCGCTCATCGGCGTTAACATGAACTTAGTTAAAATCTTTTAAAAAAGTGTCTTAACCCACTATAGATCCTAGTTCTAATCGGTTCTGATGTATATTAACTATATATAGTTGCCAAAATAGGGGAGACCGGGGCTAGTTGGCCGCAGGGGTAAGTTGACGAATTGCGTTTATCTTTAAAGCCTTTCATCAGAAAGTGATAAAAATTACACAGAATCTTCCTAATTGACTGTTTCATCATTCAATGTAGTATTGTCAGGATTCGCGCATGCGCATGGGAGATATTAAGATTTAAGTGTTTTTTGGACAAAAACGTAACTTTTGAAACATCGCTTCCTTTTTACTTTACAAAGAAAATAGTTAGTCAAATGGAAAAAAAATTATTGTAAAAGTTCTAGCCACAATTGGTTTACTATATTCAGTTTGACTTTTTTTAAAAGTTGCCGTTTTTCAAGATCTATAGACTGTTTATTGAAAAAAAAGCCTTCGGGGTAAGTTGACAAAATTTTTACGGGGTAAGTTGGCTCATAGCATTTACTATGGAGAAAAATATTTATTTTTATAAAAATAGTTTTTTTAATTTTTTTAATTTTTAACAATATTGAAAAAACTTATTCTTACAAAAAAATTATAAAAATTTTTTTTTTAGGTTTTTTGTAACAGGTAAAAAGAGGGCTGCTGTTTCGGCTGTTATACGTACTAATATTTAGCACAAGCTAAAAATAATATCAAATTATTAGCTTAAATTGTTGCCAAAATTAATAGGTAAAAAATTTCTATTAATTTTGCACTTAATAGTACATTAATAATCACGTTTATAGTTTGCGTCAACTTACCCCGTGGTGGGGTAAGTTGGCGCAATTTTTTTTTTTTTTTTGAGGGCCCCGTAAGGCCCCAAGAATTTTTTTTTGTAAATCCATGAAACTTTTATAAGTTACCCAAGTTCATACGCTTTGAGACTACACTTTAATATTTTCAAAAAAGTGTGCTATTAGGGCTACAGAGCTCATAGAGTAAAAACCGAGCCAACTAGCCCCGGTCTCCCCTACAATATTTCTATCAATTTTCACAAAAGTTAGTAGAATTCTGATCAAGAAAGAGCTTACAACAAGGAAAAATTGACAATAAACGATCAGAACAGATCATATTATGTTCTGATCGTTTGTTAGGTAATGAAATCATTGGATATGTACTGGTTATGTTTTCAATGTTTTTAGTATTCATTAGTGATTTTTTGTTCTTTCATTTTATTTCTTTTATGATTTTTATGAGATTGGACTGTTTGTAGCCATTTTCGACAAATACTTGAATAAGGAATTTATTAAAAGTTATCATTTTAATTTCGTCTTTTCGTAATTCAAAGACCTGATCATTTAACGGAAATATGACGTAGTCTTCAAAATATCATACTGACACTATAATATTTTAAAATTGCCATTTTAACTCCAACAAAACTCAATTATTTACCGCAAACAACTACTGCAGTGCTTTCAACATTTCTATATTAATGGATGCCAACCCTCTCACTGAGTCCTCTTCTTTACGTCTTCTTGGATTATTATTTACCACTGACCTTTCATGGAAACCATATATACAATCGATCGCTAAATTAGCATCTGCTAAGGTTGCCTGTCGTTATCGCGCTCGCCATTTTCTCTCTTTTGATTCCATTCTCTACCTCTACAAATCTCTTATTCTTCTCTGTATGGAATATTGTCATTTTTGAGCTGGTTCTTCTAATGATGCTCTTTCTCTTCTAGACAAGGTCAAAAAACGCTTTGTAAACGTAGTTGGACCCGGTCTACCTGCTAAGCTTCAGCCTCTTCCCATCGTCGAAAAGTTGCATCTTTCTCTTTTCTACAAATACTATCATGGCCGTTGCTCAAAGGAGCTTTCATTTCTAGTTTAAACCAAAACTCATTCTCGCTTGATTCATCATTCATCAAAGTCTCATTCTTTTACTGTATCCAGTTTTGCATGTTCAAAAAACTTTTATTCGTCTAGCTTTTTCCCCCGCACTTCAAACATTTGGAACTCTCTCCCATCTTCATGTTTTCCTGACTCATACAACCTTCAACTTTTTTAGTTTTCTGTCAACTGTTTCCTTGCTCTATAACTCTATTCTTTTTTTCTAGTAACTTTTAACTTAATAGTGGTTGCTTGCAGCCTTGCACTATGCGTCGCGAATCGGAAATAGGATTTTACTTAACTGAAAAAAAATTTCAATTTTATTATTTTAAATATTTTTTAACCGAAACAAGTTAGCTTTAGTTAATAAAAAAAATATTTATTTCAGATTTTTTTTTTAATTTGCTTTTTTAAGTGCGGGATTTTCAGGGGTAAAAAAAACCTGGTTTCACTCAATTTTTTTATTACATACGATAATTTTTACGATAACGATAATTTATGACAACTATAATATATAAATATAATTTTTACGATAACTATAATACAATAACTTTATATTAAATACGATAATACATAAAATTCCGAATTTCCATAATTTTTTTGCATATTATCAAATAAATGATACATTTTGTAAATTAAAAACCAACAAAAGAAAAAAAAAGTTTGGATCATTGTTTTTGTGTGTCCGTAAAGAATGATTGATTAGACCATGTTACTACATAGGTAGCCAGTTTTTTATTTATTATAAATTTTCTACAACAAATAGACTTTTTAGAAGTGAAATAATATTCTGGCTACCTCTGTAGTAACATGGCATAATGTCAATTCATTGTAGTGGGTTTTATTAAAAAACGGATTGTAAATAAGTATAAAAAACAACACTATATGCGGAGCGGTACATTTGTTCATAGGTTTTATAAGACTTTATTAGTTATAACTTCTAAGTTAAGCGTGGTTTAATCTTTTAAAATGGTTACATTTAATCTCAGCAAACTTTGTTTGATGATTTTCCTCCAAGGCATATTTTCACTAGTAAAAATGTATTTACGTGTGCTTTATTTTTCCAGTCTACGTTTTTATCACTTTATGCTGGTTACACAGTGAGTTTTAACATTTTGAAAGTCTGCCTTTTTATTTAATAAAAATTTGCGGACAAAGAAAAAGGTTGTTTCTAACTAAATATAAAACATCAAAAATCAACAAAGTAAATATCTCTTGTGAGTATAATATGTTTTATATATTAAGTTGTTAATATTATTATTAAATAAACTATGAATATTAAATTATAATATATTATAGTTTAATATATATATATATATATATATATATATATATATATATATATATATATATATATATATATATATATATATATATATATATATATATAATACATATAGTGCTAAATAAATACAATAACTTTTTTAACAATAACAACTAATATTTAAAAGATTAGAAAAAGATTAGGAATTAATATGTCCTAATGCTGTTCCTCATATTATGAGGAACAGCAATTAATAAAAATATCTGATTAAACAGGGTAATCAAGCAGAGTGAGCGTAAACTAAAAGAATGTGATTTACTACTTCATACTTATGGATCCAATACAAGCAGGTATGCATATATATATCCTCGCAGTCGGAAATACGTTATAATCTTTGCCGCGAACATCTACCATTTTAGTTGGGGGAAAATAAACTTTCGTTATGAAATGAAAACAATGGCATAACATAAAAGTCTTTAAAACGCACAAGGGTTGTTGTGTCTTTAAGTGATTTTTGATATATAGATATACGTGTAAATATAAATAATATATTAATTATATATATATATATATATATATATATATATATATATATATATATATATATATATATATATATATATATATATATATATATATATATATATATATATATATATATATATATATATATATATATATATATATATATGTTTTGTAAATATGTTTTTTCAAAATATTCGTAAACCGATATTTCTTTTTTTAAACTCTTTAAACCACTTTTTCGCAATAATTGTCCTGCTTTATTAACTCAACTAATCATTTGTTTTCCCCCATCCAAAATGGTAACAACTTGCGCTATTGTTATTTTGCATAACCACGTGACTTTCCGACTGCGAGGATATATATATATATATATATATATATATATATATATATATATATATATATCCTCAGAATAAATAAGTTGTTTTGAGACTCATTGATATGAACAGAACGACTACAAGAGCAGATATAAATTTTCAATGAGAAATCTGAATATCTATTTGCAATCATTACTAATAACATTTAAAAAAATTATTCCTATGTCACAATTTGTACATATACTTCATGGTGCTTCTTTTATTAGGTATTTTAAGTATCCTAAAATAGTTTCTTTGTCTGACAGTGCTATTAAAGCCAGAAACAAAGAAAGCAAAACTGCACGAGTTAGTAATGCATGTATAACTTTTTTGGCAGAAAACACTAGGGATACAGTTAATAATTTGTTTGTGACATTTGATATGTACCTCTATTGAGTGTTTTTTTGAATGTGATGCTATTGTTAGTAGTTTAGACTATTTTTGTGAGACTATTTTGTTAATTTTTTTTTGGTAAAAAAATCCCAATATAGTTTATAACAACAATTCAAAGTTTTGGCACCTACTGTGTTTTGAATAAAAATATCTGGACATATGTAATTTTCCAGATTAGTCAGAAATAGCATAGTGCCTTGTTGGGAGTAAATCAGATTTATAAAAAAATTAAAAAAAAAAATTTGAGAATCATAACGATAACAATGAAGTTTATTTTATTACATATATTTGTCAAAAGAAAAGTGACCAAATTTAAAAGTCAATAAATATTTTACTAATTATTTTTTTTAATTTTTAATTTATTTTAAAACTTAATTCTTTACTATTCCAAATATCTTCTAATTTACATTTTAAATACTTTTTACACTATTTTAAATGTCATTTATACATTTAACTATGCAATTCAAGTGTCAATTTTACAGTAGAGTAGAGGGGAGAGCATAATTACAGGGTGAGCATTGGTAACGCAGGTAAATAATTAACTGTTTTAAATTTTGACTTTTAAATACAGATAACAAATTAATTCTTCCACAGAAAATATGGTAAATCTTTGCGTTATTTGTTTTGTTGCTATGCTGATTTTTTTCAAATTTTGCTGTGTATGTCAAATACACTACTTTTTCAGGTTTTTATTAATGTTTTAAGTACTTTAAACTTTAATAATAACTTAAAATTCCCAAAAGAAAAATAAAGGGTGAGAATTGGAACATTGAAATCAGGAAGCATTGGCACAGGATTTTTAATATCTCTTTTGTAGATTACGTATAAAGCTTGTACAACACTGTACAAAAAATATATTTTAATGTTTTAAATTCGCTTTGAATAGCTGTAATTTAAATATAATTGTTTAAATAATAAATTATTTAAATAAACTTATACGTTTTCAGAAAAATGCAACACAATTACATTATAAAAACACCAAGATCATCTTATAAGAAGAGAAATTGAATGTTGTAATTAATATGGTAATAAAAAATCTATCAGAGATAAAATATAACAGACTTGAAAAAATTAAGGAATAAAAAGCAAGTCAAAAACAAACAAGGTTTAGTGTGCGATCAAATGAGTGGCAAAAGTTGCTTGAATATAAATTTCTGATGTCAAAGATGATGTCACAAAAGCTCTACTCTTTTTTCCACAACTGCAAATTCTTTATCATAAGAACAATTTTTTGCCATATTTGTCAACAAGTTAGTATTTATACTTGTTGCTTACACTGCCACGAACAATTGAAGTATAATATTTGTCACTAGGAAGTTGCCTTAAGTCACATTTTATGTAAGTCTTGTCATCCATCAAAATGCAGCAATTCAATTTTGTAATTTAAAACTTAGATGTAAAGTTTTCATAACATAAGTACATGGTTTTAGTGAGTCAAAATTTAACGAGTTTAATTTTTGTCAAAATTTACCAATGCTCTCCCTTACATGAAAAAATGAAAACTTGTGACAAAACTTAAAGCATAGTAGGCAATAATTAACCATATCAAATTTCTTTTTCGAACCCTGTTAAAAACACACAAAAATAACAATAGTTTTGATATAAAAAATTACAAAATAAAGAAGTGTATCACCAGTGCCAAGAGATTTAGCCAATCAGGAATTTGTATTTAGGCATGCATTTAAAAATTATTTCACTCTTACATTTTACAAATTTTGATTTAAAAAAAAAAGAGAGTTTCATACTTATTTATGAACAATTTACAAATAGTCATTATTTTATAGTTTGAAAGTTAATTACACAATAACCTAAAAAAATGGTTTGTAATTTTTCAATAGTGAAGCAAAAGTTTTTTCACCACCAATAACTAAGAAATATTTAGGATCAAAATAAATATTTTACTTCAGACCCCCATCATCTTCTTCACCATCATCTTGTAAACAACTCTAAAGATCTTCTAAGATTTTTACTGTTTACATTGATATGATTTTTCATGGAAAAAAAAAAAAAAAAAAAACGTATAAAAAATGTCATTATATTCATACCTGGATATATAAAAATATCTGGTATCTGGCTAGTTATGTAAAATGGGTAAACCTCTAGAAAATACTCATTGGAAATTTTTATTACATACAATTACAGATCACAAAAATCATAACACACGCAAATAATATTAATAGTTTTTAGTTAAACCTATTTAAATAAAATTATTAATTTTAATAGTTTTTATTTAAATCTATTTAAATAAAAACTATTAACATTAATTATATGCTCCTTTTTCAGTGTTTGGAAAAACGCATTCCAAAAGGAACGGATTCCTAGAACTAGCTTGTTTTATGAGGAACAAAACTAGAAACTGGTTCCTTAACAGGACAATAATAACAGAACAAGGTAAGAGAACGAATTCTTTTTTTGGAAGAACGTGAATGAAAATTAATAGTTCCTAACTTTTTAAATTTGGATTTCGCTAAAGTTGTTTTTACGGTTCAAAAGCAAAAAGCCTTGTATTTAGATCATATCAAATCTAAGTTTGATTTCAGTTAGCCAACAGCCTTAACTACTAATTTTTAAACTAAACTAAACGAAAAATTCCTTGTAAAATATAATTTTCAACATAATTTTATTGCGCGGGGTTCTAGTTTGCAAAATGGATTCAATTATTGAAATTGTTAGTGATTTTGCAGTTATTGAAAATGTTATTGAAAAAAAGTTATTGAAATTAATATATTATTTATATTTGTATATAGTACATGCTGATACAGACTAGGCTAGCAGGATACCAGAAATGTTTAAAAACTATTTAAAATAAATAACAAATTAACGTTAAAAAAGCATTGCTTGCCAAGCGAAACAATAAATTACTATTACAATTTTCAAAATAAAAAAATATGTATTAAAAAAGGAACGAAGCAGGAACGAGTTCTTTTTTTTGAGGAAGAGAAGGGTTTTTTGAGCAGCTTCCTTTTTTGACTAATGAACAATTAAAGAACAAGGATCTGGAACTAGTTCTTATTTTACAAAATGAATGGGGAACAGAACGAGATCCTTTAAAAAAGGAAATTTTCAATCACTGTCCTTTTTTAACATTAGAATTAAAAAAAAAAAACTTAGCTTTTAAAAATGTTAAAACAACATACATATTATCACCACGGATGATATAAAGTCCAAGAATAACTTGTTGAACTCCGCTATCAGGTGAAAACACTCTTTCATGGCTTTCATCTAAAATCAAGTTAACTGCTTGATCAAAACCTTTAAGTGTTCCCTAAAAAAATACACATACAAATCTATATATATATATATATATATATATATATTATATATATATATATATATATATATATATATATATATATATATATATATATATATATATATATATATATATATATACAGGCCTTGCGATAAAGCGTCGGGCGATGTGAATTTTACGTCGTCCAAGGGCGATTTTGCGTGTAGCTAGGGCTATTTGCGTCGAGCAAAAAAATTTTTGTTTGAGTATATTTAAAGATATTTTTGAGCGGAATTTTAATGAAGTAATTTACGATTATTTTAACATTTAATAAAGTATTTTAAAAAACGCACGCAGTTGAAATAAAGGTTTGAATTTAAAAAAATTAAATATGCTCATTATTTACAAGTAGAAAAAATTCAAAAATTAAAAAAAAAGTTTAAATCTTTTAAGCTAACATTTTAATAAAATTATTCAGCAATAGCAACGTTGTCGATAAAATTGAACAAAAATACTTTCTTTTAGTTTTAGATTTTAAACTTAAATAATTATTTTACAGGGGTTTGATAGGTTTTAAAATTATTCCATAGATTTAAAAATATTTATTAACTGTTAGACGTATTTAAAGTATTTAAGAGTGATTTCGAGGAAACATTTTAAAAATTGGTGAGGGCAAATAAAAAAAAAAAAGATTAATATTAAAACGTATTCTACTTGATTCAATAAAAAAGTACAGTTATTAAAATTTTTGTAAAAAGTAACTCAAAAAAATTACTTAAATAATAACGATCGCTTTTATGTTAAAAGTTACCGAAACTCATCGAAGCGTGCTCAAGAACAGCTGCTGAAAAATAGAACGTCAATAGTTTTTCGAATATTTTTTAAGAATAATTTTTTCGCTGAAATATTTCTTTTATACCTATAAGATTTTTATTCTAACATTTTATTTTATTTTACTAGAAATAAAATTCCTTGTTAACATTAAAAATCTATTCAAAACGTTCGTTTAAGTTTTTTATTAATACTAGTGATTGTGCTTATCAACCGCTTTATGAAAATAAATAAAAATAAATAAATAAATATTATATAAAATCGCTTGTAAAAATATTAACTATTGCACAGTTTTTAATTGTACAATATTAAAATTTCCAGTTTATTACTCGCTGACTTTTTAAAAAGAAAAAATAATTATTTGAAAAACTTTAAATTACATATTTAAGAAAAAAAAAATCAAATATTAGCATATTTTATAATCTTTTTTAAATTTAAGTTATAATGTTTTTTATTCGTTTAGTATAGACAAAACGTGACAAACGTCGAGAAAATAAACAAATGTTTTTACATTTTAAAAAACGAAACATTCCAAAACATTTTTAAATAATAACATTTCTACATAAACGATTTAAAGTAGTTTTGCGGTAATTAAATAAATTGGTGCAGTTAATGTCGATAAATATGAAAAGCAAATAAAAAGAATTTAATGACGTCAAAAATCACGTCGTGCTTATGCGTCGCGCAGTTCTTATTCATCGCAAGGCCTGTATATATATATATATATATATATATATATATATATATATATATATATATATATATACACACAGTGTTCTATATAATAAAATAACACTAGATTAAATTTTTTTTTGACTAAAAAAATATTATAAAGGGTGCCCTTGAAAACTTAATGGGCCTTTAATATTATCAAAAAGCAAGTTTTTTAAAAGCATGTTAGGTTTCAAATGAAGCGAAGTTTATACAAATTTTAAGAATTTCATTATTTAAAACTGCTACATTACTGCAATCATTAAAGCTTATGCCTCAGTAAAAGCAACAGTCGAGGTCTTTTGCATCAAAATAAATTTTGCATATATATTATATATTGCATATATTGCATATATATTATGCATATATATATATATATATATATATATATATATATATATATATATATATATGCATATATATATATATATGCATATATATATATATATATATATATATGCATATATATATATATATATATATGCATATATATATATATATATGCATATATATTTATATATATGCATATATATATATATATATATATATATGCATATATATATATATATATATATATATATATATATATATATATATATATATATATGCATATATATTTATATATATGCATATATATATATATATATATGCATATATATATATATATGCATATATATTTATATATATGCATATATATATATATATATATATATATGCATATATATATATATATATATATATGCATATATATTTATATATATGCATATATATATATATATATGCATATATATATATATGCATATATATTTATATATATGCATATATATATATATATATATATATATATATATATATATATGCATATATATATATATATATATATATATATATGCATATATATTTATATATATGCATACATATATATATATATATACATATATATATATATATATATATATATATATATATATATATATATATATATATATATATATATATATAAATATATATATATATATATATATATATATATATATATATATATATATATATATATACACAGGGGCTATTCTAGACTGTTTTCGACAACGTCAACCGTATTTACGCACCGATTTGGGCGCTGCCCAAATTAAAATTTGAGGACTTTTCTTTTTACATTTTTTAAGGCAAATATTGTTATTTTCGCCAAAAAATGCCTATTTTCCGCTAAAGTTCGCTGGAACGAGAAGGTACCATCGCTCAAATTTTTTTCCTAGAATTGGCCCTGATATATATATATATATATAATATATATATACCCTAATATATATATATATATATACCCTAATATATATATATACCCTAATATATATATATACCCTAATATATATATATACCCTAATATATATATATATACCCTAATATATATATATATATATATATATATATATATATATATATATATATATATATATACAATTTTTCAGTACAAATAACAAATTAGCACAAATATAAACTAAAAAAAGTAACGATGTTAAACACTGAAAACTTGCTGAAGACCATGTGGTCTTGTCATCAAGAAACCACTTTTAGTTGCAATATTTTTAATTTAAAAATTTCAGTTTATCTAAGTCTCGTGGTGGCATCAGAGTTGCATATAAAAAGCTATTTAATATTCAAAAACAGATAAAAACTGTATTTTGATACACATAAATAAATTACATGGCTTGTTATACGTAATATATTGACAGACATGTATGAAATATAAATAAAATCTAACATTATGAAGTTAACTTTAGGTTTTTTTTAGTTATTTGTTTTAATATATGTTCATAAAATTGTTTATGTTTAAAACAAGTTATTATAATAATATTTTTAAAGAATTAGGATTATGTAATTTTGTAATTGTAGTACTTTTGTATATTAATTTGTTTTAGATGTAAGGGCCACAATATAAATAAAGAAACGGGAGCTTTGTTTTGTATATTGTACATTAATCAAAATTACAAAATCTTTTATTCCTCAAGTGTCATATCTTTTTCTATTGCACCTAAAAAACTCTTGAAAAATGTGATGGGATAAGCCCGAGTTAATATTTTAGCAACAAACCTTGATAGATGTTAATTTTATAGGTGCTTAGCGCATTAAAGGGATCCTAAACTTCTGAAATATGTTGTGTTATATTAAAGAGAATGATAAAAAAACGTTTAAGCTATATTTTTAAAAATAAAACAAGAATAAATGCATACTAAAAAAAAAATAACTTTTTTGTTTTAGTTGAAGGTCACCTTCGTTTGGTTGTAGGCCAAATAGTCTTTATAATATATGCCACAATCTACAGACTTGATAATTTATTCAAGCGCATTTTATTCTTTAAAGTTTTCGTACAAGATGTAATTGATTTTTTGTTTGTTTAAAAGAACAAATTCGTAAAAATTTAACCTAAATGTTTTTTTTTATCATTCTCTTTAATATGAACACAACATGTCTTGGCCATTTGGGATCCCTTTAAGAAGTTTTAACAGAGGTTCAGCACGAGTAAACTTATCTTTATTAAAGACTATTCTTACTACATATTTTTGATGCCGATAAAGTGCCACTAGATTAGATCTATGGGCACACACCCATATATTTAATAGGCTTGTATGAAAGATAAATATTTTGGGGTAACATCCGTTTAGCTTTGTAAAGCATATAAATGTTGTTTCTTATTTTAGTATTTAAAATATTTATGGGGGCTTTCTATGAAATATTCTCATCGATACCTAAAAATTTTGTTGTTTTGTTTCTTATGATAACTTTATAATCATTTTAAAAACTCAAAAATTGGTCATAAAAATAACAATTTAAATTTAGTTTAAATAGTTTATTGCAAAAGCTGACAAATTTTATTAGTACTTTTAATCTTTTTACAGAAAAAATATCGTATAATATTTTACAATATTATAAAAGTTACATAAGTTTGAGAGGCACTCCCTTTGTGAAAACCTTATACAAAATAAAAAGAAGCCTTATGTTTATCTTGAATAATCTCTGAGCAGGGCACTTTATTTTTAGCAAGTCAATAATAGTTGATTTAAATTGATTGAATTTTTTGAAAAGTTTTTGATTATTTAAATATATTATTTGAAATAATGTTTCCTATAAAATCTAATTAAAAATTGGGCTCAAAATGAACTTATATTTTTATTTACAAAAATAAAATTATAAGTTCTGAAATTGGTTAAAAAGGGTCTTAGTCTAAGGAGAATTTGAGGCAAAACTATACACGAAACTTTTAATCTTTATCTTATTTTGTAATATTTAAATCAACTTGATAAAATAAAAAATATTAAAAAGCAAAAACAAATTTATTAAAAACCTTTAGCAAATAAATATTATAGATAAATTAAAAAAATGAAATAAAACTTACAACAATCATGCGGCCATCTTGTGTTATAACAGCTACAGTATCTGCATAATGTTAAGGATATTTAAATAACTTAGTTTAAAACCACATAAAAAATAAATAATAAAAATTAAAGGATAATAAACCAAAGAAGATTAGAATTACAGCAAAAAGATACGTCCTGAATAACTTTCAAGAGCATTAGCCATGTTAATTAAAAGTTATCAAAAGAAAATTTTCAACTTCCAGTTCAATGTTTAAATCAGCTCATATAATTTTTATCAAACAATATTTTTCACACAAATCTTTTAAATCTAAAGAAATTTTAGATTAATTTAAACTGTAGATAAACATTTATGAGAAAAAAAGCAAGCATGAAATTAAAAGCCCGCGTGTCATTCTTTTTAGTATAGGAATAAAAATTTATGATTTTTCCGCGTAAATGTGCCTTACAATTTGTAATTTTACATTCAACTAATTACATCTTTATTTCATAATTTTGAGGAAACATAATTTGTGTAAGTTAAGTTTCCAATTAATTTGCCTTAATTTTCAATTTTTAATTGCTTGAAAGTGCAACTCAAAACAAATCTATACTTCTTTTAAACCACTCAAAAAGCAACGTCTATACTTCGATTATATCTATGAGGAGGATAGGAAATGGAAGAGGAGGGGGCGGGGGTAGTAAAAGAGGTGATAAAAGATACTTAATAGACGGGGAGGAGGAGGGGGTATGAAGAACAAACTGCTTTATTGCATATACGTGTTAGCATAAACGTTGAGAGTACGAACTGGCGTAAAAGTAATTTTGCTTATAAACAAGTTTACATTATTTTGAATTTAAAACCGTTCAAAAACTATGGCTATATTTAGTTTGAGTTTCCCGCGATTTGAGAGAGCTAAAAATTTTATATGCTCATAATTTTAGGACGCTGTTCTCTGATACTTAAAAAATATCGATGAAAATTAATTTGATTAATGATATTTTAAAAATATATATTATATCACCTTGTTGCTCCCACGTTTAGGGGTGCGAAAACTTAGGGCTTTTCTGTGCCCAGGCTCGAATCATCGCGTTTTTTTTTTAATTATTTAATTATTTTTTTGTTGTTGTGGGTAATAAGATGCAACCAGAAGTCCTTTCGGTCTTATCAGAGACCACCGCAATTTTTCGCAAAGCATCCTTATTTGACATAAATACAAACATTTAAATGTTTGGTATGTCAAAGTTAATATCTCAAACACTAAAAAATGCAAATTCCTTTCCTAAATTTATTAATTTGCGTAAAAACAAATTCTTAAGCATAACCCCATAAGAATACTTAAGGAAAACCTATAGTATAACACAATTAACCCAACAAACATTTTGCTAGTGGATTTGCAGTGAACCTACAATGCATTTTGAGCGGTTCAATGGAGTTTTGCTCATAAGTTGCTATCTGATATATTGGTTAGTCATTGGCTAGCCACTGTTGATGGCTGCCACTAATAATCCACTATGTAACCATTAAGCAAAACTACAGTGGACCATTTAAAATACCATTATAATTCCATTGAAATTCCGATATAGAATCTTTGCTGGTAAGTTAAAAAAAAAAAGTTAAAGTTAAAAAAGTTAAAGAAAAAAAAAAAGCTAAAATCTACGTAAATAATGTTCGTTATTAATGAACAATCTAGAAGAGTATAGATTTTACATTTATTAAGAGCAACCTTAATTTCAGAATGTGTTTTAGATTTGACAATTTTCGAGCACACCAAAGACCCTACACTGTTTTAACTATTCTTTTTTTTAAGTCGCATTTATGTTCTTGTACATGAATAATTGTAAATACAAAACCCTGTTTTATGGATTAATTCATAAAACTGGGTATTAATATTGTAAATTTGCAATTTTCAGGCTGAACTACAACTTCAAATAAGTTTTCATTTTATTGCCCTAAATATTAAAATACTATTAATGCAATATTTTGAACAAAAATATTGTATTTGAATAAAAATAAAGTATTTATCTTTTTTTATGAAAAAAACAAAAACTAATATTTTGAGCTTTCAAACTCGGCTATTGGTCATCATAAATAGGAATTAAATACAGAATAAGAAAATAATTTTGACAGTAAATCTCTTTACTCCAGAATATTCATATTTAAGTGACTATATTTACACAATTTTAATAAATTCATTCAACCTTCCAACTAACAATATATATTTATTTGTATGTATATATATATATAATATATTTATAAGAAACAAGCAGCACACATTAGCAAAGTTTTACATCTAAACAAAATTCTTTTATGACAACACAGCTACTTCAATATAAGGTAGCATAGTTACACACAAAAAAATAGCATAGTTACACAAAAGAATTTGTAAAACATTCAATTTTATAAATAAATACCAGAATTCTTTATAACAAAATAGGAATATCAAAATTAAAAAAAAAAAAAAAAAAAGATAAATAATGAGACTTGACCGAAATTTTGATCGTAATTTTTTTTTAGATAATACTATCGAGTTTTGTGATTTCTTTAAATTTTATTTGAAACTAAGTTCTGTCTTGAAAATATTTTTTCGATAAAGTCGTTTCTGAAGGAACTCTAACGCGATAAAGTATAAACATTTACTCTTCGTTAATATACTTTATATTTGTTAAATTTATCGCAAATCTCGATTTTTTAGTCCGAGTTTACTCAGCTGTTCATCATAATCTCCAATATTTCGTTTCATGACATCCATACAAGGACCAAGTAGCCGTTCAAAAGCCAACACGTCTAAAGCTGTAATAATTAAATATATAATATAAAGTGATAATAATTGCACGATATATTGTGAATAAAAATGTTTACAAAATAATTATAATTTTACTAATCTAATATTCTATTTATTGATATTTACACTCTATATTCACACATGATATTTAAGGTAAGAACAATTAATTTACAATTGTATGTTTGTATTTTATTATAGCATAATGTATAATTTACAACTTATGTTGTTAATTAAGTAAAAAAATTAGAATTTTTTTTTATTATTCAATTAAACAGCCAGTAAAAATAAATCGTATTATAATTTATGTTCATTATTAATTATAAAAAATATGAAATATAATTTTCATCATTTATTACATTTACATAAAGTAATAAATATTAAATATTTTTGAAATATACAACAAAATAAGGATAATAAATATTATTTTAATTTTTAACTTTGTTAACACCGGTATGCACATACAATTAATTTTGTAACGGAGTTACAAAATTAATTGTATGAGTAAGAGATTGAGAAATTGAGAAGTTATGAGCTTTAGAGCTAGCAGGGTCAGGGGCGTTAGGGCCCAGTCATTAAGTTTGATGAGTATTAAAGTCACCAATAACAACAAAATTGGCAGAAAAATAAAGATAAAGGCATAATCAATTTGATCAGAAATTAAAAAATAGTGCAGTGCTGAGAAGGAGAATGATAAAGAACAAAGCAATAATCTCATTTTATAAACTTTGTATATCATTAAATCATTAAGTTAATACACTCGAAAAGATAAAAAATGTTTTTAAAAACCATTACAAATATATAGTTAAATTAAATACATGGTTATTTATTCATTTATATATAATTATGCATTTTTTTTGAGTAAAGAAAAACACAAATAAAAAGTATTTTTTTTGTAACCTCAAACACACAATAAGTATATTTACCTGCAACTCTACAAACGCCAATAGAATATATAGATGCAGCACGTGGATTATGTGTTACTAGAGCCAGCTCTCCAAAATATTGTCCATCAGATAATTGAGTAACTTCAACTTCTTCATTGGTACCCTAAATTTTTTAAATTGTAAAAAAAAAATCAAAAACATCTTTTGAATACATGTTTAGTAATATTATTGATATTTCATTTTTAGTCAATATTTAATTTTAATTCTAGAAAACATTTTTGTTTATATATGTTCTTTATGTGTCTATCAATCTTATGCAATCAATCTTATATGCAAGCAGTCATTGAGAAAAAATTTAATTATTTTAAAAGATATTCTGCATTCTTTATGTACCTAAAGTACATTTGGCATAATAAGATAACAGATTAATAAAAAGAAAAAATTTAAAAAATAAAAAAACAATTTAAAAGCAATAAGATAGTTGGAAGAGAGGAGGAGGAGAGGGGGAGAGAGGAGGAAGAAGTTTTGATTGGAAGAGAGGAGAAAGAAGTTTTGATTGGAAGAGAGGAGAAAGAAGTTTTGATTGGAAGAGAGGAGGAAGAAGTTTTGATTGGAAGAGAGGAGGAAGAAGTTTTGATTGGAAGAGAGGAGAAAGAAGTTTTGATTGGAAGAGAGGAGAAAGAAGTTTTGATTGGAAGAGAGGAGAAAGAAGTTTTGATTGGAAGAGAGGAGGATAGAATGCTATTGACATACACATTATGCAGTAACAGAAACTTCTTTCTCAAGCTACAAAAGTTAATTTTATATTTATGTAAAATGAATTTAAATAAAAAATTGTATCTTTTAAAAAATTATCATCAAAATCATCTGAAGGTTTGTATGTTGCCATTAAATGATCAATATGAAAAAAAGTTTAGCAAGAAAGTTTTATCAAAAAATTATGGAAATAAGTTAATGTAAGTTAAAGAAAAAGAATTAACTTTAAATGAGATTCAGAAATACAAAAAATCAAATGCTTTTTTTAAAAATAATTGATGATCACCTTAAATCCTGACTTCCATGGAATCAAAAATCAACCGTGAATTGATCATTAAATCCTGAATTCTATGGAATCTAATATTAACCCTAACTTAATTGTTTAACCCTGACTTCTATGGAGTCCAAAATCAACCCTGATTTGATTGTTTAAACCTGACTTCTATGAAATCTAAAATCAACCCTGATTTCAAAATTATTGGTCTTGTTCAAAGGTATTCTGGACCTTCTTAAACAAGACTATTATTTGAAGAAAAAAAAACACTAAGAAAAAAAAACAATAAGAAAAGCCCAAACACTTTAAAATAATACTTTAAAAAGCTATTATTTTTTCAAAGTCTACAAATATCATTTCAGAACTTGTAAAAAAAAACTATATCAATACTTTTAAATATAAAATATATCTCACAAATGTTGAAACACCACTTTAAAATAAATAAATTTAAATTCATCAAACTTGAGAGAAAAAACTGTAAATTTATTACTAATAAATAGTAATAAATTTACAGTAATAAATTTATTACTAATAAATAGTAATAAATTTAGTAATAGAGAAAAAACTGTAAATTTATTACTTAACTATAGTAACTATTTTCTTTGTTTTATATTATTTCATCATATATTACGCAGTCAACGAAATTTGAAGGATTTCAGGTCGGCAGGAGCGTGCTGACTTTAGCCGACCTCAGGCCGGCAAAAAAAAATTGGATTTTATGTTTTCTGTTACGATAGGGGTAATGATTAATTGATCATAAAAGGATTGCTTTATAATAGAATAACTTTAGACAATAATATTTTTAAAAATGTAGCAGTTAAATTTTGTGTAGTAAATTAAGTATATAGCAAATTTATAACATTTTATTTGGTTTTCTAGATTGCTCATAGAGAGAACGTCATTTAGAAATACAAATTTAGTTTATGTGCAGTAGACAAAGATTTTGCTATAAATGGGAAGTTGTTTAACAAAATGAGTAGTAAATGAGTAGTTTAAATCCGGTTGTTTAACCTCTACAAGAAATAAGCATTTTATCCTTCAATAGTAGGGGTGGTATTTTTCAATATTTTTATTATTATTATTATTTTAATTCACCTCCTCAAGGCCGAGAAGGCCACTACAGACGAGGAGGCTATTTAGTTGTAGTATAGTATGAACTTGTAATTATATGTAAATTGATGGAGAAAAAACAAAAGTTAAAAATACTAAAAATAGTTTTATTTCCTTTTATATAAACATTGTTTCCGCGCAATAGCGTCTTATGGACGTATTTTCATAATTTACTCATTATCAGAATTTTTTGTCTAATCATCAGAAATATTGCTTAAGTTAATGTTAGAAATCAAATTTTCTTGATCAGAAGATTCAGTGTCAGAAGAAACAAGGGTTTGCAAAAAATTATAAAATAATATTTAACGAATATTATATATTTTTTATATGTATTTCAATTTGCATGCCGACACTTTAGGATATTCAGGTCGGCAGTTGTATGCCGTCCTAAATCAAATATAGCTTGGCTTTTGCGTCGGCAATGTGGAATGCCGACCTGAATTTTGCTGACTGTATTACATATATTTATTATTTTATTTTATTACATTTATTATTTAAATTACTTTTTACCTTTTTTTAAATTTATTATTTATTAAAACAACTTTTCTTTCTTATATATAATATAACAACTTATTTTGGAAGGACTCATAAAATTAAATAATCTTGTTGAATATTTTATGTTAAAACCTACTTGGCGAGCAATTTTTACACAAACTCTTCCTTTTTCGATAAAATACATGTTATCTGCTTCATCACCCTGCAATAAAAATGTCAATAAAAATGTCATAAAAAAGCAAACATTTTTGAACAATTATACATTATGTCGCTTTATAACAAGTAAAAATAACAGAATTTTTTAGTTTACTTGTTTAACAATAAGTTCACCATCTTTAAATGATTTGGATTCTAATGCATCAGCAACATTCATTCTTTCATACTCCTATAAATGTTTTCAGATTTAATGAACATAATTGTTTGTTTTTTTAGATTAATACTAATAATAGTATTTATTAAATTAATTTTTTTATTAATATATAAACTATTTATCAAATTTGTAAATAAAAAAATTGAGTATTTAAGAACTAAAATGAAAAAAATTAAGGAAATAAAATGAAAAAATTATAAACAACTTACATTTAGAAACTTGAGCATTGGTACATTTTCAATAAGTGCTTCATGCATCTTGCGCTACAAAATTAAAAAATATAGTAAAAAAAAAAAGTGATATAAAAAAAAACCTTTAAAAAGAGAATAGTTGATTTTAAATGTACTATTAAGTTCTATTAATAGTAATCTAGAGAAGTCTTTTACATCCACAACAACATTTTATAATTTTTAATCAATTAAAACTTTATTTGCAGATGAAATAATAATATCATTATAATTATATCTGCAAAAACTTGCACCAAACACTTTATACAATTTGTTTTATTGTTTTTTAAAAGAATTATCAAAAACTGAATTTTTTTTATAGAACTTTCAAAGCTAAACAAAATTAATTGTACAATTTATCCTCTTCAAGGCAAATAGTTAACATTTTCCTCTTAACAACATAAAAATGATGAATATTTTCACTATGCTTTCAGTCAAAAAACTTGGTACTAGTTGATTTCACAAACACTTGCTGCTGTTATTAAAAGCCAAGGGTGCGAAGCTCTATTAACTTTTTGGGACTTATTTTCTTGAATAAATTTTTTGAATTTTTCTGATATTTTACGGTTAAAAAAGTCCCTGAGATGCAAAGCAGACTATTTAATGTTTAAGAGCTACACATAAGGTAATCTGTAAAAACACGTATAAGGTCCTGTAAAATTATATGTATACACAAATAATTTTATAGGATCTGTAGGTCCTATAAAAGCTGCAGAATAAAAATTTTGCAACTTTAAAAAAGTAACCCAGGAAAGCAACTTATGTATGCAACAACAACAGTATGCAACTTTATAAAATTATAAAAACTATCTTTAGTATTGTGAAATAAACATGCATACCAAACAAATACTGCTAAAAAAGTTACACACATTAGCAATAACCCTAACTGCAGTAATTTTTGAAGTATAAGAAAAAAACATAATTAAAAAAAAAAAAAAACAGGTATTTTAAAATGCAAGTTATATATAGTTTCATTTCCATTAACTTTTAAATTTTTTTGTTGAGTCGTTATATGAAAGGCATTTTGTAGCAGAGAAATTAGAAAGGAAAGATTAAACCAAATTGTCATCGGTTGTGTGAAAAGTTGCGATAAGTGTTGCACCAGGAAGATGTATTGAACAGGCATTGAATGTAGCGATAAAAGTGTTGCATCAGGTATTGAATGTTGCGATAAAACTGTTGCATCAGAGAGATGAATTGTACTTCACTTTATTTCACTTGCACAGCAAGCTTTTAACACCAGCGATGTTATGACAACTTCTGCAAGTGTAAAGTATAACCCAACAGCCAAATACAAAAAGAAACTTCTCGTCTGGCTTTGCTTTTCAGAGTATTGCTTTTTGAAACCTTCCTTCTTTCCAAGTGACACGGCAATCAACCAGCAAACCTTTTTGAGCATTTATACTTGGTTCCATTTTCAACTTTCCAACCGTTTTGTTGCTCATTTTCTTCGTTAATGCGTAAAGTTGTTACAAGAAATATCAAACAGATTGATTTAACATATTTGACATATCTAGTTTCTATGACTCAAATTTCTAATGACTCTTTTTTCACATTTAACCAAATTTCTAATAAATTTATATTATACTTTTGTTAGGAAATACTTTTATGCATTTACAAAATTAAAAAATTCTAGAGTTGACCAGCATTTAAAACTTTATGGGCAAAAAGAATACTATATAAAAATAGGGACTCCAGACTTTGCATGGATTGAAAGATAATCAAACTTCAAAAATGTGAAATAAAAATAAATGCTTCAAATTGAATGTCTGCCATTTTATCCACATAAATAAATTTGGCAATTTCTTGAAAACTATGATAAGAATTTGTCATGCCTTTTAATATCTTTCTTTACATCTGTAAATTTACCAAACTATACTTTTCTTACAATATTATCACAACATACATTGATCACATACAATGAAACAAACTTCATTGATTTTTATTATAATTCATTGTGCAATTAATCAATAAATTTTTTAGTTACATTTACTTGCAAATATCAAGTAAATATTTTATAAATATTTACTTGATATTTGCAAAACTAAAAAATTTACTTGCAAATATCGAGTAAATATTTTATAAATATATTATCCATAATTTTGTTATAATAAATTTATAACATAATTATGGGTAATATATTAAAAATGTAATTCTTACCTTTTGATAAGCAGCCTTAAGCAAGATTTTCCTAAAAGTGACACGATCAAGACCCCATATTGTACCTTCTGAAGAAGCTATTATTGTTGCAGCTCTACATGAAATTTTGAAAAAGCTCTTACAAAAAGTATAGAAAAAAAGTATTCAATATTGATAAATATTATAGCATGCATAACTGAAGATACCTAGGAGTGTTGTACATCAACGCCAACTCTCCAAAACTACCTTTGTTGTTGTAAGTGCCAACCTGATACAAACAAAATTATTTAACATTAAAAAATCAAAACTTTTTGCAGTAACGTTTTAAAAACCAAAAAATGTTTTAACTTTTTAAAATTATTAACAACAAATTATATGGAATAATACTTGAAAATATTATTTTAAATCCAACTTAAAATTTAATATATAACTTTAATATATAACTATAAATTTAATATAACTATTTAGAATAATACTTAAAAAAATTTAATTTTAAATTTAAAATTTTGTAATAAAAAAAACAAACTTTAACAAATAGATTGTTCTTAAACTAAAAAAAAAAAAAAAATTATATTCTAAAAATGTTTTGATTTTTTTTTAACTAAATGAGTAACACTTGAAAATAAAAAAATTATAAAACATTTGAATGTACCTTTTTATCAACACCATCAACAAGTACATATATGTCAAAAACACCATTATCAACAACATAAAAGTTGTCTCCATCATCCCCCTGACGAATAATTACATCTCCAATTACCGTCTTCCTTTCAAACATAGCATCTAAAACTTGATTCAACTGCTCCTGTAAAAACATTTATGTTTTTTTATACATACATGTTGAGCGTTGATAGCTTAACAACAATGTAATAACAATATATATATATATATATATATATATATATATATATATATATATATATATATATATATATATATATATATATATATGTATGTATGTATGTATGTATGTATGTATGCATGCATGTATGTATGTATGTATGTATGTATGTATGTATGTATGTATGTATGTATGTATGTATGTATGTATGTATGTATGTATGTATGTATCTATGTATGTATGTATGTATGTATGTATGTATGTATGTATGTATGTATGTATGTATGTATGTATGTATGTATGTATGTATGTGTGTATGTATGTATGTATGTATGTATGTATGTACCTATGTATGTGTGTATTTGTATGTATGCATGTTTTTGTATAGTTAAAACACAGCCACTCACAAAAGTAAATAAATTAAGCAAACCAAATCTAAGCTTTTAAACAATAGGATATTCTTGACAGCTTGGTTCAGTCTTTCTCTTTGAGCTTTGGATTTAGGATTAACAGGCTTGGAAAAAAAAATTAAATTTTCAATAACTTTTAAAATAAAAGAGTAAAACATTACACACACACACACACATATATATATATATATATATATATATATATATATATATATATATATATATTTTTATATATATATATATATATATATATATATATAATCAAAAATTTCAGCCCAAACATTTATTTAAAACATTCTCTTTAATATGAACATAACTTGTCTCAGCACTTTGGAATCTGTTTAATGAGTAATTCCACACATTTAAGTAAATTTTGAACATGTCATCCAAAATTTAGGAAACTTTGAACCATGGGCCTCAAACTTGTTTTGGCTTTGCAGGTTACAAAAACAATTTCACACAAAATTTTGGGCCTAAAATGTTCCTGAGATATTTAGATTTTAATATTGACCTGGTTTCCCAGTTTTCATAACATTTTGAAAAACCATATTCTTTAATTATATGGAAAATAACAAAAACATGTCAAAAACATGAAAATAAATATTTATGTTTTTTTGATGCAGAATTCAATAAAAGTACTTAAAATGCTGAAATATGAAGGAAACATGGTTAAAAGTTAATAAAACAACTAGCTTATATGACTCAAATTTTGGGCCCATTTTCTCAAAACATCCCTGTTCAATTTTTTTTTTTTGCTTTTGATATTTATAGTTATTTATAACCTTAAATGTCCCCAAAAATCTAACTGGAAAAATAACAGTAACCAATAGAACTATAGTTTCAAAGATAAATCACTTTTCAATGAATTATTAAAAAAACTAGAGAATAGAAAATAGAATATTAAAAAAGAAAACGATTAAGTTATATTTAAGTAAGATTTGCATAATTACATATGATTTCAACTACTAAAAAAGGCATCTTGTCTTTTTTAAATATAAAAACTGACCAAGTGTGATACCAGGTTGGCCAGCTTACAGCTAAACCAAAATTCCTTGATATTTCCAGGACCTTTCAAGGAAAATTTTGGTTTCTTTAATTATATGTTAGTCTTTTCATGGCCAGAAAAAAAATATGTTGATTTATAAAAAATATGAAAATGAAAGATAACTAAATAATTAGTAGATGTTAATACTGACAAGAACGTTAAACAAAATTATATAGTTTATAAAAAGTTCAGTTATAAAACCATGATTTTAATTATTTCTTTAATGAAATACTTCCTTAATGTAGTTCGTACCAAGTAAATTATCTCATTAAGATGTTTTCTATTGGCTTAATTATATCTGAGACAAGCAAAGGTCAACAAGATGTTATAGAAATTTTAAGCAATGAAGAAAAAACAACCTTTAAGCTGTAATATTAAATTATTGAAAATAACGTTGAAACTTGAAAATCTTATATAAAAGACCTACTAAAAATATTTGAAAATATGGCAGAAAGCTTGTTGTGATACACTAAATGCACATACAAAGAAAATCACTTGTAAGTAGCTGTAAAATTCAAATATTATTATATATAACTTTTTTTCTTTTGTAAAACATAACAAAATAAAGTTCTAAACAAATTTATAAAGAAGCTTTATAAAATTCAATCATTTTTAGATATTCTTGTCATAGTTACTATAAGAGTCACAAGTCATGATTAGAAGTACCACAAGAAGAGTCACAAGTCATGATAAGAAGTACCTGGAAAAAAAGATTATCTAAGCATTAGAAAGAACATCAATGAACAAAAAAAAAAAACTCTTTCTGGGTAATTTAAAGAAACTTTATGTAAAGGGTGTTCAAATTTAAATCAACTTTTTAATTTTTTAATAAAACACATAATTTTTTTGAAATAAGCAGATATTTTTATTGAATATTAAAGTAGATACACAGCATGTTAATAATGAAAAAGATTGTTAGATAAGTGAACAACTCTTGCAACCCTACAGAACTCTAATCTTTTAGTAAAAATTTTCAACACATGATGACATAATTGTGGTTCAATTTGAGTAATTTGCTTGATTATGTTTTCTTTCAGATGTTTGAGGATTATTAGAGAAAACATTTTTTTTAATGCAAGTGTTACACATTCTATTTGTTAATTACTGATGAAGCCTATAAGATCTACTTTCAAAAGCTCTTTGCTTTTAAAAATGCATACTTGCACAATGTTATGATTGTCCTGGTAAAGATCGCAATGCGCGCAAAATATTTAAACTAATCTTACCCATACTGAGTGTAAAATTTCTCTGTCCAAATTAGCTTTTATAACGCTTTTATAAACTATGCCAATAATCAATAAATGCTTTTATAATCTATACCAACTAGAGAGTGAAATGGGTCTTAAAGCTGAATGAAACCTTTTTATATGTCCCACAGAAAGTAATTATGAGATGGGATTGGCAGAAATGCTTTGAGATATTGAACACAGAAGTTGAAACATAAACTAGCTGCTTTATTAACTTTTAAGCATGTTCCCTTTATATTTTAGCATACAAAGTAAGTTTTTTTAATTCTGCATCAAAAAAGCATTATAAATGTTTATTTTCATACTTTTGCAATTGCTATTCCTTATTATTTTTAATTTCACGAAAACCGGTTTATTTTAGGAAACCAGGTCAATTTTAAAACTGCCATATCTCGTCAACTGCTCAACATTTTTAGTTTAAATTTTGCATACGAATAGGAATCATATATATTCCTATGTAGGAATCGTATGTATCTATAGATGAAGGAAAATAGGAAGATACATGGTTCAATTGACTGGTTGATTATATGGTGATTGACGAGATAACTTAATGTATATGTATATTTTGATGTTAATACAGATGCATTTAATATATTAAATGCATCTTTATTAACATGAAAACAATAAAAAAATTGGCCACAGTTATATGTTACTTTATATAACAACTTAATTAGCAAACATGCAATGCCCGATCTTAGCATGCCTCTAATAATGTAGAATTTAACTGGTGTATATGTAATCTTTAAAGTGATTTGACACCAAAGTAAAACTTGTAAAATACTATGTAAAACTGACCACTTGCTCCTCATCAGAGTCATCATCATCAGGATTGTATGCTTCAGCACAAACAGATTTTCGTCTATCATAGCGATGTTGTGGAGGTTCTATGAAAAAAATCTCAATCTTTATATTTATATATTTATCTTTTTTTTTCATCATCAAAATATATAAATTATATTAATAAAAAACTCTCTCAATATTTCTGTAAAACTGTCTGGTGTATAAATAAAAATGTTTATATAAAAATCTGATACATAAACACAAATAAAAAAAAAGATAAAAACACTTATAAATTTTTTTAAATCAATTTAAATTAAAATCAGTTATTTTATGATTCAAAACTAAAAAAAATTCTTAATAAATATTATTAATTAATATTTTTTTGTATTTTATTTGATACTTCAATTTCAAATTTTAATTCACATTCTTAAGAGTCATTACAGTCAAGGAAGCAAAACATTTTTTTTTATATTGTTTATTATATTATTGCTAGAGGTCAGTATGGAGAAGGCAGTTTATCTTTCTTTCAGATCAATATCTGGAACAAAAACAAAAACTGTTTTGTAACAATATGTACTCCTGTACCTATTAGGCTCTTGCTTAACAATATTGATGAACAAGTCAATGTTTAATTAAAAAAAAAAAAGAAAAAAATTTATTTTTTCAACATCAAGATATTTTATTATCTTATTAACTGAAGCAAAGATAAATGTTGGAGTTAAAAGGGATGGCTTATAAATTTGTAAGTCTATTTTTTTCCACCTTGCAATCTCTAACACACTGCAAGGTTCAACAAATGTTCAACTCTAGACAAGGTCTAAAACTTCATTATAAACATTGTTGGACCTTACCTATTGTTGTTAGGTTGCACCTCTGTCTCTTTTCTACAAATACTATCAAGTCACTGCTCAATGGAGTTACCATCTCTAGTTCCATCAATCAAAACTCAATTTCACTTGACTCACCATTCAGAAAAGTTGCATCCTTTTACTGTATCTGTCCCATCATGCACTAAAACTTTTGTCTAGTTTGTTTTCCCTGCACTTTAATGCTTTACAACTCTTTACATCTTTATGCTTTCCTGGCTCGTATATCCTTCAACTTTTCAAGTCTTCTACCAACCATTTCTAAGCTCTTTAATTTTTTGTTTTATAGTCTCTTAACTTAATAGTGGTTGCTTGCAGCCTTGTTGGGAGTGAATTAGATTTTTAAAAAAACTTGTTTCTCTGCACAGCAGCTTTCTTTATCAAGGCTTGTTTTTAGAGATGAGAAAGGGTTGCAACCACTAAAAAAGGTAGATTTCTTAACTATAGTGGCCTTCACTGCCTTTGGGAGGTGAATAACATTAGAAAAAAAAAATTTTTAGCTAAAGACTCACCACTTCATAATTTTCTAGATCAAAGCCTAATTTTAAACTTAAAATTTAAATTTGAAACATTTTTTTTTTCAAAGACAAGGACAAAAAAGTATTATTTTGTCACACATTTATCAATAAAATAAAAAAAGTCAAATCACATTAAAATGACACTCAAAAAAACAGAATATTATGCTATTTTAAGCACTAAAAATAAAAATTTTTACTGAGCTAACATTTTAAGTATATGGTTTAATTCATTTTGTTTTAAAAATGAATTAAAACATATACTTTTTTATGTTTCCAGCTAATAAACAATAATGAATAAAATAAATCTTATATATAGTCTTTTATAATACACAGTACTACGACTACTGGCTTCTGGATAATTTTTGGATACCGAATTAATAATTAGATTAATCTTATGTAATTGTCTCTGTTATGCCTTAATTATGTATAATTTTTTTCTGTATTAATGACAAAGTCTTAAGTTGTTTTAAAACATTTTATACATATAACTTTGTATACAGAAAGTGTTAACAAAGTTTATACATAATAGTTAAATAGATCCACAGAAATGAAACAGATATTTTTAACACAAGATTATATCCTCTAAATAATTTTTAAAAGCATCTGCTGCTACAACACTATATTCTTGTGGCAATGATCAAATACAAATCTATGGAACAATAAAAATATCATCTGAATTCGTGATGTATTTTACTAAAATAGGATTGTAATATAGTATGAGACAAAAATAGCTTTTTTTTATAAGTGAATGTTTAAATCTGGTCTAAGCTAAGTTTATATACATTTAAAGCTCTTAATACATACAGAAATGGTTTGGAAAAAGCAGTTCTTTCCAAATACTAAAATTTTATAAACAAAATGCTTAAAAATTAAAAAACCTTTAAAAATTAACACCAAGGTGTGATAGTGATGTAGTGACAGAGTGCCTATTTTTTAAACAAGAAATACTTATTTTATACCCACTATTTACATGGTAGTACCCTGCTTAACTTGTTACTCTGTACAGCAAACTTGTTCTTAAAGATTTGCAATTCAAATTTATAGGGTCAAGAGAGAGAGAGAGAAAATATTTGTTTATCTGATTACTTAAAAATAATAATTGTATGAATAATATTTACATTAATTGTACTTGCACTAATATTTACACTAATTGTATAAATAATATTTATATATATATTTGTTTTACAAATATATAATATGAAAAACTTTTACAGAGTATCTACTTTGTAAAAGATAAGAAGTTAAGATGGTTTATATTTGCGACTACCTCACCTTTTCAAATATAAATAAAACATCATTTGAATCTTTAAAACCCTTTTTTTATAAACTATTTAATCTTTCAATTTATAAATATTACATCTCTTCAAAACTTTAAACTTTTTTAAATTTATTTTAAATACAAACTTCGTTTTAGATTAATACCTTTTTGAATACTATATGCATGTTGTAAAAGTAAGAACACAATGACCTTAGGTATTACCTACAAAATGGTGAGTATCTATAAACAGCATATGGATTAAGCAATAATCAAAAAACTATAAAGGTATAAAAGATTACCTCTCCAAAGAATTTCAAAATAAATAAAACATTATAAAGAAATTATTAGAACTTAATAATTAAAACTTTAATAAAACAAAAGCAAAATCAACTAAATCATGTCCTGAAAATTTTCTTTCATTTTAGTTAGGACTATATTAAGGTGCAACAAACAATTTTTAAAGTAGTTTTTTGTTGGAATTTTATTATCTATTTTTTGCGCAATTTTTTAAAAAGTAACAGAGTCAGTAACTAAAGTTATCTAAATAAAAAACATACCCGGTTCTTCATCATCACTGCTAAAACTTTCTAAAAATTTAACACCTTTGCTGGTATTTTTTTTATCGCCATATTGTTTCTTTTCTTCTTTTAACTTAGTAAAATAATTAGCTGCAAAATCAACAAGATCTGTTGGTTTTTCTTTAAGAACAAGAACAGTAAAATCTTGCATAAGTTCTGTTAAACCTGGTGGTATTTGAAAATCCATTCCTTTACACTTTTATAGTTAGTGTCATATATTTACTTAATGTATAATATAAATTATTTATAACTCTATGCTTGAAAAGCTAAAACTGCCTTTAATTTGCAGCTAGACGTTAAATCTATATTTGATGGTTATGTGTAGCAACAATCTTAATTAAATTTATTATCTCAAAATTTCAGAAACCCATAGTTATCACTGCTTATTTTCAAAAGTAAATAGTTTTTTATTGATATGCACCTGCCCGAAGAGCCTGCTATTGCTTGCTAATAAAATAAACTTGATGAATGAAATGATTTTCTTTTCCGTAATATTTAGATGCCATCTACTTTTTTAAAGTTTAGCGCATGCGTACTTTGTTTAAAGTTTAAAATACGATTAATGGGGAGGGATTAAATCAAAAATCTTCCGACAAATTTTTTTATTCAACGCAGAACGATTATAATCTTAAACATAAAAATAAAAAAATAAAAACTCAATTTAATAAATGGCTAAGCAGTCTTTAAAAAAACATGCATAGAACTAATATTTGTATAAAACTTATGTTAAGTTTTCTGTGTATTGTCACTAAAGTAACTTTTTTTAATGGATTATCTAGGATAGACATTTTCAGTCTTTTAATAACATCCATTTTCAACCATAACGCGGAGAGTAAAACGATAAAAAACTTAAATGTCTCATTTAATTATTTTCGGAAATGATTTATTTTTAAATATATAATAAATTACTGATTATCAATAATTATTTACCATTCAAAGAAAAAAGAAAAAAAAATGTTTTTGACAATTTTGATCATTTAAAACAACTTTAAAAGTAAATCAAAGGAAAAACTGTAAAAAATTTTTGGATTTTTATTTCATCTTTTTTTTACAACATTTTAATAGCAAGAAGTAAACGGACCACGATAACAATCTCTTTAAACAATAGCTTGAAATGCAAAATTAAAGCAGTTAAATGTACGGTGAACGAGGAAAGTGTACGTTATGAACCAAGTATTGCCAAAAAAATTGATCTTAAAAAATTGTCAAAAAAATTACGTCAACCTTTAAAAATATTTATTCTATAATATACACAATATTAAATTGGGTAAATAAATAGCATTAAAATAGGAAACTTTCCAATAAAAGTATATTGTTCAACTACCCGTTGTAAAAAATGATATGAAGCAAAAATGCCGTAAAGTTTTGTTAGGTTAAAATTAACCGCAAGTTAAAAAACGTATTAAGTTGTTTTAAACATTTTTTGACTTTAAATTGTAAGATTGTTGCGTGACTGTGCAGCATGGACTAAACAGTGCGGTTAATTCGTTATTATGTTGCACTTATTCATGTTGAACATCACGTATAAATTAAACATATTTAAAAACATATGTTTAAATTGTAAAGATCTTATGATTAAAAAATTGCTCTCTTAAAATATACGTTGATAACATCGACGCAGACTACAATATTAAAAAAATTATTTTCATTAAATATAAAAAACAATTATAAAAATATCTTACATAAATCATTTATTAAAGTTATGAATTTGCTCTAAAAAATCACAAAACTTGGTTTTTTATTTATTTCGTTTTGTTTGATATCGGTAAAAAAAAGTACAAAGCACTTGAAAAAAGCCAGATTTTAATAAGTTAAACTGACCATAACAATTTAATCTTAATAAAATGTGTACATTTTGTGTGGATGTACATGAGTACATATTCACACAACAAATCGGTAGAGACACAACGGAACAGTTCAAAAATTCTTCGCAAATTTCTTATTATCTTTTGATTTCTATTTACAAATTTTTTTCCTTAAATTTAAAGGAAAAAACATTGTAAATACTTCGCACAAAATTTAACTACCCTAAGCATTTAGAATGCTTAAAAAATTAATTTTTTTTTTAAATTTTTTTTTACCTTTCATATAGAAAACCTCTGAGCACGCGGTGAAGCATATATAAGATAACTAAATTAAAAAAACGTCAATTTAAAGGTTTATATAAAAAAAAGGAAATGTTTTAACCATTTTCTCATTAACTTATATTGAATATTGATTAGTTATTGCAAATATTCTTAATTAAACGAAAAAACTTAATAAAAAATAAAATGCCAATATTTGCATTTTATGAAAATTTTTCAATTAACATTTTGTAATACGCAAATAATGTCATAGAAGCGGGAGAGGATACACAGGAACCGGACAGTGTTAAAGATTAAACGATTGTAAATTGTCGCGAAAGTAGAACAAAGATAAAGAAATATTATTAAAAAAATATTACGTCAATGCTTAGGTACAATAAAGACTTATTACCAGGATAACACATAACAGCCCCTTAATAACATTCAGGGCCGATTCAAAGAATAAAACAAGGTAGGAAGGGAGGGGAGCAAATACTCAAAAACTGTTGACTGCTTTCTTAAAAAAAAAAAAAAAAAAAGAAGTTTCTCAAAATTAAAAATCTACTGATTCAAATTTGTCAAATGCTCACTACCCGACTACATTGCTTTCTTAGAGGAAGGGGAAAGACGTCCTACACTTTCACAACCCCCTCCCCGTAAAATTGTCCTTGATAACAAAATGAATCATAATAACGTATTATAATATGTCATCATATCAACTATTGCTAATTTCAGTTAAATAGGACGTTAAAAGAGAAAGTGAAAAGTCAATAAGTTAATATCTAATTGCATTCCAAAGAAAACTTTTCTAATCCTTTAAGGTAGTTATTGTCAATTCTCCATGGAAATTTCAAAATCATAGTAGTCAATTAAAATAAATTTGAGTATAACAAATATAAATATAATATAATAGTATAATATAATAATAACAATATAAATTAAATATAATAATAAATGAAAATATAATATAACAATAACATTAAAAACAATAATAGTAATAAAATAACATTAATAATAACAATAACAACATAAATAAATATGATATAATAATAACAATAAATATATATAAATAAAATTTAATTTGTAAACATTAAAACTTTTCATGATAGCAAGAATACATTAGTGGAACTTTTATTTTAACAAAAGCAACTTTTTTGTAGTCCTATATTTGAAGTTGACCAATATACAGCCGATATTACAATTGCTTATGGTAGGGTAACCTTTTTCTCATAAACCGTTCAAATGTATGAGTAAGTTAGTTTCAAATTTGCCGTTCAAATAAGAATTTATTTTTGATGCGAAACATTTTTTTATGGGATTTTTATTTCAATAGATTAACATTTTGTTCTCTAAATATTTTTTTTTTTTAAAAAAAAAGAAGTTTATGTAATAATTATTTTTTTAAATTAATTTTACAAGAAATTATTGATAGGATTTATATTTTTTCGACTAAAGTCAGCCAGAACTCTAATCAATGAGAAGAAGAAGAATAAAATGTTATTTCTTATTGGATGAGCAATATATCAATTACACATAAGAAAAATATTAAAAAAAAGAAAAGTAGATTTATTTATTTTTCAAAATTGGAACCGGCAAATTAATATTTTTAATTGCAGATAAACTCAGTGTCTTGTTGATATTGTTGAAGTACATAGGATATCTGGTTCCAAAGTCGCGATCAGCATATGATTGCAAATATACCTATCTGAATGCAAAATTCCGATCAGCATAAATTGTTTTTACATTGAACTATCAAATCATGGAAACCTGAGTTGTATTTTCTACATTTAGAAATTTTTTGCTGCGTACTTGGTATGTTTGTATTATTGCCTACATGCAGTGACAAATCCAGGAATTTTTCGTGGGGGAGGGGGAGGGGGAGGGAGGAAATTTGTCAATATATTTTTGTATTTTGTATTACAATTGTGTCTCCTAAATTAAAAATAAAAAAAAATTCAGCAGTATGTATTTTTTTAAATATAACTCAAGTAAAATACTTGACATTGGTGTTATGAATATTGATGAAATTGAAAATGAATTCTATGCAGTGTTTCCATTATTTTCCATTTTGATTTTTTCATTGAAAAAATCAAAATGGAAAATTGAAATAGGGCCATCACGTTTTTTGTTATATTATCAGCATTAATTCACCTTTCAAACAAAAAATTCACAATTTTTCATAATTATTTACGACATTATTACAAATTATTGTGTAGGCAACACTATTTTGTTGCTAGCAACACTGTATTTTGCATGTTTTGACAAAACCGTGAAATTGTGTTCAGTTACCATTTGTAGAGTACCGAAACTTGTTGTGTGTGTGTTAAGGATCTTTCTTCAAACGTTATTTTTAACCGACTATTTTTCAAAATTTTAATTTTTTAAGTGTTTTATTAAGTGAAAGACTTCTTTGAAAGTAGTTTTTCCAAAAATAAGCATTATTTCAACTTTTTAAATTTTCTTTTACATATTTTTGTAGTGTGTTTATTTGTCTTTTAGATTTTTTAAAGTTTCTGACAATGGGTAAAAAAAAAGATGTGAATGTTTGTAAAAAAAAGTGAAATAATGTCACTTTTAAGGAACACCAATTATTCTCAACGAGAAATTTCAAGAAGAATTGGCGTTTCTAAGGGCGTTTCTAAGCAGACCGTGCAAAGAATAGCATCAAAAATAATCACAACATTGATTAAAGATGCTGGAATTAATATTAGTGATCGCACAGTCAGGAGAGACGCTTAGGTGAGTTATGCTTTAAGTATTACCGTCCTGCGAAAAAACCAAAATTAACGCCTGCCATGAAGGATAAAAGACTGAAATGGGCTATTAAACACCGCGATATGACAACAGATGATTGGAGAAAGGTATTTATTTCTTAAACATTTCCTGATCTACTTTATTTCTCGATTTTCTTTAGATTAATGAAAGACTAACATTTTTTGAAACATTTGTTTTCAGGTGTGCTTTTCTGATGAATCCACGTTTCAGATCTTGGACGACAAAGCCTCATTTGTGCGACAAAGAGTGGGTAAAAAATTTAATCCAGACTGCATTATCGAGACAGTAAAACATCCATTGTCAATTATAGTGTGGTCCGTTATATGTGGTAAGGGTACGGAAAGGCTTTACATAGTCCAAGGGACAATGAGGCAGGGCCAATACAAAGAAGTTTTGGAGCAAAAGCTCATGCGTCAAGTCTCGGAATGGTTTCCAGATGGCGAATTTATATTTATGCAAAATTCTGCCACATGCCATACGGCAAAATCCATTAAAAAGTTTCTTGGAGAGAAAAAAATTCCACTGCTGGATTGGCCAGGAAATTCCCCGGATCTTAATCCTATAGAAAACCTGTGGGAGCAATTAAAACGGGAGGTTTCTTCAAAGGAACTGGTGACAAATAAAACCCAGCTTATTGAAAAACTAAATGAAGGTTGGCATCGAAACCCTCACATAAAAGAATTGGCACAGAAATGCATTGACAGCATGCCACGGAGAGTAGAAGCTGTTATAGCAGCAAAGGGTGGATTTACAAAAGTTTGATAACATTTTTTATATATATAAAAAAAATTCGTTTGTTTTTATACTTATATTTGATAATAAACAACTATTCTTTATATTTTTAACTATTTTTTACCGTAAACCTTTATTTTTTTTTACATTATGGATAAAATTTTACAAAAATGTGTAGAAAACTCAATGGCCCTATTTCAATGGCCACCCACTGTACTTTTGCACTTCGATATTTCATATTTTTTAATACTCCTTTTCAGTAGTCTTTTTTACGACTTGCGCAATAAAGACCAATTATATATTGGTCTTCCTCGTTGTGCAATGAGGCAGATCAATTGTATGTTGTTTCCTTTATACATTTCAATAACACATAAGTGCTGCGACCATCTAATACAAGAATATATTTTTCATCAGTTGCTTTAACTGTGGGAATAAATAACCACTCTAATCATTCAATAAATTGCAATTTCTACTATCAGTCAAAAATCTCGTTTTATATATATTGTATTAGTTGGACCATCATTTTTAATTTAATTTCTGTCAATCAATGTCAACTTCAATAAATTGAACTTAAATGCATGTATTCTTGATAATATTCCTTGCTCTCGATGATGTTTTAAATTATTTTTTGATATTTATTTTGCTGTAGTTGTTGTTTAGCATTTTATTGATACTGAAGATTTATTGATAAATGTATTAATTTACATGAATAAGATTATTATTTGTAAATTATCAAAGAGAAACCGGGGTTCATTTATCGAAGTTGAACTAAGTTTATAAAGTAAGTAAACATCATTTTATTAGTTACTTTCCAGAAATAATTGAGGAAGTAAACGCATAGATAATTATTGTTTGTTATTATTTAATTTTTTTTTCATTATCTTTTTATCAACTAATTAATATTTATTTATCTTTTAATAGTTGAGAAAACAATAAAGATTGTTTTTTTGTTAATCATTAACCAACGAAGTATTACTTTTTTTAGTTTTTATCAAATAACTTTCCATTTTACAATATTATCAAATAAAACCACTAATATCATATTTAGAATTAAAACTTTTTATTTTTTAATTGGGTTTTTAAAGCATTCAAAACAAGTTAGCAAAATCGACCTACTTAAAAAATTACCAAAAATACTTTCTTTCTTTTTTTCTCAATATTCAATTTATATATAAACTAGATATTGAGAAAAAAATAAGTAATAAACCCGGGCAGCACACATACATGGTTCCAATAATGTCAATTTGTTGCCCGTTGTCTTATGCAGGAATGATCATTGGCATTAAAACAGTATTGTTATAGCACTATAGTTTCAATGGAAATAATATTTCAAAATGAAAAATTAAATGTAAAAAGTATTACAATTAAAAATATGACTGGTTATCATAAACTTACTAATATGATTAGAAATCGTTATTTGTTGTTGAAACATTTTCTGTGATTTAATAAATTTAAAAAAAAATCTAAAGTTTCATTTAGCTACAACGTAACCATTGGTAATATTAGTAGTAGATACAATTTTCTGTTTATTGCTATTTCATTGTAAATTTCATTCCTATTTCATTGTTTTATGTAAACAGTTAAATATATAAGCAATAATTAAAGATTTTTAATTAACATTTTATTAGATTTTGTTTTTGGCGTTGGCAAAGAGAGAGGCGGAGCATACGTTAGCATTTACAGTTTGCATACTTTTTGCAATGTTTGATATCTTATTTAAAAAAAATTCTATTGAAAATTAATTAAATTAAATGTTTTGGTAATGCTATTGTTTATTATTATAACATTTTTAAATGAAGTAATTAAAAGAAAAAATTTAACGGCTAAAATCTCTTTCGTCAAAATTAGACAATTGGTAATCCTATGATAAGCTGGTACATACCCATCTATTTTAAATTTTCTTTAGAAAAAATCAATTTTTTCAATGTTGATATTTTTAATTTATAGAACATCTTTAGGACTTAAAAAAAACAACAAAATAAATAATAAGTATATAAAAATGTGTTTTTTGACTATAACAGGTTTTTGAAGTTCTTAGCAACACCATAGCAACGCACAATCAAAAAAGAAAATTTCAACTTTTTCGAGTTTCTAAACAACATTATCTTATATATACTACAGCTTTTTGTTTATTATGTACTTTATATTTATTTATTTTTGTTTATTATGTACTTTATATTTAGTGGTTTCTAATTAGCTCGTGCTTCTTTTTGTAATTTAACGAACTTTTAGTTTGTTTTTTGAGTTTTTTCTTATAACGCCATTTTTAGTAAACAAGTAAATTTTAAAATAGGATATTTTATTGGGACCATATAATAACTTAAAATTTTCAGGGTGCTTTTTTATTGTTTGACTTAGGTAGTTAACCAGAATTACAAATATATATGGTGTCAAAGTATGTCTAATATATTTTTTCTTACCTATTTTGTTGTATAATTTTATAAATTTATGAAAAATTACTTTTAAAATGTTCTATGCATTTCAATGCATGATTCTGGCTCATAACCTCTTTATACCTTTTACGAACATAAAGTAAAAAATCCAGAACTAAAAGATTTATAGAAATAGAGTATCTTGTTTTAAATTATACCCGCTTTAGCGTAATGTCTTTGGGAAAACAAGGCAAAGGTTGGAGAACCAAGATTTTTCATTTAATATAATATCAACATACTTGCTTCACCTTGTTTCATTGTTTTTTTAGTTTAGATTTGATTGTTTTAAAGAAAATTTTTTATAAACAGGGGTGTACAACCTTAACTACGTAGTAATTGGAGGTGTACCACCTTAAATACGTTTTTGTAAACTTTAAACACCAACACATGGTTGTTAGAAATTTGTAAGCAAGATTTGCACTGGAATAAGCTAATGTATATAAAAGCTTTGTACCGGCTACCGGCTGGAATAGTGAAGAAATTTTTTTATTTTATTTTATAAGTTCATAAATAGTTTACAGATCACTTAAAAAAAAAAAGATTTAAAAATCTAAGCTGTTTTCACACAACTGTTTGAACCAGATGACTAATACAGGACTGATAAAACTTAAAAATTTTGTTTGAAAAACCAGATAACTAATAAAATTGACAAAAAAAATTAAATATATATATATATATATATATATATATATATATATATATATATATTATATATATATACATATATATATATATATATATATATATATATATATATATATATATATATATATATATATATATATATATATATATATATATATATTTAATACCAAGACGGTTTTACAAATAATATAATTCACTTATTTCCACAAATAAACTTAAATCTACTTTTTTCTTTTACAACTTAATCTGCCAAAAGTCAAATAAAAATGATAAGATATAACAAACAAAACCTTATAAGATATTTTTTTGTTAAACATCTCAAAAAACTAATTTGGTCTCTCTCTCTCTCTCTCTCTCTCTCTCTCTCTCTATATATATATATATATATATATATATATATATATATATATATATATATATATATATATATATATATATATATATATATATATATATATATATTATATATATATATATATGTGTGTGTGTATAATAACAACTAAATATTTTAAAAAATAATTAAAAAATAGATTAAATAATAATAATAAATAGTAACAAACTACTTAGCAAAAAAAATTTAACATCTGGCTACTTAATAAAAACTTAAAAAAAAATATTTTAAACTATTTTATACCTGGTTCATCAGTGTCCGAATCTTGATCCGAGAAACCATTTGTAGTAGGGCGAATAACTTGCAGTATAGCTGGTTTTCTTTTTGATTGAGTTATTTGTGTTATTATCGGACGAGGCATTGTTTTCACCTTATATTTTATCAAATAAATAAAAATAGATAGTTAATGTTAAATTAATTAGAAAAATTATTTACTTAGGGTCAAAACCTCATTTCATGGTCGTCGCCTTATCCTGGCTAGTTAGTCAAAAATCTAACGTTTTCTTTGATTATAGATATTTTCTTTCGATTAAAAGCTATCTACTGTTTTATTATTAAAAAGTTATTGAATGTATTTATTTCAACAATTAGTTCATTAAAAGAATTAAAAGCTAGTATATATATATATATATATATATATATATATATATATATATATATATATATATATATATATATATATATATATATATATATATATATATATATATATATATATATATATATATATATATATATATATATATATATATATATATATGTATATACATATATATATAAAACAATACTTCGGAAGGGCAGCTTTATAAAATTTTATTCATAAAACAATATATAGCCAACCTTAAAGACACAATCTTCTGATGTAATAGTAGATAAAAATATATATTAATAAAATATAATTTAAAAATCGATTTAAAATAAAACAATTAAATACATACTTTATCATTTTTATTGTTTTTTATTATTTTGTCTGTTACATATATAAAACATCAATAGATGCAAAAGTAAAGAGCAAAAGAGTAGGAAAACATCAAGTGATACAAAACATCAGGAAAACATCAAGTGATACAAAACATCAGGAAAACATCAAGTGATACAAAACATCAGGAAAACATCAAGTGATACAAAACATCAGGAAAACATCAAGTGATACAAAAAAGTGATACAAAGGAGTTCGCGGAAATAAGCGCATAAATTATGTGTTGGTTTCGGGCAAGTTATAGATTGCTGCAATCTAAATTTAAAATTTATAATTTTTCGTATTTTTTAAAATTTTTACTATGCATTTCAAAAACTTTTCAGATTTATGCGTTTCTTATACAGCATAAAAGTTGAAAGCTTGAATCAAATTTTACAAAAATTTTCATTGTTCTTTAGCTTTCAACTTTCTTTTGCTTTATTTCCCGAAAACTTTAACTCTAAAAATAAAAAGTAAAAACAACCGAAAATTATTCTATTGTTACACTTATTAAAAATGTCGAATTAAACATTATTATTTATATTAGGTATTATTATTTATATTAGATATTATTAATATTGATAACTATTATTAACTGCTTTTACTTTAATTAAATATTTCATTTTAGTTTTATGGCTTACTTAAATCCAGTGAACTCTTTTTTTGTAATCAGTGAACTAGTAAAGTTGTCAAAATTTCTTAAAAACCATTTTTTCCTTCTGGTTAGTAAATAATAAACTGTAATCTTTTCTAGGGTAAAAATAGGTAAACCTTAGACTTACTGTTAGAATTATACATATATATCTAAACTCCCTCAGAAAATACAAACACCTTCTAGAACAATTTCTGTGACCTTCGTGTTAATTTCAAAACAACGTCCGAAAAAACGTCTAAAATAAATAACGTCCTTCCGACGACATTAAAAAAATCTACCTTTAAGATGTTTTGTAATAATTTTTATCTTTGTTTAAAAAAAATAAAAATACAACTAAACAAACTTTGTTTGAAATGAAATCAAGTGCAAAAAGCTAGGCTTTCAATAAACAGAACGTCATTTTTTAAAAGCCATTTGAAAGTCTTTAAGTGATATTGGTTTAATGTTGATTTATCACATCTGTGAGATAAAGAAGTAATTGTCCGTTGAAGTATTCAACGATGCTTGTCGCTTGTTTCAGTAATTTGATGACAAATTTTGTTGGTTTATTTTAAGCTTAGCATTTAATCCATAATAATTGTCATTGTTTTTTAAAAGGTTTGACATTAAAAAAAAAACGTTACAAAAACTATGAGTTAAAAAAATCTTTACGTCATAAGATTAGAAAAACTTTAAAACAAAATAATTTAAAATCTTCGAGTTGTTTGAAAAACATAGCTAAAGGGTATGCAGAATCAAAACGATTTTATATTATTTTTTAATATTTATTTTCTATCAGCATTTTAAGAATGTTTACCCTCAACAAACGGTTTCTGGAGTTAAAACTCGTAAACAACCAAAAGCAAGAATACAAAGATAGAGAACCTAAGAATTAAAAAAACAATAAAAACACAAATCTTAATTGGTTAAATATTCTAACAAATCATAATACTAAAACATAATCTGAAATAATACTTAATCTAAAATATATATCAAAAAAAATAATATTCCTTTAAGATAAAAATCACTACATTTAAATATTATATTTAACCTACCTCGCAAGTAATTTTACTTAGAGTTATAAAAACTATCTAGGCATAAAAGGACTCCCCTAGTTCTAAGCTTTTCTCTGTTAAATTCTAAACAGTTAATCATTTTAAACTGATAAATAATTTACAGAAAGAAAAAAAAGAAACAATTTATCAATGGAACTTTCAGAAAGTTTTGCAACGTTATTCAGAATTGAATTGATATTGTTGCAGTTTCCATAGAATAACTGAATTTTAATATTTACATTTAAGTTAGTTTTAGACACTTTAATTACTTTATTTATAATTTCATTTAAATTTGATTGGTTAATTAAATTTCATTATTAATAAGAGTTTATCACAAAGCCTTCATTTTGAACATAGTATAGAATTCAAAAAGAAACGGGGAATAGGTATAGGTGGTGTCAGTGGTATTTGAAGGGGTCAGTGGTATAAATTTTTACCCCACTTTTCATTATCACTAGTCTCTTTCCCAGAAAATTATATTTAAAATGAAGATAAATGTTTATTATTTACATAATATATTATTATATAATATATAATATATTATAAAAATGATTTACATTATATATAATATATTACATATTGTTAAATTTATGATATTATCATAAATATGATTGATTACATAATATATGTCAGCTATATATATATATATATATATATATATATATATATATATATATATATATATATATATATATATATATATATATATATATATATATATATATATATATATATATATATATATTTATATATATATGTTCTGTTTTATTTATTTGTGGCGCATTATTAACACATGTGGCGTTAATACTTAGTGGCGGTGGAGGTAGAAATCTCATCTTCTTAGTGAAATGTTAAAACTTTTAAAAATAATAGTTAATATCTTAATTTTATAGTTTTGATAAATTTTTTTTTAGTGTCCCGCTGGCTATATCAGGATGTGTATTTATCAAGGTGTGTATATATATTAAGGTGTGTATATATCAAGGTGTGTATACATTAAGGTGTGTATATATCAAGGTGTGTATATATAGTAATGATGGTGATGATGATCATGATTATAATAATAAAAGCAACCGTGACGCAGTGGTTAGAGCTTGCTTAGAATTGAGAAGACAATGGCCATTATTATGAAATCTGTAAAAGGAATAGAGCGTGAACTTTTTAGTTAAATTCTTTTTCGCGATTCTCTGTGACAATACCGGTTAGGAGTCTGCTTGAGGTCGGTTTTAACAAATTTCATAAAAACTAGTGTAAAAAATAGGATTAAAAAAAAAAAGTAGTTACGGACGTATCGTAGCAGAGTAATATTAAAGACATCGTTTTTTTAATTTATGTAATTTTTTAAGACAATAAGTAAAAATAATAAGGATATGCAAATAAAATATAGCTTGCCGAATATCGGCTTGACTTTGAAAGTTAATCAGTAAATCACGTGATTACAAAAAGGAAAAAAAAAATCATATTAAACGTCCAATACAAAATTTTTAGAATAAATTAAAGTAAACAGGAATAACGCTTTGAGTATTACCATTCCATTCTTTGTTTGTTTAAGTAAACATTCATAGAGATTTTATATAAAACATTTTCCTATCGTCATTTTGTTACTAATTTTTTTAAAACAGCTTTGTTTTTAAAGGTTTGATAAATAATGTTCATTTGTAAGTAAACTTATGACTTTTTTACTCGAATATTCTATGATATTTTTCTAAATACTCTATGATATTACTTCTAACAAGCAAATATATCTTATAATAACTTGTAGTATATCTTCTAACAAGAAAATATTCTATGATATTTCCTCTTATAACTAAATACTCTATGATGTTTTCTCTCACAAATAAATTCTTGTAAGTAAAAATAAAAATTATCGTTAATTAGCAAATTGTATCTTTTGATAGTTATTTGCTTTAAAGATGAGCTGCTAAGCAACGACAGCAACGTAGCAGCAACGTAGCTTCACAAAGCCCTTATTCGTCTTTTTTATAAAATTTTAGAGTATACACCTTGGAGTAAGTTGGCACAGCATCTTGGGATTATAAGAAAAAGTTATTTTGGTGCGAATTTATCATTGTGTGAAACAGCTTATTTGTAAATTGACGAATTTTGAGGGAAAGCATCCACCGTCTTTAAGTTTACTAAAATATGTTTAATATCAACCTTTTTAAAAATTAGTTGCATATTTAAAATTTAAGTCTTGGAATTTGATTAGTTACATTCAATCAAGCTCCAAAATAGCCATGGCCATGATACGTAAACCATTACACAGATTAAGTTGGTTTGTGTTTTTTTATTGCTGTATGTTATAATTTCATATATATTTTCAATAGGAGCGTTTGAACTTGTTTAATATCATTTTTTTCTAAATTTGTTTGGATATTTGAAGTTTAATGTTGCTATTATAATGTTTTATATATATAAAAAAAAATTATACACTATATTTTTTATATTTTATATAATTATATTCTATATTTTTATAATATATCAGTCAAACAATACTTTTTGTTCTTAATCATGGGTGTAAATCTGTTTATTTTGTGGTTGCAATATTTTATAAGAATGGTATGAATAACAAACTTTTGTATATTTATGCTTATGCGGAAAACTGTTTTTTGAAAAAACAGTTTTAAAAAAAATCATGGCGAGTCTGAGAACGCCCAAAAAATCAGACTTCCCCACCCCCAACGTGTTTGAGAAAAGTTTAAGATTAAATTTTTTTTTTTTAAAGACTAAAGTAGATTGAAATTTATTCACAAATTTTAATTTTGATTAAAATATATATTTAAAAGTTTTATAAATTTTAAATAGATATTTAAATGTTACGTCAAACTTGCAATCCCAATTTGAGGTGACATTAACTTGACAAAAGTGTAACTCTTAAACGCTAAAATATCTTTAAAAAGTAAAAAAAAAAAACTCAATTTGTTGATAAAAATCTAGTTAAAGCTTTTTAAAAAGTTATTACTTTTAATTAGTTATTACAGTTGTGAGGCCAGTAGGATTTTCTTATTAGAAAATCCTACTGGCCTCACAACTGAAGTCTAAATTTTGAAATTTTCTTTATTCTCATACTTATATTACATTAAAATGTGATGTTCACGCCACTTCTGCATGTTATCTTGATCACCCAAAGGCATATTTACGCCCATGATGTTAAGACACCTACGCTCTTGATAAAAACTCTTAATTATAAACAAAAAACACTCAAAAGAATAACGAGTTTACAAGTGAAACAAATTATTGTAAAATATCTTATCATCAAAATCTATTTAATTATTTATAAAACATGAATATTGGGAATTGAAATAAATAAATTCTATTTTTAATCATAAATAATTCATAATATGGCGACATGCAATAATTATAATACTAAACCACGTATTGGCGTTTTCAAAAGTTTATTAAAAACAAAAAAAAATATTATCGTGATAACTGGGTTACAACATTTTTAAGGAGAAAATACCGGTTTATTTGTTGAAATCATTTTAAAAATTGTTTTAAAATGTGCACGGTGAACCAATGATTGTTGAAATAATAACAACATCTATTTCATTTCATTAAACGCGTTGTCCATTCAGTTGTTTTATTGATGTTATTGAGGCAAAGAGGCTTTTTTTAAAAAAATCAAACGGCTCAACTATGTAAAATTAAGTTAATAAAGCGGCGACGGTATCAAAGCTTGCCGCACTTGCTTAAATTTATTTAATAAGGCATTTAATCGAATACGATATACATGCGATTAAATACCTATATTTACTTCTGTTATTTTGTTTATCAACCACTTTTAAATGATGTCGGTAATATCAAGGCTTATTTATGCTTTGAATACGCTACAATATAAAGTATTGATTTCAAAAAAATGCAATATTGAAATTTTATTTGCAAATTGCGCATAAAATTTTAATAGTGTATTTTTATATTGCACAGTTCACTAATTAAATTTGAAAGAGGCAAGTTTTTAAAAAACACAGATGATAAATAAATTTGTCGATTAACGTTAATCGGTTATAACCGAAAAAGTCATTTCTTTATCATTTAATTAATATTTTTTTATTTTAACAAAAATAACCTTTTTGTAGATTTTAAAGAATAAATAAAAAATATTAAATTCACAAACATGTCATATAAAAAAAAAGTGGGTAGAATAGAAAGTATAACAAATAGTTTTAATATTACTTATTTATTCTGATTATTACTAAAAAATATCGATCATCTAAACATCACCAACTATCGATCATCTCAAAATCACCAATTATCGATCATGTCAACATTACAAACAAAATCGATCATCTCATCGATAAAAAATCTATCGATAATCTATCGGTCATCTGAACATCACCAAATAATCTCTATAATTGTCAAAAATCTTTTTTTAAATAAGATAACTAAATTTTAAATTAGTTATCTTAATTAAAAATTTATAAATATTTTTTGTGTGGATAAATGAGTACATTTTTGGCCGCACAAAATTTTTTTCTTTTTTCTTTTTTTAAAAAATGGGCACTAAACTCCAGGGCCAACAACACAGGAGGGAGGGGGCAGAGGCCCCCCTTTATTGTAAAGAACGTTTAGATTTTTTTTTTTTAAGAAACTTCTAGATATAGAAGACTTTTTTAATGAATTGGCAATTGTGCTCCCCCCCCCCACTTCAAAACCCGTATCGTTGGCCCTATATATATATATATATATATATATATATATATATATATATATATATATATATATATATATATATATATATATATATATATATATATATATATATATATATATATATATATATATACCTAGTGGTACCAATTGAAGTGCGAAATTTTAATTCATTAAAAAAATTTAAGAGAACATGTTTTTAATGCAAGAACAAATGTAGTATATAGATATCATATGCATGTTATGTTTTAGTTAAAATGCTAAAGTACACATTAATAAAGAGAGTCCTCAAAATAACCCCCTTTGCCCGTATGCACGCCTCCAGTCTTGGACGCCATTCCTCGATTTATTTACGCACGGTATCCATAGATAAAGCATCCCATTCTCTAAGAAGTGATCGCTTGAAGGCATCAACGGAAGTGTGAGGTTTGCAGCACACCTTTGCCTCCAGTTTAGACCAGATTGCATAATCCAATGGATTAAGATCTGGTGATGCTGACGGCCAGACATCCGTGGAGATAAAATTGGGCACATTGGCTGTCAACCACCTCTGTGTTGTTTTCGCTTTGTGCGAAGGGGTACTGTTTTGTTGGAATGACCATTGTTCCCCATTGAACAACGAGTCATTTTAAGGTTTTACCACCTGCTATAAAATGTCCTCCTGATAATTTTTTGCTTTTGATAATTTTTTAACATGACAAGTTTAAACAAACTTCGTACTTCAATTGGTACTACAGGGTATATATATATATATATATATATATATATATATATATATATATATATATATATATACATATATATATATATATATATATATATATATATATATATATATATATATATATATATATATATATATATATATATATATATATATATATATATAATACATATATATATATATAATACATAAATTCACAATCAAAGATATTTATTCAACAAAATTAAAATTAAGAAATTAAAAAAAAAATTAATATCAAAAAAAAGAAAAATTCTTTGAACTTATTTGAATCGAAAACGTTTAATTTGCTTACCAGCTTATTTGTCACGAAATGTTGGTGTTTATCGCCATGTCAGAAGAGTTTTGTTCCAATTGCTTTAACAGTTTTATCCAGAGACAAAATTTCACATTTTATTAAAAGAATCCTTTTGTTAACTGCAAGCAAAACTTTACAGCTCCTGCAAAAAGCACATAGTCGCTGGTTTTTAAAATATTAGTTTTTTTCCACTAGACACTAATTGATCAGTTAACATCAAATTGATCAGACAAAATTGCAATGTGTTAAAACATTTGAAACACCATCATTCTAAACTGAGCTTTTATAATCTCAACTACCGTAATCTAAATACTATTATGACCATTGCCATCACTATTATTATTAGCTCCAAAAATTTATTTTATTGAATAATTTTAAATTAAATTATCAAATTAACACCAATAACATCTAGATCTGATGCTATACGTTGTATTGCATTAGTTCCAAAGTCAATTCAAAGTCAACTTGCCTGCATCTGATCTTCAATATTATAAAAAATCCGGCTATTAAATAAAAGTTTCAGCTCAATCAGTTCAATTGATCGCAGCAGCTTAGCAGCAAATTTGTTGCATCTAACACGTTAAAAAATAAAAATCAAGTAAAAAAAATGTAGATATTTAATAAAGACAAAACATAAAAGAACAACGAAGGTTAACTTTAATAATCAGTAGCAAATAAGTCAATCAATATTAGGGACTCAGGCATCAGTAACTGAAGCCAAAAGCAAAAAGTGCTATATTTTGAACGAAGTTTCAGTAACTTAAAATAAAGAAATTCTACCAGTATAAATATTGCAAAAACTGCAAAGTTTGACTTTGTCAAATATGCATACCAAAGCAGTAGTTAAAAGGCAAAAAAAATTTTATTATTTTTGTGTAAAAATTTTTAAAACTCTGATCAATTTTTTTTGACCACATTTTACTCTATCAAAAATAATTATAGCTCTTTTAAATTTTTATAAATACTTTTATAATTTTAATGAAAAAGATTTTTATTGGTCCGAAATACCAAAACAGTGCCAATTTTGTAGTAAATAAATTTTTTTGTTTTTATACATTAACGTTTTTAGAATAATTCTAAGCACAAATCCAATATTTTTTTAATAAATTTTTTAAAAGTGGAAGTATAATGGTAATAAAAGATGAATGGCTTTTTATATATTAGTCAACCAATAAAATTTGTGCGGTTTTTATTTATTGTCTACTTCTGTAAATTATATTTAGTAAACAGGATATTGTTGTGGGAATATTTTGTTATTAAGTTAAAGCTTATTTCAACTAGTATCATTCAGTGTATTCAATAATAATTTGAATATATAAGACTTAAATTTTTTAGTAGAGTGTGGCCGTGTCGCAATAATTCGTGCTTGTATACTTTATAAGTTTAGTAGAGTGTGGCCGTGTCGCAATAATTCGTGCTTGTATACTTTATAATTTCAAACTTAGTGCTGAAGCTTGTTCTACGATATGCTGCTTTTGGGGAAGGTACTGTAGCTGAATTGACGGAACAGAAGTGGTCTAAAAATGTTTCATTTAGAGATGAAAGATCTCTTTTTGAAAAATTGTCAAAGATTAACAACGATAATATCCACCTGGCAATCGAGCAAGATTCAAGTTAGACAAGCTAAGCTCTTGCCTTAAGATTTAATGCGAGTGATGAAAATGTTCCTATTCATTTGCGTTCATTTTCATACATTTTCATACATTTGCTTGGAAAAGGATAGAAGTTAAGCGAAAGGGTACCACATGATTTGATTGAATCATAACGGGAGTAATATTAACGGAATTTAATAACGGGAGTGGGGCTCAATTTAGAAAGCGGTCTAATAATCTCTTGGCAAGAGCTTAATTATTTAACTTGACCAGATATAAGTGAAAAAAACCACACCTATGTAAACTTGTATGAAGATAGTATTGAACGATACAATTTTGTCAAATTTTTGATTCAAGGGGTAAAATTAAAAAATTCTAAGGTAGATAAAATTTAGGGAAGAGTTAGGCACCATGACACACTTTTGGTTTTTGCTTCGTAACAATTTTTTTAATACGCCTTTTTTTTTAGGCGATTAGTTTAATTTGTAGAATAAATTTATACCTACAAAATCAAATTTATAAATTACCAAAATATAACAAGTTAAACTTGAAAGACTATTTAAAGTAAAATTAAAAATTTGTTTCAAGGTACCCCACCCATGGGGTACCTTGAAACCCAAATAATTTTCCAACGGTCCAAATCAAATTTCAAAAGACCAGATAAACTAATAAATTACTTTGTCATCAAAAAAACACAAATTTCGACCTCTGGCAGACCTAATGATGTCAAATGATATAACTTTTTTTTCAAAACATAGCTCTAGTAGTAATTGTTTCATGAAAGTGATTGTCACAACTCTTAAGATGCCTCTACAATTACAATAATTCATGGTACCCCACTCTCCCCACTCTCCCCTACTATATAAAGACACACTTAGAAAAAATTTAATGAGTTTTGTCTGATTAGTTTAAGAGTAAATCCTGCCGAAACTTTTGCATAACACGAAAATGAAGTTCAGAAAAAAACGCAGAAAAGTAAAAAAATTAGTCAAAATAATAAATTTTTAGCAACATTTCAAATTATCTAACATGCAAAAATAATTGTACTACTAAAAATCATTATTTTATAATATAATATAATAGTGCTGTACACTTGATGAGTCCAAGACTACGTAGAGTTTGTAACTTTAACAGCTGTTACACACTAACATACAAACATAAAAAAAAGTTAGCATTTAAAATGTTCATCCAATTTTTTTTTGAACTGGTTGATACTGACTGCGTCTATTGCTTCTTGTTCCAGATTGTTCCAGTCGTTTACTACTCTATTTGTGAAAAAATTATGTCGTTTTATATTTCCTGTATATTGCCTTCTCAGTTTACTATTGTGACCTCTAGTTTTATATCCGTTATCTAGCATTTCGAGTTTTGTGTAAAAATTTATAATATCGTACCCTTTTAAATATTTGAACATTTGTATCAAATCACCCCTTCTTCTTCTGTTCTCCAACGATATTAAATCCAACTTTTTTAACCTTTCTTCATAACTGTATCCTTTCAAAATTTTAATTCTAGAAGCTCTTTGTTGGACACACTCTAGTTTATCTTTATCATACTGACGATAAGGATTCCAGATAGGAGCTGCGTATTCCAAATATGGACGTACTAAGGCTATAAACAAGAGTTTTATTGTTTTTTTGTCTAAATATTTAAAAGTGTGTTTTGATCTGACCTAGCTTTTGATTTGCTTTATTTACTGCTTTATTTACATGGTGTTTCCATTCCAAATTATCTGAAATGTACACTCCTAAATCCTTTTCCATGCTTGTGTAGGCTAAAGCTGTATTATTCATTAAAACTTTGTGCTGGCTATTTCCTATTATTATAACCTTACATTTTTGCTGGTTGAATTTCATCAACCACTCATTCGAACATTCCATTAATAAGTCTATATCTTGTTGAAGTTCAATAACATCATTACCCTTTTTTATTGCTCTAAGGATTTTCATGTCGTCAGCAAATAGTTTACAGCTTGATTTTATTTTGTTGGAGATATCATTAATATACACTACAAATAATAGTGGTCCTAGCACTGATCCTTGTGGTACTCCACTCACGATCTCTTCCCATTCTGATTTATTATTTCCTATCACCACTCTTTGAAGTCTGTTCTTTGAAAATCCCTGGCACCAGTCAAATAGTTTTGATTTAAAACCAAGAGCATTCAATTTTAACAATAATCTTGATCAACTGAATCAAACTTTAAAACTTATTTTTTTTATTTCACTATATTGCCACTTTGATCTATGTTTAAAATAATTTAAAAAATATTTTATTTAACTTTTAGATGTCGAAAAAACCATTAAAAGAAGATTTGCTAATAAAATCGGATGCCGTTAATAATTCCTACAAAGTATCTTATCAACTTAGCAAGTTTCGAAGTTACAATAACGCATTCGGTCCTACCTTAACCGATAAAGTATTGTAAAAATTAATTATTAATTGTTCGAGAGATGAAAAATTCTTCGGATTTACGATAAATTTTATAATAATTGTGCAACTAAACTAAATCTTTCATCTCACATAGTTTTTGTTTTTATTATTATTTTTTTAAATATTCTAACATTCCGGAAATTAATCAATATTATGAAAGATAACATTTTAAATCTTTTTTTACTGTTACTTTATATTATTTAACAAACATTTTTTGTTTGCATGAGTAATTATTTCAAATTTTTCTTGTAGACATAATGTTCGTTTTTTGGAAATATTGTTATATCCAGGTGCTATTTCAGGGGTTTGTTTTAGGAATTTGTCAGTTGATAAACCAATCAAATGTTTATATGAGGAAAATAAAAAATAAAATAAAAACTTTTATAAAAGTAATTTAATTAAATGTGAATAATTGATTCAAAGAATCGGTTTGCTTAATTGTGCAAATCGATACTTAAATTGATACAAATTGTTTCTTTTGACAAGAAGTTGGTCTTTGCAAGAAAATGCAAATATGACGGCATTTTTTACTTTTCAATAGTCTTTCTAAGACACATCAATTAAACATTCAACTTTTTAATGAATAAAGTTATTGCATTATTCTCAATGTTTCATTTCTTTACCTTTTAAAATAAGGTAACATAGAAATGATGTAAATAACCATATTGTAACTTTATATAAATTTATATTCAAGTAAAGGTCCATTTGAATATAATTTTATATAAAGTTACAATATGGTTGTAACTTTATATAAATTTATATTCAAGTGTAAGTCCACTAAAGTAAGGTTCCACTTTTATTTCTTATTTATGTAAACAATTTCCATAAGTTTTCAAACATTTTAAACTCAGTTTTAATTGCAGATTATACGAATTTATTTTATTCTAATGGAGATGTCAACCTTTTATTTAAAATAGTAAACGAGTAATTTTTGAATCTAGTGGAATGGTTTAAGCAAACAAATTATCCATAAATTTGTATACTTTTTTTCATAGACTTTACATCTTTACATTGGCAACTCTAAAATAATTAGAGAATCATCATTAAAGTTTTTAGGAGTGATGCTTGACGAAAACCTGATATGGAGAGGACACATAAGAACGATAAAAAATTTCGAAAAAAATTGGTATACTATACAAAGCTAAGCAAATCTTAAACCAAAACTGCTTAAAAATCTTATATTTCTCCCTCATACATTGTTATATAAACTATGTAAATATTGCATGGTGCAGCTCTAATGTAAGTAAAGTTAAAAAACTGCTTAGTAGACAAAAACACGCTGTCAGAATTATTTCAAATGCAGGTCGATTTGCACATCCTAAAGAACTATTTAAAAATCATCACATACTCAATGTTCTTCAGTTAAACCTTTATCAAATTCTTATATTTATGTACAAACTACATAATAAATTAACTTCTACAATTTTTAATACACTTTTCGATAAAATTAATCAGGTGTACCCTACAAGATTTTCAAATTACAATTACAAACAACCTAAAATACGCTATTTGGTTACTAAATTTTCTATTCCCATCAGAGGTCCTAAACTAATGAATTAAATTCTTTTTAAGATTCTTTTATCTTCTTTTTTAACAACTATCTTATTAACTAGTCAAACCAATTTAAACTTTCTTTAAATTATCCTACTAACTTATCTTTAGTTTTTAGGTGTGATTGCTGTTTTTTTTTTTTTTACGATTTTTTTTTTATTATAGATTAGTAATTGATCTTAACATAATTGTATATATTTGTATATAATTTTTAAACGGTACAAAGTAATTTTATGTTTTATGTTTACATTTTAATCGTTATACACGTTTGCTAATGAAAGCACGTCGGGGTGTAGTGATAAGGCAAATATTGTCTTCTTTTAGCCCCGGTCATGTAGAATTTATTTATATATCACGGCATTGTATTATTTTTTTAAATGACAAATAAATGATATATAAATAAAATAAATAAATAAGTTTTTCTTCGTTTGACTATAATTTTTATTTTCTCTTTGTTTATTTTTTATTTAATTGTTTTTACTATTTTAATGGTAACTTTATACCATTACAATATAGTATTTAAGTCTTTATAAAGGTGCTCTATGAAAAACTTGTGATTATGTAATGTTTTATGTATCTTTTTTGAGCCCCCCTCTACTTTAACTTTATTTGTTTATGTATTCAAACGCGCATTGTAAAAAATATATTTATACCATGTTAAATAGAATAACAATAAAAAAAAAAAGGATTCGTATTAGTTATCCTTAATGATAATTTTTAATTAAACCAAATGTAAGAAAAAAAGGTAAATGGTCAATATAAAAAATAAAAATTGTTTTACAAAGTGTTCTTCAAATTCACATGCAAATAACAAAAAGATATGTTTTGATAGAAAAAAATAAAATTTCAAACATATTAGTACGTCAATATCGTACATTTGCTGTCAAATTTAATTTTTGATTGTTTTAATAAATCTTTAATTTTATCCTAATATTGTTTTATTTTGCTTTATTGTCGTAAGTATCTCGTTTATAATTTTAACTTTTATTATAATTTATGATTTTATAAACAATTTTTTAACTTTTACTTGTTTTCAAGATGACATTTAATTTTGTTATAAAAATTTTCTACAAATAGAGTCTTTAGTATTATCTAGAGAATCTAAATTTTTAGTTTGAGGATATTCTTATTGATGAATCTAGAATTTATAGAAGGTAAAATGTCGAAGGTTGTACATCCATCATACGGGGAGTATTTTCTTTTTTAGTTTTGTATTGTGGATACATTTGTTGTCTCTAGCTTAGTCATCACAGTTTATCGTTTCTAATTTTGTTTTCACAGTCTTTTAAACTTTTATTTTTTTGTGCTTCTCTCAACGCGGAGAAAAGCGCAAAAATAAAAAAATAAAAAAAATTAACAGAAGGAACTTAGCAGAAAGAATTTATTTGATGAAAATAAATTATGTGAAATTTTATTTTTTTGTCATTTGAAATTTTATTTATTTGAAATTTTATTTATTATTAGGTTTTGCAGCAGTGAAGTTTTGGTAATTTTATCTAGCTCATTCTCAGTCTAAAAGATCAGATCAGGGGTATTCTGCAATGCACAAGATTTACCTATAACAATTAAATAATTTAAAATAAATCCTTTTGATAGCTTAAAAAAATTATTTAAATTAATATTAAACAAATGTATATATATATGCTAACCTTTGAAAGTCGTACTGAAGCAATTTGTGTCGTCAATCCAGCAAGTTTTTCTATCGATATATTACAATAGTGACTCAACCACCTTGATGCGTACAAAGTGCTAAATTGCTAAAGTGCAAAGGTGGTTGAGGCACCAGTGAATACAAGTGCTCGTTCGCTAACGGTGTAGTTTCCGAGAAAATTGAATGTAATACCTATTTTTAGGAAAAGGAGTAAACTAAAGGCATCAAAATACCGGCCTATTTTGCTCACATCCATTCCATGCAAAATAATGGAAAGTATTTTTCAAACAAGCATCATGGAACAATGTGACATCATGACTGAAGCGATTTATCGCAACCATGCAGTAGACGTAATATACACAGATTTTGCAAAAGCGTTTGATAAAACGCAGCATAAATACCTGCTTCATAATTTAGAAGTTTACTGTGTTCAAGACGCGCTCATGGACTGATCTCAGCTTTGCTACACGACCGAAGTCAACGAGAATTCATCAACGGCATCACATCTGAATGGCAAACGATCACTAGAGGCGTACCTCAAGGCTCAATCTTGGGCCAATTGCTCTTCGTAATCTTAATTAATGAACTACAGGATAGCATCACTTATCACATGAAACTGCATGCTGGCGATAGTAAAATTATTGGCATAATTAAAAATGAGTCAAACAACATCACTCTCCAAGCTGACATTGACAGAGCAGTGGAATGGTCACATATTTGGCTTATGCATTTTAACATTGAAAAATGTAAAGTAACGCATGTTGGCCGCCCATATAACAAGTCAGCGCACAAATATTCAACGGTACACGTTGTCCACTCAAAAAGACTGTTGTCAAACAAGACCTTGGTGTAATGGTCTCAAATGACCTTAACATCAGACCACAAGTAGAGTCAGCCATATTAATAGCAAATAGAAAGCTAGGGCAACTCAAAGAATCATTTTGCAGTTGCAGTTTTTATTTATTGTGCACACTGTACCTCATTTACATTCGCTCCCGCCGTGAGTTTGCTGTGCGAGCCAGATCACCGCATTTAAAGTCCGACATTGCCATCCTCGAGCAAGTCTAAGATTGAGAAACAAAAACAATATCATCTATTAAACACTTGTCCTATGAAGGTCGAGTCCAACAGCTCAGTCAACACCACTTGAAGAACGCCGTAAACAAGCAGACCTTATTGAGCAATTTAAAATCACGCATCAACTCAAACTTGTCAGTTTTTTTGTCCCGCAAAAACTTTGAAACAGTAAAGCTAAACTAGAACAAAAAACTCGTACAGCCAAAAAAAAAAAACGCCAGCTAGTACAAAATTATGAAAAAAGTTTTTAGAAATAGAGGTGTTGTATAATGAAATGTGTTTTTCCAAGCTGCAGTGAACGCTTTATCAATTAACCATCAATCAATTTCAAAGACAACATAACAAAGTAACTTTTAGAGGTTGCTGCTTTGTCTACAGTGTCTGTGTTTTTATTTTCGTTTGCATAGAGGGAACTGTTGTAGCAACTCTTCATCAAACTATAAATATATTTATTGTATTTGTTTATTTTTATCTTTGAATGAAAAAAAATATATATTTACGGCTTCAATGTTTTAAGGTTTATTTACCATAAATAAGGCCAAAAAATCCCTATTGTTTTAGGATTCATTTGACCCAATGATCAAATAAAATTTGGTGGAATATTCCTTAAATACATAGAAATGAAATCCTAAATATTCCAATTAAGTCTTAATTATTTGAATAAAGCTTTAATAATCTAAATAAACCGAAGTTATTTAAACAAATTTTAAAAAGGTAACTTAAAAAAATTTAGTAATTTTCTAAAAAAAGTTTATTTTCATTTTAATAACAGACTTATTGATACCCAATGCTGTTAAAACCAAGCACTTAGGGGTCGTCCATAAATTACGTCACGCAATTTTTGACCAATTTTGACCTCCCCCCCTCGTCACAAAATTGTAATACTTAAGAATCAAGTTTTGTATGAGTCGTCACAAAGCCACCAACCCCCCCCCCCTATAGCGTGACGTAATTTATGGACGAGCCCTTATCTAAATTAAAACTTAAAATGCAAAGCTGATGATCTTAAAGAAAGAAGTTTTCTGTTTTAAACAAAAATTCTTTCTCTTTAAGAATTTTCGAAGTACAAGCTTTTATTCTAATACAAAAAGAAAAAGGAGAGTATATTACTTTAAAATATAACTTTAAACACTATTGCTTTATACATATATATATATATATATATATATATATATATATATATATATATATATATATATATATATATATATATATATATATATATATATATATATATATATATATATATATATATCGGAGTTGTGACATTTTTAGCGGAGTCGCTAAGCGAAGTTGCGACTCCGATTCCAATAGTAAAATGCGGTAGTGGCGTAGTGGTAAGAGCACTCGCTTTGTAAGGGAGAGGTTCGGAGTTCGACTCCCACCATGTCCCT